AAATTGATCATCATTTAAATTTTGCATGACTTTCACAAAGTTATGTGGAAAAATCATGAGATTTTGTGAATCACAATATCTCATTTTTTACCCCGAATAAAGTTTTTAAAAATAAATTCGCAGGAAGACTAGGTAAAATCTTTGCCAGAAGTAAGCCAACATTGCAAATTTTAATTTACTATCGCGATGAAAAGAAGAAAAAGTAGCAACTGCGCTTAATACAGCAAAAAGTTCAGAGGCTGACTATAATCACGCCTTTACTACTAAGGTTTTATTAAAAAATAACTTGCCGAGGAAAACACCTTAGCGTGCTCTCAGAGAAGCTTTTAAAAAAGAGAACTAACACGATTAAAAAGGCAGGCATTAAACAGCGGAGAAGGATCCTCTACGAAGGTATCCTCACTATACCCGCGGATAAAAAATCCACGCTATTGCAACGATGCCCGGACGAAATAAAACGTAATTAGCTCGGAAGAAGTTAATTTACTGGTCTTCGAAAAATAAAAGAGAGTAACAACTCTCAGCGCAATACTTGTAGCAGTTTGCTTTAAATCTCAGCTTCGAAGCGCGATGTAAACGAACCTCATTACCCCGGACGCGCGCAACATCATTTACGCGAGCCTCGAACTTTCGCCAAGGATTCGAACATGATTCAGAGCCGCCCGAGCACCGGGGAAACAATTGCTGTGCGCACCAGCGGCAAATCGGCTAAGGTAAATTTAGTAACGAAAAGAACGACGAGCACTGATTAATTGAATATCGTTCTAATTTATCATTCGCCGGTGTTTCATTTCGTGAACGACCGGGGAAAAAACCAGCGCGAATAATAATGTCGAGCCGTTTGTTTTCTGTCGCCTTTAATTTTCTTTTGCGGTTAAGACGCGCATTGTTGCGCGAGACAGTCAAATTAAAAGTAACTCGCACGACTGCGCCTAATGGCGTGGAAAAGAGTGGGGCCACGGGCCTGAACTATCCGCAGAATTAATGGATCTTTTAATTGCCGCGAGACGAGCGAAAAACGAAAGACGAAAACTTGTTCTCGCGAGGAAATTACATTAATACACCTCGGAACTACCTGCAGTTCACGATCGCGCGCGCGCGATTGCAAAGGTCAGGCCATAGCGATTGTTTGCTTTACACTCGAGTAAGCAGTACGTTCCGAGATTCTCCGCTGTTCGGCGGTTACATCAATAAATACCGGGCTTGTTTCAATAAGGCTCCGCCCAAGTATACATTTGACGGGAGTGCGCGTATATTGACTTTATGTTTGAATGGACAACGGCCTGCAGCAAAATGAAAATTCATATTGCATTGTTTTGCATCGCTGGGCTCCGTTATTATTGCTGAACTCGTTATTGCAGCGCCGATTTGTCGATGCTGTACGAAACGCTGTCTGAATGTTGCAATGATGCGACAGCGATTTCACTTTTCGTGAAAGATAGTCGTGCAGCGCCCGACGCGACAATCTCATCGCGATTCGAATCGTTTCGTACGCTCGTGTAACGCTTTCGCGGAAAGGAACAATCTCGCGTACGTGCGCCAAGTTAACAAGGCATTACGCCAAAGAATCGCAGCCCAAATGACATCATCGACTTTTACAAGAGCACTGCCGCTGAAGAGAGAGAGAGAGAGAGGGGGCGATCGCTTTTCCGACCGTCTCTTAGCGGCACAGCACGTCCCAGCTCCAATTACGTCTTCGGCCATTAAGCTTGCACGCTGGGAATCCAATTACAGACAGCCGAGGCTAACAATGTAACCCTGTCAAAGGGAGAAGCCACTGCCTCTGCGCCGTCCCGTCGTCGATTTGTATGTGTCGCATTGCTTTCCCTCCCTCTCTCCCTCTCTCTCTCTCTCTCTCTCTCTCTCTCTCTCTCTCTCTCTAGCTTATATCGAATCGTCGCGATAATGCCATTATCGGCGCTAGCCTACACTTTTGCGATTAAAAGCGATTTATGGCAGTCGGTAATAGTGCGTGTCACCGATTTATATAGACGCGTTCGTTGTTGGTTGATTACTCCGTTTTATACTTTGGCAGGTATTTGCATGGGCAAATCGATGCGATCCCAAGCGCTGACGACACCTGCTCGCTTAAATATTTAATCAGCGTCAATTGGATTACGGGCCGGCTGTTTCTATAATTGAACATTATCGAGCTGACTCTCACTGTCTGGCGCCCGGCCTCCTCTAATCTTGTTTCATATTCCCAGCTTAATTTAATTGCCGCATTGTTTGACCGCGTCAACTCTTAATTTTGCTGCATAATGAACTGAATTATCGATTATATCATTCGTCATTATCGCGTCTTTTGTTTGCAAGTTAATTTCGACGCCGCCAAAGCTCGTGCCTTATGTCTATATGCGCGTCTGTCGGAATATTGACTCGTACTACTTATACTGAGTTATAAAGTTTGATGAAGCACAAGTAATTTTATCGATAATATCGTTTATTAATTTGCCGCGCGACCGTTGCGCCATCAATGTTAATGACTTTACGCCGCGAAATTTAAAACTCGACGTTCGCGCGCGTCAAAGCGTTTTTTTTTTCGTTGCGATTACTCGTTTGCACGGTGAGTGCCGCTAACTCGTCGAGAGAGCCGAGACACAAAGGCATGCAAGCGCTCGCGGCAAGCTGATAATCCGATATGAAAGCAAGCGAAGCGCGCCACTTCGAATTAGAATAACGCGCGGCGAACAAAGCGATCCGCGGCGAAATTTAAAGTAGCAGAGCATCACGAGGCGCGGATATAATGTATCTCTGTGGCCTAAACGAGAAACAAACGTCACTCGAACCGCGACTCAGTCGGTTACGCCCCGTATGTAACAAATCCTCGCTCGCAACCACACGTGCGTCTGCATTCGCAGCAAAGTGCCTTTGTGCAACAGGCGCACGCCTGCAGCAAAAGAGGATGGTTAATAAAGGCAGCTCTCTCGCTCTCGACCAAAGTCCTGTCGCGCGCTCTCTCTCTCTCTCTCTCTCTCTCTCTCTCTATCTCTCTTCCGATAAAAGAGCCGGCTGCATCGCTTTTATGAGCTATATATCCAGGCTGGAGAGAGAAATGCGCGAAGCTTCGTTTTATTGCTTTAGATCGCGAGCGATAGTTTCGACCGAACAGATAACATAGAGGTGGCACGCTCTCCTTGTCTTTTTTCTTGCCTATACTTTTCAAGGCGCTGCGACGCTGAGAGGTCTTCTTCGTGGCAGAGTGTGCTTGTGTTGCGAAAAGAGGGAACAATATCTTATGTGTATGCTCGGAGACGCCGAGATTGCGTATTTTTAGGAGGGCTTATATTTTATATTCTGCGTCCCGCAAATTTACGTCTAGTGGTTTTTCATGTATACGTCGCGGTAACTCTTCAGCGTTTTTTTTTCGTAAAACTTCGTGCATTTTAAGCGTCCTCGAAACTCAAACTGAAGTTTATAGAGCCAATCAGTCTACCCTCTCACTAGATGGCATCATATAGGTGGACGTTTTAGTGTCATATGAAATATTTATTCTCGTATATATTTAATATCTGGGATTCGGAAGCTTTCGACGATGAATTATTATGTACGAATTATTATCGTATCAAAATCGTTCGTTTATCGTTAAGATATTATAGTTGCAGCAATTTGTCCTATTCATACGTCGACAAGAAACGTACGAAAATCATGACTAACCTACATATACATACAGAATTTATGAAAGAAACCATCCTATTTTACAGCGCATCTCGAATTCTTCGTTATATATTTTCCCAGGCAGCGTGCGCCGCAAAGATAAAACGTAAAAAGTAACTTTGCACGGCCGCGCGCGCACAAAAATCCTTTCAAGCATATCGCACAGACACTCATCCAATTAAACTGAAATTCAATGGCGCGCGCTGTTTGTACATGTATATGAAAAGAAAGAGAGAGAAAAAGTGGGAGAGAAAGAGAAAGAGAGAGAGAGAGCTCGGCACTGCAAAAGTGCACTCGTATTCATTACCTGAAAATTTTTCGATAGTAAAAAAAACAGCTCGAACGGAAGAGAAAGGAAGACGTACGGTCAATGACTGGGAAATGTGCGCACGTACATTCGCATCGCGTACGTTGCGTCTAACGAACTAATGTCTCTTCGTTAAAGGGACCGTACTAGTGCTCGTGCTCTCTCTCTCTCTCTCTTATTTATCGTTTTAAATTTGTCGGTATCATCTCGTCCTCGCCACCACTAATTTATCAACGACCGGTGGCGCTGCAGGCGCGTTATTTGTTTTTGAGGTGGACAAGAGGACTTTTTTTATCGTCGTCGTTGTTGTACGAGGTAGGCAGCATGAAAAATTGAATTCAGCCGTGTAGACGAGTTGCATTTTTTGCCTATTAGCTTTGGATATCTTTGTAGAATGATATCACGGATTTTTCAATATTGCATAGAATTACAAGTATTAGATAAATACTAGATGGCTCTTGTGACAGCCTGTTTACGGAGAAGAAAATGTCGTCTAGTCATTATTTATGAGTCGAATGTTGTCCGTTGAAACCATTCGTTCAAACCATTTACAAATTACTTTTCCGAGGTTTGTAAACAACTTATAAACATAAATCATTGCAAATATAGATAACCATATCTTGTCTTTATAAACAATTATAAATTACCCAATTGATAAATTCGATCGAGAAAATCTAAGCTGCTAAATGTACGAAAGCTTTAAAATTTATTCTGTGGAATAGTTAGCCCCGAAAGGATTAATTATAATCCTAAAACAGTCTATTACAACTTTGCTAAACAAAGTCCCCGTGGTATGCAGCGGCAGATCTGGCTGACCACTACCAGAGCTATACTACTAAATTTACATTATGAAATTACGCCAAAGTTGCTCCGGCACCGCAGTCAGTCCACAAAAAAAAATCAATTCATTGCTAATCTTCTCTCTCCCCTCGATAATTAGCAAAGTGACTAGGGAGAGCCCCGCGTCATTCTATAATCCGAGCTGGCCGCGGTTGTTGCAATTAGCTGTGTCTGATATTAAAATCAATGGTTACAGAGCTGTGCGAGGAATGGGCGTTGGCCAACAGCTGCGAGTCGGTAGGCCCAAGCACGTCGAGTGGGAGCACCAGTGCCAGCGCGAGCAGCAGCAGAACGGGTCCCGAGGACGCCGAGGCGGCGCCCGAGACAAGTTTCACACTGAAGTATCTGGGCAGCACGATGGTCGAGTCGCCTAACAGCGAGGAGGAGACGGCCGAAGCTATCAAGACCATCATGACCGTGGTACGTACATCGGACGCGCGCGCGGCAGGGGCTTTTAACGAAAATTAAGCGCTTCTGTGCGGAAGCTGGCTTTGACGTTGGCTTTGCTCTGTAGCGTTTGAGCCAGTTGTTAGGTGGACTAACGATAGCGCTTGTGCGCGTATTTATTTGAGCGATGATTTTTCATCGTCATGCTAGCAAGAAAGCCGCTTACGACTCCTCCGCGTGTCGATGTTCCTCCAATGTCCGTGTTCTGTCAGTTATAGCTCCTACATTTGATCAACTCAAATCAGCCTTTGCTATTCGACTTCGAAAAAAAATAAATGGCGAGTTATCACGTCAAGAGGGGCAAGAGATTTGCGATGTTCGGTAATATTTTACTGCGCTAAAAAACCACTAGATAGAGTGAATAATGCCCGAAAAGAAAATCTTAGTTCGCATGGTTATTAATGACTGTCCAGTGATACAACCTGACTATCATTAGATCAATTAAATTTTTCGTTTTTTTATATTTGGTTTTTTAAATAGTTCGTTAAGAAAATTAAGCATCGGCCGACAAGTAAAATGCCAAATGAACGTACCTCACGTGGAAAATACCGATAGAAAGCACAGTCAATTACGGAAAGTGTAAATGCCCAATGCGAGGTTTGATTGTGACCGCGCGAGCAACGTGGAGCTTGCGAGCGAGCAGCGCAGCTCACGCTCCCCGTTAACGTTTGCACGAGCGCCAGGTTACCTGTCAACATGATGTATATCGACGGGGATCGCGTGGGCTTTGTACTTCGCTCGCGGCAAGAAATTAACATAGGCCGTTCGCGATTAATTGGCCAACAGGAATCTCCAGCAGCAGTCGAGGGTTTTGCCGTGTACGCCGCGTGCAAACAGATTCGACGATATGCCTCCCGACCATTGTTGACCGCGACGGTCGTGGGGCGGCCGCCAAAGCGACGACGACACCATCGTAAATATTGACCTGTTTGCAAATCTGCAGCGAACTGCCTCCGTTAAACGCGGCTCGCGCGATGCACAGCAGTAGCGCGAGAAAAGTCGGTGTAATGGCGCGTACGACATTCAGTCCAATAGAGTCGTGGATGTGGTAGTCTGGTCGCGTAATCCCAGGGAAACGCTTTTGCGACAGGCACACACGTTGCCTAGGTTACATACACATACACGCACGTACGCACACACTGGCTCCGCCGCTGTTGGCGCTGCGCTGCTGCGGCAGAGACTGCTAATTTAAGGCACTCGTGAGAGAGAAGCTAGAGATGTCGAGCTTGCGCGTAGCGAGAGAGCAAGAGAGAACGTCGAGAGGAAGCAACGAGGATGTTTAATGGCTTGGACAGGCCAATCATTGGGATTGACGTGGTTGTACGTCGTCGACGTCGTTGATCCGGTTGTGGCACTTCCATCATCAATGTCTGTGGTCGCGCGCGCGCCAGACTGACTCTCATGCCGAGCGCTACATGTAATTCCTGAATAACGACTTAGACGTTGACTTTGTCATCGTGGGCATCGGATCGTTGTTAAAGGAAGATTGCCTGTTGCAAGGAAAAACGCAACGCTCGGCAAATATCAAGTTCTTCTACTCTCCCAGCTTGCGTGGAGGAAAAATTCACGACGTGCACTCGCAGCCAAATTCAATTTCATCACCGCTCGGGAGAGTACGATAATAACTAGGGCGATTGAACTTTCGTCTGGTAATTCCCCCGCTTAAAAAGCAGGCTATTGTCAATGCCGATGGAGAAGAGTGTGGGCAAAAAGATATATTCTCGCGAGAAAATTTGTTTACGCGACTTGACGAGCAGCAATTCAGTTTTCGGAGTCGCTGTTCGCCGGTGAATATTCGTTGCAAGTAAGCGCGCTAGAGCAAGACAGGAATGGAATGTTCGACTAAGCACCGAGCTCTCGTCCTCGGGCAAGCGCGTGCAAATTCAAGTGGCAGCTTCCACGCGAACGCGCGCGCCGGACATAATCAGGCCTTTATACCGCGGCGCGCGCGAACACGCCCGCAGAACTAATATAAGAGGCACTTGAAGATGCGCATACGGCGCTTGGAGGGGCGCGCGCAGAGCGCACGTGCGCTTGACAAATAGATGCGGCCTCCTAAATGGAAACCTAGCGTATTACGAGTCCTCTCTTCGGCAATCTGTTCCAGTCGGGGAGAAAATTGCCACGCTACGCCGGATATCCTTACGGCGTGTACTCGTTGCCTTTTCCCCTTCACCTCGGTGATTTACTCCACGACAGAACAAAACGGGGGAAAAGGAATGGAGGGGATGGGAGGCTGGGGGAGACAATGTGCCGAGTTCGATAAATTTTTGGTTATCGCTGTTTTAAAAAGCCCGCCGGCGAGAGTCGCGGGGAAATATAAATATCCGCTCGGGGAAAATGGGCGTATAACTCATGCGCCTCGCTGAAAAGCGCCGCGCGCGCGTCCCACGCACACGCCGCACTGTTACTATACTGGCCGCTCGACGCTATTAATGGCCTGCGCTCTCAAAAGTTTCCTTTTTTTTCTGCACGCCCCCCGCGGAAGGACAGAGAGGATCGATTTTATCGCGAGCGCTGACGGCATTTTTATTCGACTGTTTCCGCGTGCGAAAATGGCCGTAGCAGAGAAATATTGAATTACATGACATTCAAATTGGACGCTCGCGCCGCTTGCTCGGGAATCGCCGGCTGTATTTCCGAAGATCATCGACATCGAATATGCATGAAAGTTTTGCCGGCCGCGGAAAAAAATATACGCGCGGCGCCACGGCAGCCGCGCGCTCCGACACGCGGGACTTTGGAGCCGTTGTTCCCGAGAATTAATATTTTTGGTCGATCGTCGCCACCGCACAGCCCGCGCCGCCCCGTTGCTAACCAAGTTTCTCGTATACCCTCCTTTTTTCCCCAGGCGGCTCGCGCAAATCGGATTATACGACATTACGAAAGCCAATAGCATTTTACGATCAGCCGGTAGTGCGAGCGACCTTGTCGGAAATCGGATCAAGGTATAAGACTGTATCACTGGGCCGCGGCTGCCGCGATCGCTTTATAAACTATTAACCGGACTACTCGGTCGCTCACGGTCGAAAATAGCCCGAGGAAAAAGGAAGAGCGCCTGGTACGCCTGCAAATCTGAAATGCACGCGCGCGCCCATAACCGCGAATGTTAACAGGCGGCGTATAACTTTTACGATAATTACCTTATACTCGCGAGTCGTACTGCGCGCACTTAAGGTTCACGCGGCACTTGGGCGCACGGCTGTTTTAATAAATAGACACGCGCGGGCATGAACTTACCTTGGCCGGCTTCCCCCTGCAAATAAAGATTAACGTATATGAGTCGGGGGAGGCCGCGCGCCCGCCGCTGAACTTCGGTAACGCGCTTTATCGCCGCCCGTAAAAGCTACTTTACGTCCTCCGCCCAGCGAAATAACGACGATGAGCCTGTTCGCCCGTGAAGAAGCGCTGCGCGAGCGCGAAAAGCTTTATCATGCCTTGTACGCGCGCGCCCGCGTGCGCGAACAAGATGCGCGCGCAAAAAAAGAAATAATCGTAACATGGGGCTTCGCCAACGCCGCATTGCCGGAAATATCGCCGAGATGGATCTTTTTAATTATACAGATAAACTCGCACGGCTGTTTAAATTAATGGAGAACACGAATTACGCGGGGGTATTCCAGAGAAAAAGGAAAGCCGGCTAATTCAATTTCGCAGCAATACTTTGAAGCCATTCCTCCTTCTCGCTCTCCCTCTCGACTTATTTATTTTCATGCGATCGTATATACGGCACGGCGCACGAGCATCGACGGAAAATACGTCGTCAAAGCTTATAACCCCCCTACGGCACGCCACAAAAGAGGAAGAAAGAGCGAGCTTTTCAACTGCTGATCTTCTGGCAGCGAAAGCTCACTTTCCAATTTCGAAGATGTATTTTGTCCGGGAAAACAATTGTCTCGCGACAAGGGACTGGGGCTGCGAGTGGAATATTCGGCACGCGCGCGCTAGCGAGCACTCGGCTCGCCGCGCTGTGGACCAGGCCCGGGCATCCATTAATCACGCGATTTATCATGGAGAGCTGGTCGTACGGTACGCGCGGGAGATGGAGCACCGAGCGGGTACTCGCGGGCACCCGCTGGATCTGTCTTGCTTTCGCGCGCGCGCCCCGAAAGAACAAAAAGAGGACCTCGCGTGTAACCGTAGCGCCGTCCGACGACCGCCTCGCGCGACCGTTATCCGCAGGCCGCATAATGCGTTGCCGCGTCAAGGATTGAAAAGTCACGCCTGGCGCTCCATATGTCTCTGATGCGTGCGTTATCTATGCGAATGCCGACTGCGCTCGGGGCACGACACGACGCCAAGTTTGACCGAGCGTGCATCGCGCTGTTTCACTGCGCGGGAAACGACGCCGCGAGTATCAAGTTAGAATGAGAAACGAGATGAATCAATGGTGGCGCAAGCGACGCGCGGCGCCACTCAGACTCCGTGCGGCTAAAACAATTTGCGCGCCGGCCGCCTTTTGCCACTGCAGGCGGCGCGCGCGGTGGCTGCGGCGCGGTTTGCCTTTGAAGGGCCTCCCACCGCAAAAACAGAGATCCGATCAAAGCTTTCGCGCGCCCTCGCGCCCGTAAGAACTTGCGGAAATTTCGTCCCGCCGGCAGAGGCAGCGGCGACGGTGGCGGCGGCCTTCCTCCGTAGAGTTTATGCTTCTTTGCTCGGTGCCGCTGCCGAGGGGGTGCTGCTATAGCTTCACCGGGAAACGAGGAGAAAGGACCAAACGACTTCAAAGTGCGCTCTCACTCTCCTCTGCTTCTCTGCTTTTTACGAGCGCCGCGCGCGCTTCTCTCTCTCTCTCTCTCTCTCTCTCTCACTGTGCTGCTGGCTTGTTGGGAATTAAGACGGCGATGCTTCTTTCTCCCTTATTCTATTTTTTTTCCTTTCTGGCAAGTTCAGATTCTTTTTCAACGGAGGGCTCGCTGCACTTAATATCGGCTGCTGCTTCTTCTTTTCCTTGAAAAGGTTTATGATGAACTATCGATTCGTTCGAGTTTACCTTGATGCTTGCTTTGATTTGACCTAGTATAATTTTGGATTTTTGCGATATATTGAATGGCATATCATCATTTATAGGTAATTTAAAAATTCTCTGCCGTTTTCGATTTATTGCAGAACAAATTTTTTAAAGGTAAATCGATGGGTATTTTTTATTGAAAATCTAGCGCTCGCAAGTACACACGATTCAGAAAAGATTCTTCAAACTCATCATCAAATATTCTACCAGAGGTTGTTAAATCACATTCGACAACAATAGCAATGACTTCATAAGTGCATTACTTATGACGAATCGTTCGACAATTCGTCAACAGAAATCCAGTGATAAAAAAAATAAATCACACGTCAAATGTCAAAAGCCATTTGTAATCGAATCGAGAGCAGTCAGTTACACACACATAGCTACAACGTTACATGTATCACTGCCCCGATGAAAATACCTGCGGAAAAGGGGAAAGGGGGCATCCTCCAATACTCAGTTTGGTTCCTTCGACGACAATCCTTCGAATTCTTTTACACACGTATAGCGGTAGAAGCCTTCGCGCAACGATCACCAGCCATCTTTTATTCAACGACTGTCGGCATTTTTACTCGATTCAACACACATACACAGACACTCTCACACACACGTACAATATCCAAGCCACTAAGCTCTTCCATCTAACGAAGCGCGTCCTTTGTGCGCTGGGCGCGACGCGACGCCAAATACGATTCCATTCTTTTCTATTCTTTTGCTGTTTGCAGGCGAAGGCCAGTGGTAAGAAAGCAGCCAGGGTTTCGCTGGCTGTAAGCCTCAGGGGTATCCGCATGACGGACCTCACTACCGAAGAGGAACAGCTTCGCATCTCGATATACAGGTGAGTAATTGGATTTTTCTCTCTTTCGCTCTCGTCTGTACATTGTTTTTTATTTATTTTACTTTTTGTTCATTCCTATTCAATCGGATTAATCGCGCTGCGTGATACGAATTTGCGGCTGGTTTTTTTTTCACCGGTCGCCGCGTCGCTCTGCTGTTGCGTTTAAAATTTGTACACGCTCGCAGGTATGCGTAGCGCATCTCTTGATTGTTTACCTCAGCTTATTCATCGACGCGAAAGCCTTTTCATCCGGCGCGGTCAAAATATTTTCCTCGTTGTTTTATGCAAAAAATATGCGTGTAGATAACGCGCGCGTCGGAGCTGGAGCAAACAACGGGCCAAGCTCGGCGTAACTTTGTATTTTTATCCCCGGCTGTTTGCCGCGCATACAGAACAGTGCACTTTTGATAACCGGGCGCGCGAAGGAGCGAAATGGAAAAAACCGAAGGAAAAAACAGCAATTCGGTTTTCCAAACGAAACGGTATGCTCGGTGCGCCGGGCGAGCTACGCGCATTCGGATGGCACGTTTCCCTCCTGGAAACGCTACGCGGCGGCGACCGGTATGCAAACATTCGGCGCGCGCGTTATCCGACACGAGCGGCACGGTTGCTCGGCAAGTTCCGAATCGCGCGGGAGATCGGCGATCCCCTTCGATACGCGCGCCGATCCACGGATACGGATGCGAGAAAACTCTCGGCGCTGAGGTCCGGGAGCAAAAGTTACAGGCCGGCCTTGTTCAAATGGAGAATTATTCTCTCTCGGCAGGATTTCCTACTGCTCGGCAGACGCGGCGTACCCGCAGGTGTTCGCTTTCATAGCGACGAACCTCAACGAGACGATGGAGTGCCACGCCTACGAGTGCGCCAAGCGCAAAGCCGCTCACTCGGTCTGCCTGACCGTGGCTCAAGCCTTCAACGCAGCCTACGAGCTCTGGCAACTGTCGCAGCTCGACTCCAGAATGTATCACGCCCACGACAAGAGTCCCAAGCTCGCCGACGACAAGAAGGGTACGCGCGCTCCGCCTCGCCAGACGCTCTACATTGGCTTTCGCTCGCGCGATCTACGCTTTTTCCCGGCCGTTTCGTTCGATAGCCATCGCTGCTCTAATTGCTTGCGGTTGGCCGTTATTCAAGCGAAATCGCGAACGCTGAATTTCGATACCGCTGAGGTTGAACCCTGTGTAGTTGGCGTAACTCGATTCCAACGAATTATTTTGGGAAATGCACCGCGTCAGAGAGAAAGAGAGAGGGGGCAAAATCAAATGAAATTGATAGCAGAACGAACGGCTACACCACACGAGCATTGCTAATAATTTACATGAGTTTATTGAACAGAAATACTTCCTGCTTAAATAATGCGTAACGTTAGAATGTTGGTGGTGTTCGGACGGCCCTGTTAAACCCGAATATTTGAAGCTTGTTTAATTAACGCATATATTTCTCACGCGCTTTCATTATTCGATATAGGAGAATGCTTGAAGCTTTATTATATCAAGCGCCGCGTCTCGCCGCGCCTCGCCGCGCCAGAGTCGCTTTTAACGAAGCGGAATTAATCGCGTCAAGAGTAGAAAAATACCGTCGCGAAATACCGAGCGTTAAAAATATCCCAGAGACGGACCGAGACGGACCGAGACGGACCGAGACGGAAGAATGCCGTAGTCTTGTAAAAATTACTTCCGCGAGAAGAAATCCACTCGGAAGGGCAGATGCCTCTTCATGCAACGGAAGGCGTACCTTTATTAAATCGTGAAAACGGAATCGGGACACGAGCGCGTCGCAATGTCCCTCGGAACGAAGACGCACTCGGACTGTCGGTACTGCGCGCGCGGCGCTCGGCGAAGTGGCGACGAAAGTAACACGCGCAACGAGGCCTGCTCACCCCTCGCGCTTCTGTTCGCAGACAAGAAGGCGGACGACTCCGACTCGGACACGGACGAGGAGGCCAGCGGCAGCCAGAAGAACCTAATACTGATCGACCTCGCCAAGGACGCCAAGGCGAGGAGCGCCGTGAAGACCGAGGCCTGGGTAAATTGCACGCGCGCCTGATTAATTGTCGCGGCAGAGCGGCAGGATTTATTGGGCTGGAAGCGGGCCGAATGCTGATGAAGGACGGCTCCGCGCAGCCCGCATGTTTTTAATTACGACGCTCTCTGACACGCGCGAGCGGCGCGATGTTTGCGTAATGAAATGCCTTTGTCTCGGCTTTTTCGCGCTGAACGTTAACTCATTGGCACGCGCGCCTGCCGATGGCGCTCTCCTGTCTTATTTCCTTCATTCAAAGAAACTGTGCATATTTTGCAGACGCACGCGAGCTCCGACATCGATGACGCTGGTAGCGAGAGTCTCATCAATTTCGATGATAACCACTTTAGCCCCGTTGACTGCCGAGTACGTATCCCTTTCAAATATACGAACGAATGTCCTTGCATGCGTTCGAGTTTGTCGCCCCGAAATCAGTTGTGCGTTTGCAAAGCTCTGTACGGGCGGCAACTGCGGCCGAGCATCTAATTAGGTGCACGCGTAGATATGTCATCCTCGTCCACGGTCAGCCTCCCAAAAGCCGCAGCGCGAACGCTTCACGGTCAGCGCACTACGAATACTTCGTGCCGAAATATTAATTTCCGGGACAGTAATCCACGCGCAAGCCAGTCGATTCGGTAGAGCGTCAAGGTGCGGCCAAAGTTGTTTCTGTAACGGGCGCAACTTTCGGACGCAGTACAATGATTCGAAAACTGCCGTGACTTTCTTAATCGACAAAGTTTGCTTATGGGCAACTTCGTTGAGTAGATAAAGGCGCGGATATTATGAATATTTTCCGAACTTTCCGAGTCGTAGCGCTCTGCAAATATAATGATCTTCGAGGGTGAATTTCAGAAGTAGGAATTGACGAAGCTGCGTTTTGCGCGCGTACGCGCGAGCATTCAAGTCTTAAGTACGCGTATACCTCGAAGGCAAAGCAGCCGCGCCGCGCGGCTCCTTTTCACTTTGTAAACGCGCAAAAATGAATGTAAATTATATCAGAATGTTTCACCGAAACAGAGCGATAGAGCCGCGGCAGAAGCGGTATAAAACAGAGAGCGCGCCGCGCCACTGCGAAGCCTTCAGATCCGCTCAACAAGCAATAACTCAGCTCGCGCGAGAGCTTGCCAAGTTGGAAAATTGCCGCTGCGCGCGCGGACGAGAGAGAGGGAGAAAAGTTTCGTCCGCCGCGTCGAAAAAAAAGGCCGCCAAAATTTACGGGCAAAGTTGCCGCAGGCACGAAAATTAGTTCCCAGCAACATGTTTGCCTACGCGATCATAATTAGCGACGCTCGTCCGCGTCGAGGGTCGCGGGATAGATAGATCGGGATTAGCCGCATATTGGACTTTCATTATGCGCGTGCATCGGTATGTATCGCGTGTATCGCTCTCCATCCGCTGCGCTGTTAATAAGCAAAGGCTTTGTTTTTAATCCTCCTTAAGGCTGCTTCAGCGCTGAATTACATGCGCGCTCGGCTTATACCCGTTACCTTCGCCAATATTGTTTTCTGATATTGATGCTATTCGGTATTGAATCCCCGACTAATTCGGAGCTTTTTCCGAGCTTCGTTTCTCTTTTTCATTTCGTTATTAATATTCAATGAATTTCAAATTCTGCAATCCTTTCATTTTTATTATTTATTTTTTATTAGTCCCACTCGCATGCGTTTATTTCTTTATAGCTATACAAATAGTTTCACATTCGCAAAAAATACCTCTGCTATAGAAAGTTTTACACGGAAAGAATGGTTTGGCACGGAAGTACCCGAACTGGGCTTTTGTAAAAAGATAGTAATTGGAACGGCCTGTCTAAAGAAAAGAAAAAAAAATGAAAGAGAAGCGAAATGAGCTTGCCTCCTCGTTTCTAGGTATCGTTCGTGGACGAGACGGCCAGTGCGAACGACGACGGCATAGCGCTTGAGCAAATGAAGTCGCCAACGAGCAGCGTATCGAGTACGAGCAGCGGTCAAGCGATGATGCCAGCAGAGTCGAAAGCGGAAATACCGACAAAAGGTCCGCCCGATCTAGTTTGCACCTCGTAGCACTTCAGCGACGTGCCCCTCATTACGGGCCTTTGGAAACAGCTGTCGACCGGGGAACCCTAGTCACAGTTACACGCACGCCTTTTGCATCGGGGTTCCTTCATCTGCGTCTATTCAGCGAAAGTAACGTAACGATATCGACTGTGTAGCAATAGTTGGATTTTAGATTGCCCCAGACTTGGAAATCCATTGCAAGTGTGAACGATCAAAAAGAAATTTTTACCCAATTCATCATTGAATTTTACGTTTTCCTTCATCTGGCAATTATTCACGTGTAAATGCGGATACCTGTGTCTCATGGCGAATATCTCAAACGATACTAAACTCATCAGTCTGTCTGATAACTTGGGCTAATTATTTTTAGGCAATAAATTCGTAGATAACAGCAATTGATAGATAAGTCTGAATAGTCTCAATTACCGGTCGAAAGCCAAAGTGTCAACTAGTAAATGTTCGTTATACTAAGTCTCGTTTCTTCAACTCACGTTTACATGGTGAATGATATACATGCTGTGCGTCGGCATTAACATTATTCGTAAATCTATACAACTGCCCGTCCAAAACATTCGTCGAATTCGTTTCAATTTCGTCAATCGAGATTTATCAATCAATATTATACTTCTTTAATAATTTCTATTTCAATGTCCTTTTTCTTCGTCAAAATCCACTGAGTATTAAATAATACACGTGCCAAATCGTCGTAAACAAAGTTGTTGTACAAAATATGTGTATACTCAACTTGCTGAAGGAACTCAGCGAGAAATGGACGAAAATCATTAACAATTCCGTGCAATATAGTTTTGTTAATAACAAAATTCTCAAAAGTCACTCGCAGATCAGTAGAAATTGAATATGCGTAGCGTTTTAATACGCTATTTATAGAAACGAATGAAATGACGCGCAATTTTTCTATCCAATCAAAATATTATAGCCATTCAAGAAATAAATATTATTTCTCATTACAACAATTACGTACGTGAAAAAGATCAGTCGGTAATATAGATCTACACTTTCGTAGGGCAAAACCCTCTTGCGCCCTCATAATAAAAACTTTATTAATATAAACGAGTTATTTTTTGGAATAACCAATAATGTTAATAATAATGTTAACTATTTGGTAGAAGCGGATTTTGTTGACCCAGATAACCAGCCCCAGAGTACTTAAAATTATTGATTAATGAAAAAATAACCCATCATTATCAATACAGCTCTTACACTGGCATTCTTGAGAAGTTATTGTCTATGCATGTTAAAGTAGTTGATATTGCTGGATATTTAGAAAATAACCCATGTTTATGAATACAACCCTTTTGAGAGCGTAGTACTTCTTGAGTTTACGTTTTCTACTAACCTTTCAGATGCATATAATCGCTGTAATGAGAAATATTTATTTTTTTGTAATGAATAGTTATAATGATATTTTGATTGGATAGAAAAATTGCACATTCATTTTTATAAAAATCGAATGAAAACGCTACGCAGGTTGAATTTCTATTGATTTGGGAGTGTTCAACTTTAAAAATTTTTTTATTAATGAAATCTTCATTGCGCGGAAATATTAATGAATTTTGTTATTCTTGCCAATCACCCGCAGTTTTTCTATAATTTTTCCGGGTTGACTTTCATCGATTGCCCGCTAAGTTCCTTCATCCTTATTTCACTACTTGAATGTTCGGATATAACTATAAAGTTCTACTTTATCATTTTTCGTAATCTATTACGTATACATTAAATATATTTATTTGTTAAGCACTTTTGGTCAGATTGAATTATAAATAAACTAACAGGATCATGTAAAAAATAAACTTTTATATTCCATAAAGATTATGAATCGATACACATAAGTAACAAATACAATTTAATTTGTCTACAATCGTAAAATAAATTCAAATATACATTTAATATATTCTGCTAAAATTTTCACTTAATTTTAAATTCATCAACATTTTCATTGTAGCGTTATGTATTTTTCTCACAAGTTTGTATCGAATAACGTAATGTAAAGTAGTTGAGATATCAAAGTAACCAATTTTTCTACTGACAATTGTAAACTTTCAGTACCAACGTTCTTTTATATCTAGAATAATCCTAGTTTGATTTCTTTTTTAAAGTATCGATATTTAAAAAATGACATTTCAATGCAATTGAGGACAGAATATTAAAAATGTCTTGAAATATCAAGAACAGAATCTGAACTTTTTTGCCACAAAAACGAAAAGAATAGAGTAAATAGGGTGTAAATTATCAAACAATTCATAATGCCGTATAAGAGTTTATACCGTTTTAGCGAAATGATATAGTTAATCAATTCTTTTGTACGAGCTTTCTACATTAAAAACCTTTCCAAGAATATCGAAAGAGGTGAACGTAAACATTAGAGGTGGTACTAGTAAGAGAATTATTCAATAATTTTATCCTACTATCATAGGTGAAAATATTGTTATAATAAAAGTATACAAGCGAATTATATAGAATGAGTTTTCAGTTTTATCAAAAAAATTTTGAAACGCTAAAAACTGAAAATTTATTAAGTATACTGTCCATTCTATGCGTGCTAGTTTAAATATTTACATGTATAAGCGCTCGTTACTTTATATTGTAAATTGTTATGTATATTTATAAGATTTTTATAAAATAAGATATAAATCTTTGTTAATTATTTTGCGATGTTACGTATTTTTTATTGTATATGTTTTTATTTATATAAAGTAAGCTTTATTACTATATTCATGTCGAAAATGAACTTTCTATTGGGTCTGAGATTACAAACGATACTCATCGGTACTGTTATCAAAAATTTTGAATGCACTTATTACATTTGTTACGTCTAACTAGCACGAGTATAACGGTGAATGTTAGCGCGATAAACATTGATAGAATTTTAAATACAAGCATACATATCTCAGTTTGTAAAATCGATGTACGTTATTTCATCCAGAATATTCCTGATCCCATTTCAATAACTTTCTTTCAATATAAATAACGTAATTAACTTTTATGTTTGGTTGATTCATCATTATTATAAACGAACTGTTACGTGACTTAAAAGGTCGAGCTGTAAATAGCTCATGATGTATACAATGTGTGTGTGTGTGTGTAAAAAATCGCTTGCTACTGTATATATTTACATAGACTGAAGCAAACTAAGCGTATCATCTTTCAAGCTTTGAGACGGAGTTTCGAAATTCGGATCGCTGTCCCAAAAGAATGAAAGAACAACTGCAGGAACTAAGTTTAGAGCCTCTAAAGATTTCTCAAAATCCGTTTCCGTTAACTTTTCTCTCGTAGCGGTGATGAAATAGAAGGGAAATTCATCCATGTACAAATGTTCTTTTACGAAATCAATCACTGCCTGGAAAGTTTCTAATACCGCAAACGTACCTTGCAGTATTATATTATCAGGAAATCTTATCCTTATCAGTGTATATCGATATTTTCTTTCCTTTTGTTTCATGAACTTTTCTCTCATTGCTTTAGTCATCAGCATTTGATCACGTTCAACAGCCCTTGATCTATATAAAAAAAGTATAGAAAAATTGAAGTTTGTATTGAGCGTTCATTACTTAACTTTTTCTCATAAATAAGTGTGAAACTGATAGAAACTTACCTTTCAGTCTGTTCACGTTTAATATCCTCAGTCGATAACACGTAAAACTCTTTTGGTAGTTCATTTTTCTCTGCTGCTTGGCTTGGAAGCAAAACTTGTACGTTTCTATCGAGTTGAAGTTGCACGGAATCGGCAGAAGTTAAAGCATCAATTAAAGTTGTTATATGATCGATAGTTGATCTTTCAGGACTCCAAACAAGGAAATCCTCTTCTTGGTCTTGATGCATGTGTTTCTCTTGAACAAACCCTGCTGCTTTCAATAATTCCATAGATCCCCTCATAAGCTTTACTTTTTCCTGCAATAAATATTCATTTGTAATTCCATGTAAATACTATATTTATAGAATAAAATTTAGTTATTATTTTTCATTACTTTGAAAACTTTATTGGACATCCTGATTTTCCAATACTTCATTTCACTAGGATCATTGCGAATATTGTCCAAATATTTACAAAGAGTATCTACACAAGCTTTTATTCTGTTTACATCATCATTACAACTATGAATAATTAAGCAAGCCGATAGACCACCTTCTTCATCTGGTAACTCAATATCCAAAAATTCTTGAAGTCTTTCATACCAAGTTTCTTTATCTAAAACTTCTTCTGAGATCATGGGACATCTATAATATACACCATTCACTGCCAACATGTGAGGTTGTGGATCTGGAATGTTATCTGACTTTTTTAAAGATGTACCACCTCCATCTGCTTGCTGTTTAGCAAGAGTTAATCTTTCTTGCTCTAACTCTTTTTTTATGCGAGCTTGTATAGCCGTGTAAGACCTAAAATAAATAAATTCATATAAAATTCCTTCTTATAAAAAAGATGAATTTTGATTGTAATTTGTCATGAAACATACGGATTAAACTTGGGTGCACTTTGCATTTTTTCTATTCTAGCCAAAGCAGCCTGCCCAGCCACCATAGCGTCATTAGTTGGCTCATGTCTCTTTGGTACTTTTGTAGATTTAGCTGTACTAGCTTTGGAAGTTGATTCACTTAACCTAATAATAGTGAAAATCCATTAAAAGTTTTGATTCAGTAAATTAATTCAGTAAATTTTGTTTCACACAATGATACAATCTATATTTTGTTACCTACCTATGCCCAGTTCCCGCATTGCTAAATTTCTTATCTTTGATTTTTCTTTGGAAAAATGACTTTATTTTATCTGCCATAGTACTCCTCTAAAAACAACTAATAATATTTTGTAAAATAACTAATTTCTATGCGTAACGCTGTGAATGTTCTGTTGGCAAATTAAGCTCAGAAACTTGTTTTTTAAGTTCCTCTGGTGAGATGTCTACAAAACAGGAGTACATTATAACGGCTGTATTTCTACAATATTCATTACACTGATTTAAAGCATATAGCTACTTACTTGAGTTCATAAATCGATCGGATATTCTCTCTCCGTAAATGTGCCAGGCAATGTAAATGAGACAAATATTACCAATAAGAATAGTCACAAAAATTTTTAAAAGCAAAATTTGAAAGTCGTCAGCTTCGAAGAGAGAGGCAGCGTCCTGAAGAATCTGGGGAATATTCGGGAGAATTTTGTTTGAAGTCACAGGAGTATTCTCAGCGATGTCGCTGTTGCTATCACTATCGTTGGGATTTTCTGTGAAACTCGTGTAAATGAAATCAGCTACGTTGCAGGCGAGGTTGTTGAATGCTTCGACGAATAAGTCGATCCAAGCACACAAACTTTCCAGCACGCTGTTCATCACATCGAGTCACTTCTTATTCTTAGCGTATATCGCGCTTTTAATGTTGTACCGTCCGTTACAATACACATATATAAATTGATCCAATACATTCGTGCACACATTTACTTACTTACTCATTACGGAATTACTGGATAAGCTCATTTTTTTTCATAACAAGTCATTGTCTGAATACTCTGAACACGCACTCAACAGTACGCATTTACCAGATATTACGTCGTCACATCCACTTAAAGTTTCGTCCGCTTCCTTAGTCGTCAATATGGCGTCCGTAAAGGACCAATCGCATCTTAGTAAATTCATTTTTTGTAAAATCAAAGTCCAAGAAATAGTAACAATCACATTTACAACGGGATTAGAAATTCCATTTGTTAAATGATCATGTATATATTAAATGGTAACCGTAGCTTTACGTTCATTTTCATTCATTAATAAATATAATAATTAACACGATAATTTCGTAAATAAGATTGTTTGAAAATTCTTATTTTTTGAATTAAATGAAAGATAATGTAGAATTAAAAATTATTTTTTATTCGTTTTTTTGACATTACGTTACAGACCGCAATTTTTTTATTCGACACCTATATATATAAAATCTGACTTTAGCACTGCTTTAGAGATAAAAATTATTTCAGGGTTCGGAATAGCGAAAACATTTCTCCTCACTCTACGAAACATATCTATTTTCAAATACTTTCAGAGGGCCAAAATAATCACATTTTTTATGTTAAAAATTGTATTCTCGGTATGCCGAACCATTCATCATCAAAAGAACACAATGACAATTTTTCGCGACTCGATTTGTTTAAGTTCGCGGGCCTGTGAGGTTTAAAAACAAGATTTTTCGGTGTTGTTTTCAATGACTCGCAGTACCAAAAATACAATTTCTTTTCGTAGACATTTATGTCGAGCGAGACTAAAAATTAATTGTTTTAATTATAAATATTATGATCATGTTTTTTGTCATTGTGTACGTATACTAATTACAAGTTACATTGCCAGTTCATTTAGTAAACCGCAGTTTGCATTAAAACTGTTGTACATAATTTTATGAATGTGATATTTTTTTATTAGTTTCGTTTCGGTATTAGTATTTTTAATGTTATAAGCATTAATTTTTGCATTAAAATAGTATTTTCGATTATAATTATATTTAAGAATTTTTTATTTAACTGCTTTGTCCCTTCTTTCAGCACCAGCACCAACAATCGTCAGAATAAAAAACTATATTACAATTAAAGTATATACATCAGGATCAGGAGAGCGCTATACACCTTTATACGATCGTTCAATAAATCCGTAACTTTAAACAAGAAAACACTATTTATTGAAATAGTTTCAATTTATTTTTATACCCATAGTACCCTTTTAACTCTATGCATTTATTATAGTGGCGCTACAGCTTTTTTTATGCCCTCTGAAAAGTAATTCTTATCAAACTCCTCAAAATGCTCATTTGTCGCAGCAATTACCTCTTCATTGGATGAAAATCTTTTACCCGCAAGCCAAATTTTTATGTCAAGATACAAAAAATAGTCGATTGTTATCTGTGAGCAAGCGCGGTACCCATTTTGCAGACAACTTTCTCATGCCCAAATATTTATGTAAAATGTTCCATGTGCATCATACTGAAATGTTAACAGTCTCACTAATCTCAGGCACTTTCAGTCGACCATTGGCGAGTACAATATCATGAATTTTATCGATTATGTCTTGAGGAGTCACCGTTTTTGGACGGCCAGGAAGCTCAGCATCACTTGTGCTCTTATGACCACAACAAAATTCAGTTCAACCACTTTTGAACCATGCCATGCGATGGAGTAGAGTCTCCATAATATTTCCTGAATTGTTCTTCAGTTTCTTTGATTGATAATAATAATTTAATAAGCACACGTTTTTTTTCCGTAATTTTGTTTACACAAAAAAAAATTAAATTCAAATGACTGTAAAAATCGTTGTATACTTATACTCTTCTTATATTAGGTGAGACTTTTACAGTGTAAAATACGTTACGATAACACCACCATCTTCCGAGAAGTTACGGACGTAATGAACGATCCTCGTAAAATACACTATGGAGAGTACTCACTAACTCATTCTCGTAAGTACTTGCAAAGTCAAACAGTCGAAAGTTGATGAACGCATAAAAAGACGTTGAATTTAAAATTAAATATGCGTCGTACTTGTACCGTATAGAAATTATAAAAGTTTTAGTGTTAAATGACTTTTGGCAGGATATATTGAAAAGTGTGTAGCTTACATGTGTATACACAAATACAGGGTTATATATGTATTTATAAAATACGTTAATTACAACTTTTTTTATGTGTTTTAAAAATTTATAGAATATATAATCTGAAAATTACAAAATGCCTCGTTATTTTAAATCTCGAAAATTTCAGTCAAATCTAAACAATGATGAAGAAGAAGAAATAGATAGCGATTCTGAAAATGTATTGACTATGAGGCATATGAATATTTCCAAAAATATTCAAAGCAATAGAAATAAGCCTAAACAGGATTCAAACAGAAAAGAGAAATCCTTAGCAACTCAAAGAATGAGTAGTTTAAGAAAAAGACAAAAAGGTAAAGATACATTAAATGATAGGCAGGAAGAATCCACGAGTGATGAAGAGCCGCAGCCTTCAACCTCCCAAGCTTCTCAGGAAAGGAAAAAAAAGGGAAATACATTTCAATCTCAAAAGGCTTATAAGTCTTTATCACAAGCAAGTACGAGTGGAGCTCATGAAACTTTGTATGGTGAAGCATCTCAGACAATGCTAGATACAAGCTTAACTGAACAAGAATATAATCATCATGTGGCTAATGTAGTGAAATATATCCTGGCTGCTGATCATTCAAATAATCCCATTGAAAGATCAAATATTAGCAAAGCTGTAAATTGTTATAACAAAAAATTTAAAGACATTTTCAAGTCAGCTCAAGATGCATTAGAAGATGTAAGAAACTATTACTGTTCATTGAAAAGTTTTTAATGTCCTCTTCTGTTATCGAATCTAATTAGAATTATTTATCATTATTTTAATATAGGTATTTGGATATCAGTTGGAAGAATTAATAGAAGAAAATAAGAATGGGATTGGGAATCAAGTCAAACAAGCTAAATCTACAAATTTAAAATATATTTTAGTAAATAAAGTAAGCTGTGAAGATAAAGTAATTAAAAACTTATGTGATGATGGGGACGAAGAGACTATTATTCATTATGTGTTATTATTTTTGTGTCTAACACACATTTTTATGAGTGGAGATAAATGTACAGAAGGTGAGCATTTTAAGCAAGTACATGTCTAGTACATTTAAAATGATAATATTGAAATCGTATAATAATTATATTTTTTGAGCAGAATCTCTTAGAACATTTCTGAAAAAACTAGAGATTCTAACAGATAGTCATACGAGGCATGAACAATTTGGGGATGCTATGGATGTTATAAAGAAAGTATGATTTTAAATTATTTAAAAATATTCTTTTGAATTGGCATTTGATTCATCTAATTATTTTTTAGATTTATACTAAAGAGAAGTACATAAATTACAATGAAAAGGAAGATGAATTTTCTTGGGGTATTCGTGCCTTGAAAGAATTAAAACCAAGAACTGTTATGAACTTTGTTAGTGAAGTAAGTCTATAAAAGTATAATGAAATATGTGAAATTTTCAAATAAAATATTCTTGTTTTGTTATACCTAAATTAATTTTCTTGCAGATATATGGTGGCAGAGATATTAAAACTTGGCCCCAAGAATATGAACGTTTGTTAGCTAAGGAGCAGGAACAGAATCAAAGACTAAATGGTCAGGTCAATGGTGCTAAACATTAGTCTTAGATATTGAATCAATGCATTTTAAACAAAATTACTATATCAATAATCGTATTTTTATAATGCTCAAAACCGAAAATTTTTCAAAGATTGCTCTAATAACAATATTTAATTATAAGATTTCTCTTATACATGATTCCCATTATGTGATTGTATGAAGGTTATTTCGTTTCACACTTTATAATTAATATAGAATAAATTATAATTCCGTTGAATAATATAATATTGTATAAAATAGAACAATAGAATTTTATAGATAAATATATAAAGAGCTTTAAAAATACGAGTTTATTTACAATTAAAGCGTTTATTATACGTAATTTTGATTAAAATATTTATGAAAAACTTGTAATTTCTAATATTTATGACTATCAGATTTAGAATAAAAAACGTTTGATACTTTTATAATTTTAATTTTTTATTAAACCTAGTTTGTATAATGATTATTTATGATATAAACATATTTTATGTATCAAGTAACGTTGGTCAAATTAACTAAATTATCTCGCTTAGTCTAATGTTTTAGTGTTTTAATAATTAGTAATAGGCTACCTTATTCTCAATAATACGGAAAAAAAATGCGTATAATTGCGAAGATTTCTTTTGAAACAAACATCTAGCTTTAAAATTCTGTAGTTAATTCGTTTTCTCTAAATCGATAATGATGCAGGTAGAAGAGAATGTTGGACACGCAGTAGCTTTATTTTTAATACAAAATTGGTTTTATTATAAAAGGTGCATATTCAGAGTCGATTTCTGGTGCTTTGTCTGAAAAATAAACGGTAAAGTTGCTTGAATAATAAACTTGAGATTAATACAATTGATTCTCAATACATATGCTTCCAAATGCAATCTAATTAATTGTATGAATTTTTTATTGACCGTCGGCCCAAATATTAATACCGCGAACTCCTATTCAATATGTTGATAAAAAAATACTCGAGTCTTGTTTTGTATTGATTTTCCATTTACAATCGAACTATCCAGAAATTGATTTAAAGGAGAAATACCCTTTAACCAGAGGCACGTAGACACAAAGTTTACCAAAGTCAATTTTTCCGATACGAATGAAAAAGTCTACAGCACCATGTTTGTCGATGTGACTAGGTAGTTTACTCAGAGAGAGAGAGAGAGAGAGAGAGAGAGAGAGAGAGAGAGAGAGAGAGAGAGAGAGAGAGAGAGAGAGAGAGAGAGAAAGAGAGAGAGAGAGAGAGCAAATGAAAGATTGCGTGTTGTACGTGACCGAAAATTGTTTGATAAATCGCGACGCACTATCAAGATGAATTTATCTATCAAAATATAAACCCTACGAAAGGTCGGAAAAATAAAGTCCACGTTCCAGAATGAAATCAGCTACATGTCAAAATGTTAGTAAAGAGTATTAAAAGATGACCATTGTCGCGCTATTTAATTTCGGTACGATCGGTATTAACAGGACTGTCGAGGATTGGTTTTCATCTTTTACGTTCCATTTATCAAATTCGTGATTAATGCGTGAGTGTGCGTCATTTATAAAAATCCTTTAACGTGAACTACGCACGCAAAACAATTTTCCAAGGTACGTCGAATATCGAATATTTATCTACGTACACTAAAAAAAAGCACGAAGCCGCAAAGACGATGGAAAAGGAAACGAACGCGAACGTCGAGCGCAACCCTTCGCACCAGAGAAATCGAGCAGGGGAAGCAGCAATCGCAGCGAAGTACACGACACCTGCGAGGACAAGTGGAAAAACAAACAAGAGTCCAAGTGTGCAGAGGCGTTGCGGCTGGGCATCTGTTTAGCCGCGTAGAGAAGCCCTGCAAAGGGCCTGGGTGGAGCGCGAGATTGGATTACAGGTGTAGCTAGCAGCGTAAACATAGCGGTGGCCGCTGGCGACATCGACGGCGGCGCCGGCAGCTTGCAGCAACGAGGTCAAAGTCGTCAAATCGCGGAATTCAGCGGGGCGAGCCGCGCTCTTGCAAAGTAAAAAAAGCAAAGCATGGGAAGTCTGTCACACAGCAGCGCACGCGGCTGTGCGACAGACGCGTGCACACGCGAGTAGAGCGAGAGAGCGGGAGGAAAGCGCAGGCGCACTGCATCCGCGAGAGGGTGCAAGCACCTTGGCGTGCAGCAGCAGCAACCAGTTTACCTCGAGCGAGCGAGCCGCAGCGCGCTCTGTTTCGCCGCAGTCATGTGCTCGCGATGAGTCCATCAGTTGGAGACGACGCTCACCGAGTCTCGTAATTGCTCTGCTCGTCGTCCTCAACTTGTATATTTCACCGCGACGGACAAGAAGCTGCGCACTGTTTTTAAAATACACGCCGGCTCGCGAGGGATGAATGGCTGGAGGGCTGCTCCAGACACGCACGTCTATGGTATTTATTATTGGCAATTGTTTTCATTCAAAACCTCCATGTCGAGCTTTTGTTTATCGTACATTCGTCTACTTGAGAAGCCTTTCATGTGTTCGAGTGCTCTTGATTGAAAGGCGTTTAGGGATTTAGCTGCAATGAATTTTATAGTTGAATGGCTTGCTCGTGACGGATCAATTCGTTCGTGAAACCTTTTCGAGTTTAACGGAGCCTCTTCTCTCTCTTTCTCTCTCTCTCGCTTTTTCTGTCTGTCTGTCTGTCTGTCTGTCTGTCTCTCTCTCTCTCTCTCTCTCTCTCTCTCTCTCTCTCTCTCTCTCTCTCGATGATCATCCGATGACAAACCTTTATTTCACGCGCTGGTGTAGTCGTAAAATGCCCGTCGCTCGACTTTTTCGTTCGATTCCAGTGATGCCTAAAACTAGCTTGAAGCGAGGAATAGTTAGTTGCCTCACGTTTCTTTCTTGTTGACAATTTACTTTTCTAAAAAACTACTTTGTTTTCAAGAATGTCATGCGGGGGCTCACGATATTTTTAATCAAACTTTTTTACGTAAGTTTGTCAATGTATCTATTCGAAAGCGATTAAATTCTCCGTCGGTATCTTTTGAATATTTGATCCGTCTCGAGAAAGATTGGCTGCGGTTCAAAAATCTTGGCTCTTCCAACGTACGTTTGCCTCTTCCAGATAACTAAAAGTAGATGGCTTCTCGATTCAAACGACAATTGTGCGGATTCACTCTTATCTCTTACGAAATGTTCGCGGTTGCACGAGCAAAAAACATGCATGTCTGACTATACTTGATTTTTTCTACTGCAGCGTAGATGCTTGAATTTATCGCGTGCAGTGATTTTTGCCAAGACACGACGTGAAATGTAAAACCCATGACAGAGTTTTGAAGCTGTACGGCATTCTTTTGGTATTTTCTTTTAATAGACAAAAATTCAGGCAAGATCGACTGATTCCCCGGCATTCCCATCAATATCAATCACTATCGCCTCACCCGCAATGCAGCAGCAGCAGCAGCAGCAGCAGCAGCAGCAGCAGCAGCAGCAACAGCAGCAGCAGAAGCAGCAGCGAAGAAGCAGACATAGCCATCCGCCCACTGCAGCACACATGAATCTTTAATTACCACTCGCGCAAAGAAGAAAAAAGCGAAAGAGTAAGCCGACTGGCCAAGATGTTTACTTTATTCAACATGCCCCGGCGGGGCATGGACATCGAGGAGATCCCGCGAGAACACCAAGAGATGACAGGCCATGATCGTTTCTGCCAATTACGTCCTGGCGCGCCGCAACGCCGTCGACGTCGCGGCGTTGCCAACCGACGCACTCAGAGCGCCATAGAAATCGAGTGCAATAACGACGCCTTCGCTGGCGTGAGGAGCGTTCTATTGCGAAAGGAGAAGAGTGCGAGTATCGAGGAGGACGACGTCCTTACGCCGATGACTCCTGACACGCCCGATGAAGAGAGCAGGGGATACAATCAATTGACCAGCAAGATCGACAGCTTGGCCAAGATTCTGTTCAATAGGGTGTATGCGGTCAAAGGCTACAAGGATCCGGGTCCCGAGGTGGCGAGGTGAGTGACTATCGATGAAGTATATTGACTCGGATCATTCGCTCGGCATTTATTCTTTACGTGTTTACGGCGAACCCATTGAACTACAAAAATCTCGACTGGAATACTTGCGCGGGAACTAGAACCAACTGTCAAAGAAATTCAATTTACGTCGAGGCTCGTTTAAGTATTCACGTACGTCGTCCGAGCATCCTTATTGTTGAAACGTTCAAACGCAATTCCTCGAGAGAGCACTGTAATATTGTTCAGACTACGTACTCGTGCACTCCACGGTTAAAGTGCATGTTTTCCAATCGCATATACATTCGAGCAAAAGCAATTTCGATATGAAACACTCGACGGTGCGCTAACAGCATTGTCACAGATTTCGGAGAGCGAGCGCGTGATGCGTGTACGTTTAATGGACATGTAATCAGAGTCCATTACACGGGAGTGCTTTCGCAGGTAGCTGCTGAGAGGAGAAGCCGAGAAATAAATGTTTACCGCGTCTCGTTTGTCGCGATAAAAGAGAAAAAGGAGAAACGGCGCTCGCAACGTTTCGCGAAGCACCGATATGTATGATCATCTTGACACGAATTCTTTGGTACATACCCTCGAGATGCGAGCTGCTTATTGTCGCGGCGCCAGGTTTCTAACAATTTTCTTTTCTTTTCACGCTGAGGCGAAAAAGAAGAAGCCTTATGTAATTTCTCACTGGCATTGTGCTTTATCAAAGAAGCTTTGTTCCTCACAATCTCTCGAGTGATGACGGATGCGCAGAGCATGACAGAGAATTTCTTATGGAGAGCTTTTGACTTTACCAAGTTTTTCCTTTTTTTTCTTCTTTTTCGAACTTCTTCTCTTCTTTATTAGTTAGTTTCTCAAACGAATTTGCCTTTTCAGTGTCCAATGTTAGCTAATATCGATGCTTAAAACGATCGATCGAAAATTAATTCGCAAAGTAAACATTCTCCGTGTAAATATAGCAAACGGCTTTAACAGTCGCGGTCGCTGGATTATACGTGTATCGACGCCTGCCGGAACGACGGTGGAGCTTTGTATCTTGTTCGCGCATCAAACGAACAATCAACTTTGCCCACTCATTTATTTATGTGCCCGCGCGACGCTTCAACTTTTGCTCGCGATGCACGGGACGATCAAGCTCGATCGGCACAGGCAGTGTCAACGAACGGGAATCGTCGCGAGGGTGGAATACTTACCTCTGAAAAAGAGGTCTACTCGAAGGTAAATATCCTGATTACGTTTGCTTAACATTGTAAACGTCGCGATAACGTACGGAACTGGAATAACCGCGCGCAATTTTCGTTCCGCGTCACACGATTGCACAACAATCACGCACCTGGCCAGTTTGCTTATTGGTTCGATCGCTGCGGGTCTCGTTGAACCGACGTAGTTTTGCCGAGCGGAAAATTCATTTCCAATTTTCCAGGAAACGCGCCAGCGAGTTATGAAAACGTTCTTGTTTCGGATGCAAACTCGTTTCTGTTCTTTTTTCCGTCGCGTTCCAGAAACTTACGAATCTAAAGACCACAAAGTAAAAAGAAAGAAAAGAGAAACAAACGCGTGCATATCGTAATCTGCGGTATAATTTAGTTACGTAAAAAAGCGTGCGGTCGCAGCAGAAGACTTCTCGCGGCTCGCCACACACGCACACATCTCTCGTTTCTACGATTTTGTTTTCTTTTCGCGCGCGCACGTGAGAAAGAGAGAGAGAGAGCTATGTTATGTACGGCGACTTTATTGGATGAAAGCCCTGCGCGATTCGTGCGCCGACGAATATAATCCGCGCGAGCCCAGCGAGCACTTCTTTTTGCCGTATTGTATTATTGTCGAGGTGGCTTTGTTATGCTTCCTTATGATTTTTAAGGATTCAGCTGGCGTCTAATTTCAATCCTGTTTGAATTTCATGTAATCGTGCAGAGTTGTCGTACACCAAGGACTCCACGGTATCCAAGTATTAAAATAGTCGTATCGATCTGATTTTGCTTGGTATTAATAACGATGGCGTTCTTGATTAGCTATGCTTTATTGATCGGCTCGTCACAATCGATTTCATTCCAGGTAAATCTATATCACTGAGAGTAGTGGCTGTCTCGAGTTTGCGTTTTGATATAATTAATAAGCTTTCAAAAGCGTTATATTCCGTTGAAAAGGATGCGCGTGAAATACGAGCGGACAATTGAATTCTCGCACAAAGCCGACGCGATCCCTTTCAAACTCCGAAGAGGGATGTCATTCGATAATTCGACGGTTCGTAGAATTGCCGTTGCTAAACTGTGGGATTCTTTGCGCTGCCGAGAAAGAAAAGTCGTCGGTTAAAGCGAACAAGGGGCGCCGCCCGTTAAAGTCCAGATAATCTGGCCAAGTATTTCTCCGGGTGCGATTAAATTTCACAGAACGCTGCCAATCGTCTATGCGCGGACCTTCTCTTTCTTCTTCCGCCGTACGAGTTTTAGTTTACGCGGTATTATCGCGCGGCTTATCGAATAAATGCCATTGTGACGCGTGTATACATTGTAGCAGTACCCTTCGAGAGGAAGGCTAGATCGATGACTTTACAGGCGAACGCACGTAGTTTCCATATCTGATCGATCCGAGCCTAAAGTAAGACACACCTTTGCAGAAACAATGGTCGCCAGCAGTACATGGCGCTGGAGCAGCAGAATCGCGTGGCAAGCGCGCTCGACGGTACGGCGACGGGCTCATCGACGACGGCATCCTCGTCGTCGGCGCCGACGCCAAGCAACGAGAGCAGTTCGGCCGAAAGCATGGAGATGGAGAGACGATCGCGAGATCGTGCCTTATCGATCTGCCGTATCTACACTCGAGAGACGCCCCGCTACAGCCTCCTCAAGCATCTCAACAACGCCGGTACGGATTTGCCAAGCAGCGCATCTTACATTATATTTGACGAGAAAGAGAGAGAGAGAGAGAGAGAAAACCAAACTAGATCGAAACTGGCATTCGCTCGAGGCGACCTAGTTTCTTCGCGAGAGGTCCTGGTGCGCGTGCAATATTGTCGATTTATCGTTCGTAGCCCCCTCGTCGAACGTCACGTTCGATCGGATGATCAATGCCGCGCGTGAGCCAGCTCCTCTCCTTTATTCTGTCTTTTTTATTATTGCCAAGCGCCACCTGTTGATACAGCTCGAGCGCCCTTTTCAATTACAACTTGATTGGCTGCGGTAAATTATTCAGGGCAGAGTTGGTCGATGTCAACGGATAGCCCCCCTCGTTGCGATTAGCGCGCACTCGATTAAATGGACATATTGAATGTTGCATACGCTAGGTTCTCGAGTAGACAAGCACTGGTTCATAGTGCGCGACAATCTGCTGAAAACAGACCGGCTGTTAACGTTGGCGCCACTGAATCGCAATTGCAGCTTGAACGTCTGCCCGTCGACTCGCGACGTTCTCAACAAGCTCTTCCTTACGCTCCAGCACCCCTACATCTGCCCGATTCTCGATATCGAGTTCGTTCAATACGAGGGCCAAGATTGCGTTGTTCTCGTTCAACCTATCAACCAGGGTAGCCTCAAAGACATCATTTATGGCGTAAGTGTTTTCTTGCTTTTTTTTCACTGTCTCACTGCTGATTGGTAATTACGCTGCCGCCGGAGAGATTTATCGTAGCAGTGAGTTTTCTGGAGCAGAACAGTTTAATCTTTGTAATTAATTCTTGCTGCTGCTCGTGGTTTCTTTTTTTTCAAGTGACTCTGGCGAGTGCAACGGCACGCGGCTCTTGGGAGCGTCTACGTCGATAATTGAAAATTTTTTTTCCTCTACGCTCCTGCAAATTTTGTTTTAGCGGATAATTGAGTGGCAAAGTAATGAAATTACCGCGCGTTCCTGTTAGCTCGGAACTCTAACTTTGTCGCTGTAACGACTTTTTTTTTAAGCAGTTACTTTTCCTCGTCCCCAACGAAACTGCTCATGGGGGCGAGGTACGTAATGTAGGGCGCAAACGTTTCGCTGTCCGACTCGTCGACAACTGCGCGCGACAACGGGCAGCACAATTACACGCAAAATTTTGATGGCAGATCGAACGCAACTGCTGGAACGAGGACTGGTCGCACAAGTACAGCAGCCGCGGCAAAGGACTGCCCATCACGCAGATTCAACGTATGGGCCGTCAAGTATTGGAAGCTCTGATGTTTCTGAAAGAACGCGACTTTCCGACGGTGGCGCATCTTCACTCGGGAAACGTTATAGTGACGAATGGTGTCGCCAGACTCGCAGCTCTTGAAAACACTTTGCTAGGGTTTACGAGTCGAATCCATCCTGTGATCGCCAGTCGACTGCAGAATCATTGCAAAAATCAGCTGGCGCCTGTGTCTATTGATACTATTTGCTTTGGTAGACTTTCTTTTCCTTTTCAAGCATTTTGATTAATTGCTTTGAGGATGTCACGAGCTTCGGATTGACTTTTGTTTGGGATAATTATCGACGACTCTAGAGCGGAATCGGCAACTCCGAAACGAAAGCTTTTGACATGCTCGAGCTTGGTTTACGTCGTTATTGCGAGATTTAATTAAAATAACCGCAAAGCTTTCGCTTCATAGGTCACATGCTTTTTGAAATGACCGCTGGCTATGAGCTGTGCACTTTTGAGCCGACCGCTGCTAATCTTTCCGATATTCAGAAATATCCACAGGTGCGCTAAACCACGTTATTTCGGTTATTCTTATACGTAACATTGCACTTATTTTTTTCACATCGTTTTTAAATAGACGAGTTGATGTGTATTTTTTAATAATTTAAAATGTTCCGCTTATAGGTTCTTGAGTGTCTGAGGTTTATATTCGATGGACCAATTCATGGATTGAAATATCCAGGCGTGGAGCAGTTAATACTACACGATTTATTTCGCAATATTGATCTTCGTGAAATGCGAAATGCTTCAGTTAACGTGAGCTCATTGTTCATTAAACAACATAAATAAATGCGGCATTTGCAACAATTTATCATAATTATGTTTCAGATTTTCCGTCCAGATACATCCATTCCAATATCAAAAATACTCGAGGGAATCAAATGTCAAAAAACCAATACGCCGATTAAACGGTAAATCTTTTTTACGATGATTGGATGTGAAATTTTTTAATGTTGCATGATAATTAACTGCATGAATGTTTTTATTTTTTACTTATGATTTCGCATGCACAGTCGCCATAGATCGCGATCAGCCAAGCGTTGGTAACAACAATGTAATCATTTGAATTTGGAATATCTTTGCAAATATCTACAAATACTTTATATCGAACAAAATACTAATAGGCTTATTTGACTTTGCAGATTATCAAAAGATGATTCCGAAGATATGATATCGCTTAGCAGTCCTGACAGTGATGAGCACAGTGAGAATGGTTCATTGCTTGCGCAAATATACAAGGAACTTTCTATGACATCCGTTTGAATAAAAATTTAATTACAGAATGAAAGGATATATATGTGTGTGTGTATACATATATATGTATGTATGTATGTATATGTATATATGCTACCATGAGAAATGTCTTTTCAGAAAAATAAAAACACTGAAAGTAAAAAAGTTTGCAATATATTTCAATTCTTACAGGTAAAATTTGACATTCACGGATTTCGTTAGTTAGATCACAAGTTATTATTTAAGTTATCGTTTTTTCTTTAACTGCCAAATTGTAAAAAAATATCGAGTAGTTATACATCACTGATGCTATTACAATGGTATTATTAGACACTACAATGATTTATTATTTTAACGAGGAAAGAAAAAAATGAGTACATTTTTGATACATTTTAAAATCAAATACAGTTTACGCGATTTGTCTTATTGTAAATATCGTATTACTTGGATGAATACAAAAACAACATAATAATTAAAACGTTGAAAATAAAAAATGCAAAATATACATTTAAACCTAATGGCTTATGGAGCTCCAGTTTCAAGTTCACTGGCAGGTGTATCAGGTTCTTCATCATTATAGATATTTTCAGCCATTTGCCAAACTTGCATGATGTTGTCTTCAGACACAGAGCAAATTACCCATGCTTCGTTAGGATTCCATGAAAAATCACTTATTTTAGCAGTGTGACCACCATGGATGAACTGTATGAAAAATATGACCATCGATAAATATTTAGTCTTTTCCTCCACACAACATTCAATTTTTTGATTCTTACCAATAATTCTGGTGGACCATCTTCAGCATCTTCCGTAGACTGCTCTTCACCAATTTTACTGAGATCCCACACATGTAAACGCCTGTCAGTTCCACTGCTAGCCAAAATAGTTTCGTTATGGGGTGACCATTGAACTTGAAAGATTTCATCTTTATGTGATTCAAACGAATGCAATTTCAATTTTAAATTCCTTAAGTCCCATAATGCAACAGTTTTGTCTGCACTACCAGTTGCCAGAATAAATTCAGAGTATGGATTGAAACTAAGACAATTAACTTCTGCTGTGTGAGCATCAACAGTATGGCTTGGTTTACTTGTATTGTTGCATCTGAAGTGTAAAATTACCAATTACAATTTGAAATGAAATTTACAGATAATTTAACAAAAAATGAATAAATTTTATGCATACCGTGTATCCCAGATCATTAATTTCTGATCATCAGCAACAGATCCAAAAAGAGACTCGTGCAGTAAATGCCATGCAACATCTTCCACAACAGCAGTGTGACCGGTAAAAATAGTTTTAGCATCGATAACTCTGTTTTCTTTAGGTGTAGCATTGATATCCCAGAGACAGATAGTATGATCATCTGATGCACTCAACAGGTATCCATTTAAGTTAGGATTCCAAGACAAACCATATCCTTCTTTTTGATGTCCACGTAACCTGCAATAGACCAATTTTTTTCCCTATTGTAAGTCACAAGCAGCTTAAGAGACAAGTAAAATAAATTTCACTGTGGAAAAAAATTTACCGCAAATCAGGATGACACTCTCCATTAGGGTCAGGTTTGCTAGGGTGCTTGGTGTAATCAAAGACCAAGACATCACTGGAAGGTGTTTTGGTTGCAATAACACAAGGATTCTGAGGCATATATCTTGCTCTATTGACTTCTCCTTCATGATTGATTTTGATTTCAATCTCTATCTTTCCACTGACAGAACCAAAACCTCCAAATTCACCTTTCTCATTGTCATAGTGAGAAGCATCAAACTGAGCATCTTCATTTGGTAATTGAACACTGGCAATTAGCAAATGATTTTGCTCATCAGATGTATGAGTACCAAGGATGAGACGATGAACAGAATAGTCCTTTCCTTCAGGTCTTGTTACATCGGGTAACCATTGTGCTGTAAGCGATGGCCATTCCAATGCATGGGTCATGACAAGATCATACAAGAATGGAGTGTTCTTCTTCCAAATCTTATATTCTTCATTAATAACTCTTTCTTCAACAGCATCATCAAAAGGATCTGAAACACAAATTTTGATATAAAGTAGTTGTAAAAATAGTTGTTTCCAAACATCATTTAGAAAAGAATAGAAGAAAGATGCAGTATATTGTAAATAATTTCATTCACCGCCGTCTCTCCGGCAATTAGGCGCTCTTCTCAAATAATGGGTGTTTACTTCGGATTGCTCTGTATCACTTTCGTGACCGTTCATCATGTTTGTTTAACTATACGAAAACCCACTTAAAATTAACTTTCCTCAATTCAACAAAACAATAGTATCTAAACGAGAAGCAATAAGACTACAGAAATTGTTCAATTAAAGACCATGCCACGAACAAACGCCATTAATAGGAATAATTCACTCGCAGGTTATCTCACGATGACACTTGACGCATTAATTGGGAAAGTATAACTCTAAATGTTGTATACACCGAGCGACTAAGGATGCAAATGCCAATTTCTCGGAATCACGAATAATTATCAACACGATCGGTCTATGTGAACAGTTTTTGGTGAATTCGCGGGACAGCCGAAGGGACGCGAGCAACCACTACAAGTCGATTAGAGTGTACGAACATTTCAGAGCGTGTATATAACTTAACTTTGTTTACAACTTACCACCGTCCTTGTCGGCCATTGTGTTTGTTTTGTTTTGAAGGTCTTTTAGGACGTCTGTCTAGGACAACTGTTTAAACGGCTATTTGCAATGAGCGAGCAGAGGAACGTGCTCACAAACCCGCGCTAGGCCGCGCCAAAAGTATGTCTCCTTTACCACCTAATGCTTCGCTTTTTTAATCGTTGTATCACATTGCGCATGCGTCTGCAAGATGTAAAATTTTCATAAAATTTTACAGAGGCAATGTTAATAATTTATAAATTTGACAGATATTGTAAATGTATCTATTATAATAATTCATAATTTTCTATGTTACTTACTAAAAGAATTTTATCTGACAATATTTTTATTTCAGTTTACAAATTTTTATAATATAATGACAAATTTCAATATTGTTGACTACTATTTTACAAAAGAAACTAAAAACTACATATTTTATTTTTTATCTTCTTCGGAAGTATTATTTCAATAGTTTCGATAAAAAAATCATTAATTCGAGGTAACATTAAGGAAGCGGGAAGTGAAACGAGTATAGTTGCGCAGCAGCAAAGGTCTTTTCCGGTTCTGTCAACGGAGTGAGAAGTACAGACTATCACAATGGTAATAAAATAATCTTAAGTTAATGAATACATCAATGAAAAATAAAAGTGAATATTATTACTTGACGTAAAGTGATTTCATCTGCGTTGACAGATAGTGATATTTTTAATAATTATGTTGCAAAATATGTTCATTTATTATCCGAGAGTGACATGAAAAAGTGGGGTTATGTTATTGTGTTACAATTGTTGATTATTATTTTAAATCCATGAATAAATTCGATGATCATTTAAAATAATTATTATCTCAGTTTTAATGAAAGTTTTATTAATAATGAATCCGTTATTAACTTTTTTGTATTTGTTGTCATTGACTTAAATAATGATACTTTTTAGGTTATCACTTTGCCTTGCGTAATTGTATCTACGAATATTAAATTAATTGCTTGAAAAATAATACAAAAGTTACTAGATATACAAAGTATTTTCAATTTTAATGATTGCGTTATCAAAATACTGATAAATATTCGATATTAAACAGGCTAAGCGTACAAAGAAGGTTGGAATCACTGGTAAATATGGTACCCGTTATGGTGCTTCACTCAGGAAAATGGTCAAAAAGATGGAAATCACACAGCACAGCAAATACACATGCACGTTCTGTGGAAAGGTATGAAAAAAAACAATATATAATTATTAAAAAATAGTATTTATATTGAAAAAATTGTATAATGCTTTATGTAGGAGGCTATGAAACGTAGCGTCGTCGGCGTCTGGTCCTGCAAGCGATGCAAAAGGACTGTTGCTGGTGGTGCTTGGGTTTTCTCAACAACCACAGCTGCATCTGTTAGATCAGCTGTTCGTCGTCTACGTGAAGTAAAAGACCAGTAATTTAATTTAATAAAAAATTTTTAAGAACATCTCTTTATAACTCTTCATTTCACCTCCATGTCTTTGTAACATTTGGAAATATTTAGGATTAGTGAAAGCTCAGTGAAGGGTAAAAAACTTTACAAAACAGCTTTACATTACTTCTTATTTTTTGCATTGAGTATGAATTTAACATTAAACGCATATATTGTAAGTTATCTTAACATGGTAGTGTATCATTGTCGGATAAAATACATAGGTCTAATACTAATTTATAATTCACAATTGTGGTGATTCTTTAAATTCTTTACAAGTATGATGTTTCTTCAATCCTTTATAGAAATATATTTGCATAAAGCTGTGTTCTAGAAAAACGTGCAATTTAATGAAAAAGATAAAAAATGTGATGATTGTTTTTTTCTTTATGGATACACTGGATGACTATCACACAACAGGATTTTGACAATTGATACAATTGTCCATTCCTGTGAAACTATTGACGCACTACCAGCAGTACAATTAATTTTAGTATTTCTAAATTAATAAATTTCAGAATTGAAATATCAAGTGTTCAATAAGTTTAAGTCTTCTCTGAAAAAGAGCTTATCAATATATTCAGCTAAATAATTTAAGTTTACTTGAAACCTTGTAAAACATTAATTCTTATGAATTTAACTGAAGTATGTAAGGAACTATTAAACTTTAAAAAATCACCAATGATATCTGTAAAATTATCGTTATCATCCTTCCCTGAATTCCCTCCATATTAGCTCATCTGTAGAACATTAATTTGTATAATTACTTAGAAGTACATTAGCGTATAAATTGTATATATTGCAGAAATTGAATGTAACATAATGTTGATTATGATAAGTTTATGGAGAAAAGGAAAAGCAACACATTAAATTTCTGCGTCATTTTAATTAAACCAATCATTAAAATATTCTCAATTATTTGTAAAAGAAAAATTATTACAGCAATTATGTTTTGAAAAATGAAATGACACAGATTTCCTACAAGTCTTACGAAGTTAAACGTTAAAGTTTTACGAAGTTTAAACGAAAATTTGCATTTATAATTTCGAGCAGCTCCTTTTCTTTAAAAATATGGTATCACTTATTACTTATAAGAAAAAACAGTAGAGCTTAAACAATTATTTTGAATCAGATGATTTTTTTAGTTTATATAATTTTGATATAACCTTTATTTTTTGAATTCAACACATGAGTGAGCTATAAAAAACACCTGTATTCATTATAAAAATGTGAATGTTTCTATAAGTAGAACTTCATTTTTCGCTATTACAAATATTACAAAATATTCCATTTTACAAAAACTTGCACTGGATATCTTGTAAATTGTAAAAAAAAAACGATTATCGTGACTTTTAAATAACTCACTCTTGTACAGAGAAAATGTTAAGAAATTTGATAATTATGAATTACGAAGCGTGTTTGTACATATTATTAAAGTTAGGACTTAGAACTTTAATGTTCAAAAGTTAAATAATAATTTTGTTTCTTACTACCAACTTATATTGCTTCAATACATACATTTCTTAGGACTCAGTCCTAACTCATTTTTAGCTTTGAAATATTACTTCGTACAGTTTAATTTAATTAAAAAACCTGTTAATCTACGAGAGAAATATTAAACTAGCAGTATTTTCCTACTTACAAGGTAAATTAGAAGCATTAAAAATACTCAATACACACAAAATCAATAAATTTAAAGCAACTATCCGTATACAGGTAGATAATAGGAAATCATAATCCTTTCAATAGTTCAGGACTCAATCCTAAGCTCAAACAATAAATTATTGTCCTTAGTCCTAACTCGCAAAATGCAACCACCACTAAGATTATTTTCTCCGTACGTCACACACCGATCGCTTATATAACAAGCGCATGAAAATTAGATTGTTAAGAAAAAAGAGTGTGTATGTGCGCGCGCGCGCGTGTATATGTGTGTGTGTGTATGTGTGAGAGAGAGAGAGAAGGGACAAAAATAAAAAAAAATAAACAGCATAGAAATTTTCAATTTTTAGCGCCTCATTACACAATTGTAATAATCAGTTGAGAATTTAGAAACACAGTTAAAAATTCCGAGGTAAAAGCATATTAGAGCGCATTGGTCGCAGCTTCGCCTTCGGGATGCCCAAAACTGGGCGCGCAAACGCTAAAGTCCTTGGTAAGGTCGCGAATATCCTTGTCCTGTTGCGTTATATCACAGTTAGTCGTCAAACTGACACTAGCGGCGCCGACGCTGTCGTCACTCTCGCTACTTGCACCGGCGTTGTTAGCGGTAAACCCAGGAGTGCCAGCTGCTACTGCAGCCGCTACAGTATTTGCTTGAGCCAATTCAATCAGTGCCTTCTGATTCTCGCGAGCGTCTACTAGAAATACACTCTCTTTGACCTCTTTCGCGTTGTATTCATCAATTCTAGAAAAATATAAATACATACGTATTAATACCGATGTAAAGCTTATAATTGATGTTATTCCAAATTTCTGCTTCACAAGCATAGAAGTTTAATTTTGAATCTACAACTTATCTACTTTATCGCAAGTTAAAATAATTTGAACAATTATATGTGGTTTAACAGCTAGAAAAACTTACTTATCGTAAATGACGGCGTGTAGGCCAAGTTTTTTCAGATGCTGAATAGTGTCTTTATCATTATTATCATCACCCCAACAAAAAATAATGAGACCACGATCTTTGACTAGCTTAACTTGACTTGGATCGCGTAGAATATCCTCCGTGTGAACGTTGATCCCGAGAATATCCGCAGCCAGTGCGTGTCTCATGGCCATCGGAATTGTTTGACAACGAGGATCGTGATAAGTCGGATATTTGGCGGTCACGCCTTGAGTCAAGAAAACCACCGGATACTTGTTTTGTTTGAGGCGTATCATGGCGCAAATGTCAGGGTTGAACGATGAAAATACAATTTTTCTTTCGCCACCGTGCTCTAGCACGACTTTAAGTATCGTATCTAGGTAGACGTTGAGATCAAACGGATGATTAAGTTCAAATGTGCCGTCCTGAAAAAGTTTATACATTTCTTCATTTACAGTTCATATTTAAAAAATAATGGAAATCAATTTAGACCTGATGTCAGTTTTAAAAAGCGTATTTCTTAGTAAGGCACATCCATTCTTTTGATGTATTTTTCTTACAAAGAAAATTGTTTTTAAACACTTACGTTTTATAAAAATATCGCCTTTAGAAACATCGCGAAGGTATTGGAAATGGAAATAAAATCTTGAGGATATATCCACCAGAACTACTTTTTCAGAAATCAAAAATTGTTACCTTCAGCTGCATCGTCCACTTGATTTCGATATTGCAGCCTACATGTTGTTCCAACTCTTGCAGCGCACCCTGAAGGGTCGGAAATGGCTGATGATCTTCTAAGTCTTCATCAAAGAACTTTGCAGCTTTCTCCCTACCTTCGTTCACATGATAAACCTAAGATAAACAATGAAAAGGATACAATTAATTAATAATTTTAGCTCTGATATTTAAGTAAAAGATATAAACTACAGGCGATAAGGCCAGAAGATCCGTGGAGGCTTTTTGTCATACATATCAATTCTATTTTTGCACGCAGTATGTTTTCTTTCTTTTCTTCGTTAATGCACGCAAAGAGAAAAGGTGAAGAAAATTTGTGATCGTAGCATTGTCTTTTATCATATTTGAAGTCGTATGGGGCATGCTGCACGATATATAAAACATGAGAAAGTGAAGGACAGTCTAAGTGCGAATTATGTTGCTCTTGAATAGTGTTTGACTTAGAAATTTTTTCGAGCAAGGCATTCATTAGAGAGTGAGATAGCTGATTTATATTTAAGCCTCGTCTGATGCTAACTGTAATGAAGGATTCTTCAAGTCTCTCCGATAAACACGTAGGTTCGTTGGTAAAAGTAACGGGAAACTTTGAAGAATGATGTTCGTTGAAGCATATGACTAATAATTATATACCATGAGAGAGAGAGAGGGAGAGAGAGAGAGAGAGAGAGTACTATGTGGGTTAGTAGGTGGTCACTTCATGTTAAAAATTAATTACGACATAAATTGGACGCGTTATGTAAAAATAACGCAGTTAGTCATACAACACGCCATTGGAGCTTCTCGAGGAAGAAAAGAAAATCTGAACACCTAAATAAAACTCAAAGTTTATTTGACGAGTGACCACCAAACTACGAGTCTCGCTGGATGAAATATGAATAGTTAATGCTGGTATATTCGCATGGGTGATGTCGTTAGAAAATTTCGTAAAATCAGCTGCGTCACATGCAATGAATGTTGCATGAGAGTTGTGTGCACCACGGCAAGTGGTGTATGATGGCTCACCGGTTGGTTAACCCAGCTCTCGGCTTTATCAACGTAATACAGCACCTTACCCAAGGAGTCCCCCGGGTAATAAAAATCCTGTTAAATATATCCAAATAAAAAAGCGATAATTTCGAAATTTCAAATCATAAGTACTTATCGTTCAAAAAAATAAATAAGTAAAAGTAACTTCAGATCACGGTAGAGTTTTACCATGTTATTCTCGCTACCCTTACTTTGCGCTCGGGAGACACAAGCTTACTTTTAAGTAAAGACCAGCATATCAGAAAGACAGAAAGTATTAACAGCGGAGGAAAAAAAGTAGTCGTAGATATAGATATGAGGTTAACAAATCTTTACAAAATGCCCAATCCCTAAAGCGTGGAAATAGAAATAAAATATTTGCTGAAGAAGGGAAATAGAGGTCATTGGCAACACTTCCATTTACTATATAAGATGATTCGTTGAATAAAAATATATATTGTAATTCATTCACGCTCTCACGGAATTATGTTAGTAACAATGGCACAATTAACAAAATTTACCTTGAGCAAGTGCAGTTGTTCCAAGGTGAGGTCCTTCACTGGTATCTCCAACATGTCCATAGCTTCAATTTGCTTCTTGCGCTTCATCGAGATTGATACGTAAAAGTCGTGATAAATAACGGGTACCAAGTCCTTGGATAACTGCACGTCAAACTCGACCATGTCGGCGCCGTGGTACGAGGCAGTCTTCAGAGAGGCAATCGTATTTTCACGAACATTCGCGCAACTACAAAGATAACATATTTAATTATTCATTTGCTAATAGCATTACATTATAATTTTATTCCGAAAGCTTGAGATATGAACCTTTTCATTTTACAAGAGAACGAATTTCCAAGTCCACGATGTCCGACATCCAGACCTGCCCACCTCTGCTCCCAGTGTTTTGCGTAGGAAATACTCATGTCCCATGGGAAGTCCGGTATAGGCTTTATTGCAACGTATTCTACTGTTAATTGTCCTACAATGGATAATATTTAAAAATTATAGTTAACTTGAATAATTTTGCATAAGTTCTCATGTATTCATCGATTAAACTGACCTATGGGCCTATGCTTAGTACTAGTAATGGGCACGGTCAAAAGACCAGTGCTAGTTTGCAAAGTGCTAGGCAAAATATAGCTGAACCCAATGTGGTTAGGTGGCTCCCCAGGAAAGGATCTTGATGTGTACACATAGTAGTCGACTAAGTAAGCCTGGAAATAATAATTTCATGAAAAATCAACGTTTATCAACACATTGTCCTATTAACAATATTTACAAATAAAAAATTCGACGTTTTGTTTTATGGCACATATTTCCACTACTCATCAATTATTTAGCCTAACATTTAGCTATCAACGGTGACAAGTTTAAAATCTCAAGAGACGTTTTTCTCATAAAATATTCAAATGATCAATGTCAATAAAAATAATAAGTTTGTTGTAAAATTTGTAATTCCATCATGATAGCTAAAGGTTAATTTCAACTAATGAATCAGCAATCGAAGATAAGAGTGTCAGCATTTCATCTTCTCATTTGACGGTGGAAAAAGACAGAGAGAACAAAAATAAGAGTAATGTGTGATTAAAATTCTTACACTTGACATAGAGAGATAGAGAGATTTTGGTGCATAATCTATTTTTAGATTTATAGGCACTTGTATTCAATTATGCCGACGACTCGGAAACGCTCGACTCTTACCGCATTGGCAGTGATCGTATCTTCGATCAATTCTGCTTTTTTATGTTGCGATCAAGAACTAAAACTGTATCACATCAATAAGACTGCAATTGAGCCAATTAATTGAATAAAAACAAAGAACATCATACAAAAATTTTTTTTCAATCGAATTAAGCGTTACAGTTTGTTTCTTGTGCAATCAAATCATTGAACCAGACCAATTTCATTTTTTTGTTCTAAATTGACAAATGCTATTACTGTAAAGCGGCACCCGCAACAACCTGCCAATCATCATCATTAATAAAGAAAAAAGAATTTCTTTTAACTTTCATTCGTTTACTCTTTTGTTACTTTCGAATTCAGCATTTTGTTTCTGGCATTGGCCAAGCAGCGATGCCCACGTGCGGTTTCGGTAGAGTCGTTTATTGCTAGAAAATAATGGCCATACACTAAGTATGATATAAAAGGACTATAAGGGACTCTCACCATTTTTCGACGCACACAGATGGTTACGAGATGTGACAGCTTGACATCATTTCTCTTAATCTTTGTTAAAAAAAACAACAAAAATAAAAAAACAAAAACAAAAAAAAAGAAAGAAAGAAAGCGGAACAGATTACGAGATCAGTATGAAAGCATTGCATTTTTGAATGATTTATTTTGAATTATTAAACTGATTAGCCAATATTTTGACGCATTATTCTAGCTTGTAGTTATTTTCTAAAATTTGTCAAAAACACATTCACGATCGTGAGCTTGCGATGAGTATGTTTGTTTTTAATTATCAATTATTGGCCGAAATTATAGGTGAATTATGTCATTAAGTTTACTCCAATTTTAGAATCTATTTACAAACAATGTGTGTGCGTCAGCATATTGATCAATTTACTGACTTAAAATGAATTATTAAAAAATGCATGTCTTTCATTCCATTCACACAATCTACTACGCTTTAGGAATGTAGACTGGATGTCTAGGACCCGTGTAAACCGCAGTCGCATTATAACGAATTATAAACAATGTGATGCAGTTAATATGACGTTCAAAATCTCTCTTTCTCAACTAGGTTATTGTTTCAATTACATATCATTATTCAATCATGAAATTTCGCTCTGCTCTTTTATAACCGCGTATTGTATAGCGCAGTTTACGAGAGCCCAGGCTTGGGGATGGGACTGGATTATGAGGATATTTTAAACGACTATCAAAACTATCATATCTCGATGCGATGTCATGTGACTTATGATGCAAAGCATTGCTTAGCATCTGTACATCAGATTGTTCAAGTTTCTTGCTTTTTTTGCACAAGTCATAGGCTCTCTCATTGTCATCTCTCATTATCCATTGTCCAATATATTAGTTGTAGGCCGCATCTCTGGTCTGGGCACACGCTGCCGAACAATTTAATCATCTTTTACCAAGTTGAAAAGAAAAAATGAAATTATTAGTTTAAGAAGACGCTGACAGCTTACTCGTAGTCTACTGAAAACTCGCATGATATGGTCAATTTGTGCATTTTATTTTTATTTCATTTGAATAAATTTAAGCCATTGTTTGTTGCTTTGAAATCAGACTGTTAATTATATCAATCACACAATGATTTTGCTTCTTTAAAAGAGTATCAAACAATGTTCTAAAGATATTCATTTCCAATTAATCTATATCAATACTAACAGTGAAGAAGTACTTACAACTGTTTCTGGATATCGAACTGCTACATTAAAGATCATACACTCGTCCTCATTATAGGCTCGACCAAACTGGTTTTGATGCCTAAAATAAGCCTCGTCATCATTCATGACCTAGAATAATATATCACAAGAGTTTTCAATATTGCTTAACAATAAAATTATGTTATGTAATAAATTATTAAATGCATACAGCTATCTCCGTAATACTGAATGCTGGCTGATCTACAATATCTTGAGTATCCATGGAGAGACTATCATCTGGACATTCTCCAAATTGTTGTAACTCTAATGAATTATGCCTAACCAAATTAACTGGTGTCATCTGGAATAAACAAATTATTATTATTGTTATTGTGACTTGCACAAAACTGTTTTAGTTCATAAAATCTTCATTCATTTGAGTTATTTCAGCTTACTTTTATATGAATCCTTCTATTTTGCAACTTATTCTTCCAAAGTTTAACAGGATTATTAAAAAGTTTAAATTGAATTACTGTTTCATCTGTGAGCCAACCTCTTTCAACTTTCATGTAACCGTTATGGTATCCGAATCTTTCAGGATCTGGCAGGGTTTCTTCATTAAAGTTGCTTGGAGCTAAAAATAGTTATAATTGTGAAATCCTAGAACACTTCTAAGGATATTTTCAAATAAGGTAAAGCTTTGGAACACTGTGCGTACCATTTTTTTTTATTTTTCTTGGTGTCATGTGTGTTTCCCATTTCCTTATAATTAGAGTTTTAGCTGAATTTTTAGTGACATTATTAGATAAACAAACTACAGCTACAAAGTAACGAAACTGTATGTCAGCATCTGAGGGCAACGTAATTTTTTGTGAAAATACCTGTCCTCTGCAAAAATAAATTAAAATTCTAACTAGCTGTACATTAATTCAGAAATATTTGCATTTAGATCCAATATGACTTACTCATCAGAATGCTCAGAATCACCATTCCCAAATGAATCTAATCCATCACTAGAATTTCCATAAAAATCAGCAAATTCTGATGTGCCATTATTTTCAAAGCCTGTTGGAGAATCTGTTCCATCATTTTCCTTTGTCAATTGGATAGCCTGATTATGATTCCAGGCACCCAATTCGGGGAGGTTACCAACAACAAACACAACATCATTTTTTTCCAGGCCAGGGACCTATTATAATTCATAAAATAATTGAATAAGTTGAAATGAATACTCATTGCCATGATAAATGGTTAGTCAATGAATATAGACACGAGTAAAAGATACAAAACCAACAAACACTCCGCGCTGTCAGAGCATATGATCATAGCACTCTCTGCTCATTTTCATATATTCTCAGAAAAACTTTGTGGTAAACATAATTATTCACTGCGTTGAAAGATTCGCTTATGCAATCAGAAAGTTTTCAGCAAAGTGATCTAAATATTTTGCACAAACATTCAACAACAGTACAAACACTAGGCATATCAATGACTGTTGTCTGTACAATTTCATCTCTCCTCGAGAATATCAAACAATCTAATTGCATCACATCAAATATAAAAAGATCAAACATATGACTTAATCATCCAACCTCTCAATGAATCAAACTACTAAGTAATAATTATGCCACTCCAAAGAGAGATTGAAGACAATGGTAACAAGTGTCTATATTTATCGCGGGAGCAATGAATGTGGGGTCTTGAAATCATACCTGGACCCTAAACATCCAATCAGTTTTGGAAGCCCTCATGCTACCTCCTGCTTGTTGAGCCAGGACAGTATTATCCTTTCCTCGTCTGTGATGCGATGGTGCCAAAAAACATGTATAGAAAATAACGTCATTAAAAATAGTAGCCTCTTCCAACACAACGGGCGTTTCAATCGTTCAATTTTACAAAGCATTACGAAAGATCGAGTAAAAACATCGTGGAGAGCCAAGGATTGCGCAGCGGCCGGTTGCAGTGTCAAGTTTATTGCGCGCAGCGCGCATAGTCATAGCAGAGAGAGCAAGAGAGACAAGGATATAGCGTGTCTGTCAAAGTATGGGGAAGGCTCGCCAGCGAATATTTGGTAAATAATACGGTAAAATGATGCAATGCTACTTTAGTTATGTCGCGTTGGGCCTAAGAGTATGGATTCAGACTCGAGCAAAAGGCTACAGACTAAATAAAAACATATGCCATTGCTACGCGATTGATTTATCAGCAATGCAGAAATAAGGGATTAAAAATGAGCCTTCGCTTTTTTCAGGGATGATTATACTTACATGTAAGGAAGTGTGATGAGGGTAAGGATGTGACTACTGGCACTTGGTCTTTCGGCTTCTGTCGCCTGCGAAGCAAATGTTATTTGACCAAGTAACCAGCACGAGCAAGCTGCTGCAGCGGCGGCGTGCCTTCCAGCATCAGCGTCATGTCTCCTCTGTTGCACTGAATTCGCACACTTTGCACTACTCGACTGGTGTGTAGCAACACTTAATATGGCTCACAATGCACTCGACGACGATGGAAATTTATTTTCTCTACGATCAAAGTCAAAACCAGCGGTGACCCGTTCACGAACTACGTAGAAAGCGTACTGACTCTGACTCCTCAGACGATTACGTAGAAGTGCGCTCTCTCGGCAACGACGACGGCGGTCTGCTCCGATTGGCGCTGCGTGTAGGTGTGTGCGTGCAAGTTAGCTGTGTGCGTAGCGCGTGCCGCCCGTGCCGAGTTCTCTCCGTGAGAGCGTGTGCTCAGCTACTTTCAGACTGTGGCGAAAGGCGGCTCCACTGTTTTATAAGTACTATAGCTTTGTGTGCGCGCTGCGTTATTTTGACCTTTCTTCAATTAATCTTGATTTTCTTTCTGTTTTGCTGCTCGCATTTATAGTTAACCGTATTGTTTAAGTCTTGTTTAGGACGGTAATAAATTGACGTGAAAAATTGTTTAAAGATATTTTTTAACAGCACGATGAATATTTATTTCATTTTTCAAGCGAAACATATTATTATAATTTTTCAGTTTTTAAGCAACGACGAAAGATCGAAGACGTTATGAATGATTTATTTATTAGTGTATTGTGTAGAAATTTTTTTTAAGAAAAAGTTACATTATTGCGTGAACGATGTAATTTTTAGAATGTAGACAAACGAGTCTTCAAATAAAATTTTTGGTTACAACGCAAAAGCTGAATATTGGCCTCCTTTCAAACAAATTTTATTTCGACAAATTAATAGCAAATATGAAAAATGTTGTATGCAGTAAATGGTTGCTTACTTTAAAAAACGATAAGATAAAAATAAAGTTTTGACATGTAGTCACGTCGGTGCAACAATATAATTCCTTCGAAAAGAAAACCTCGCTGCTTTTGAGTAATAACAATAAAAAAGAACAGGCAATTTTGCAGCGAGTGGTAGAAACAAAAAAAAGAAAGGAGAAGAGCGACAGCGAACGTATGACGTTACATGATAATCAACTAATGCAAGTACAATGATAGAGCGTCGCACGTGCCCCGGCTGACTATAGCGCTATCATATACTTTTGCCCTCTGTCAAGCTTTAACGACGCAAATTACTCGTCGCTTCTTTCCTCTTGCCTATGTACATATATACAAGAAATTGCTATAACATTAAGTATATATTGGGAAATCAGTGTACCGAAGAACTTTAAATTAATATTGGACCTGTGCCAAAATTGTTTTTTCGAGTTCGTAAAAACCAAAAAAAATACGCAGGCGTAGTTGGAAGTCGTGCCTAAATACAACCAAATTACGTAAGATAAGATATAATATTTCCAAATAATTCCAATTAACGCTTGCGAGTTTGAGAGTAAAACTCTCTTACAAGACTATACACACATTCGTGATACGAAAGTCGAGCAAGTAATTGTATTTGAAGTTAGTAAACGAATCCCTCGTATCCTCCGCTAAATTTAGAACGTGCGATTTCATCGCCGTTGATTCTCCATCGCAGCGATTGCTGTCATAGAGAGGATTTGATTGAGCGCGCTGCAAACAAACAATTGCAAAGTGTTGCTTCGCCGAACGCGCGGCGCCAGTCTGTTAGGCCAAATACTCGTCGAGCTCGCAGGTGTAAGGTCCAGTGTGAGTAGCAAAAGCGGCGCACGCCACGCTACGTACAGACGGCGCGGCCACGACCTTCGCCTTAGTTTTTCACGAGACACGGTCAAGCAATGACGCTGCGAGCAAGTTCAAATATTTGCGCGAACATTGCGCGCGCGGACGATCGAGGAGAGGGGATGCGACGCTGTGCACTGTCGCGCGCGCGCATTTGACTACTTTTAAGCGACGAAACGCGCAAGCTGCGCAGCCAGATTATGTCAATCGAAAGTTGCCTCTGCTCGATGCAAGTATACTAAGCTAAGCTTATCGCTGTATACAGTGTTGCAAAAGTCATCGATTATGAGAAAACTGTGTAGGCTGGCTCCATGTGTATGCAAATTATGCAAATGAGTCTTTAAGCTAATTAGATTACAGAACACCTGCGTACGTAGCTTATAATGATTCTCATGATGAAACCATATCGCGCTTGACTCGCCATTTTTCTTATATCAGCGGATATATCGGCCTTTCGTGTTTTAGAAAAAATTTAAATAATAGGTCTTCAACCCGTTGAGCGCGGACAGTGGCAACTATTCGCGCAATCGTCCTGTAATTAGAAATTCGAAATGTTGGGCTAATTATACGTCGATAACTGTGATATAGACCGAATAAAACTGCGTCGCATCGAGCTTAAATCGCCAGGTTCTCCTGGCGTCAACTGTTACACCTGTAATTTCATTGAGTCTCATTCGTCCCGGAGGAACGTAACAATTTCGAAAGTAAATTATTTAATTATTTTTCTTCTTAAATATCATTCAGAAAGAAAAAGGAAAAAATCTAACGAGGCGGAACAAGCACATATAATGCAAACTCGAAACCAGAAAAATCCGCGAATGCACAGAGCGCTTGTAGGGCTCTGTGTCTTTCTTTGAGGAAAGGCAGTTCATCGTTAAAAGTAAAAGAAGGTAGCAGCCAGCAGCAGAAGCCGAGTGGAAAAGCAGGCAGGGTTGGGTAGGTTTTCCGTGCAAGCTCGTTAGCGATATCCGTAGGATTAGCGCTTTTTCGCGTTTTGACAGAGTGCCAAGAGTGCAGTACCCGAGTCAACACATACACACACCCAAACAACAGAGCGCGGTTCATTTCCGCCGAGCACGAGTCCTTTTGTTGTGCTGCTGTTGCTGCTACTGCTCGGCGCTCGTGTCATCTTTCTCTTTCTCTCTCTCTCTCTCTCTCTCTCTTTCTCTCTCTATTCCACATTTGACGTTATACGAAGGACGAGAGCACAACTTTTGTGAATATTAACGCGTTAACGAGATTTGCGTATTTCTTCCCTTCTCGAGTGCGCGAGGGGCATCGATGCTGAGAAATTGGGTGTAATATGCCTTTGGCTTAGCACGTCATCAAAATTTGCAGGGTGAGAGACTACTCGAAGCTTAACGTGCAGCTTTTCATCGAGCGTTCCTTCGTCGGTGTAGCGCGAAGTTAAGCTCGTAAACAGTCCGGCGCCATAGAAAACGGCGTAAAGTTGTAAAACTGGAGCAATTAGCACGCGTGCGCGTGTCGTGCGTTGGCCAGTCGCTGCAACGAAATGCACAGATGCATCGATTCCCGTCGCGAATGACAGAAGCTTTCTCTCTACACCTGCCGGCTTTAATAACGGAAGGCTAATTATCTTTCGAAAAGGTTAACGAAGTGAAAGTTCTTTTTACTGACATTAGCATACGTAGCAGAAGGTAGTGCGCTAGAGGTAGCTAATAACTTGCCGCATGATTTAGAGCTTTCCGCTGCTACTGCGCCTCGTTTTTTGCCCTCCTTTTTCTTCTTCTTCTTCTGCGCTTCGCCACCCCGATGTGTAACGCACGTAATATACTGCGCGATATGAAAATTTCCTTCATAACCCTTAGCTACTTCACCTGTAACTACATTACGACTCTGTCTCGACGGAGAATGTACATAAGTGAAGAGAGGTGTGTTTTTTCTGTTTCGTCTACCTTGAGACTATTTGCGCAAGAGAGCTGACTTCTTTCAATTATTTGATTAGTGGCGGGGTTATGAAATTGAATTGCTTCTTTTCATCTCCCGCAGCTTACTTTTCTCGGATAACTCTTATTAGTACTTTTACGTCTTTTCTACGACTCACAAGTAGTTTTCCGAGATGCGAAATTTATTGTTCTGCGTTGCTGGCAGCGAGATACCGCCTGAAAAAGAAGTCTGCTGATGATTTTTTACGACGAGACGCTACTAATCGACGCCTTCTAAAGTGCATTATTCATTGCGTCGAGAGTCAATCACCGTCGTCGCTTTTTTCAGCCAATCCCAAACAAAAAGTGTCTCGTATCGTCTAAGCCTTGGCTTAACGAGCACAGTGGAGCAGAACTTTGCAAAGTGTTCGTATCGTTCGCGAGTTTGATTGAACGCAACGAGACGATTGTATTTCAACGGCTGCGAAATAATGTAGCGCGCCCGACCGCGCGTCGAGTTCGCGCGCGCATCCGCAAGCAAAAAAAAAGACAAGAGCAACGAAATGCAATTCTCTCGCTCTCGGGAGTTGAACGCTATAGCGCGCCACACAGCCGGCTCTGCAAAGAAGAACAAGCGTGGTCTATATAGTAAACAGTAGTATAAATCTATTTCAAGGCCGCGATAGCATGACTCGCGTGAAAGTTTCAATTACTCACTCGCGTGTTTACGGAAGTACTCCCCACTCGTTGTATATCGTACGATCTTATAATTGCGTAATATTCGTAGCGTCGAGTTAGACTTTGGACCAACGTGTGTCGTGCTTTTCTTGTCGTCGCCAGAGTGAATTGTTGCTCGGCTGAAGAGGATCTCCTTATGCGTTTTATATGGTTATATTTTATAGGTCAGTCAAGATTTCCAGGAGAAAATCAGCTTCTATTATTCTTGCGTTTTATCTCTTTTTTTTTCGTTCGGTTCGATGATGAAATATGAATAGGATTTTTCAGGCGAAGAATGAAAAATGTGCAACTCTTACGATGACGAAATTTTTCAACGCGTCGTAGCTCCTACACTTGAACTCGGCGCAACGTAAGATTACAGTATCGTGTAACGCGGAATGTTTGTTTTCGGCGAATAATATATTTCTGCTCGTATGACACGAATACGTGAACACTGTTATGATCATCAGTGGTCGCGCAAATTTGAACAGTCACTATCCAAATTGCAACTTTTGATCATCGTTTCAAAACATATCTCACGCACACACACACATACCGCGTAGCTATGTGTATCGGAAGGCGAGGCACTCAATCAGTATTTCACCTTTGGTGGCCTGTTAGTTCAAGAACGCGCAGCCTTTACTATACGAAATTGTAATGTACACTTGATACGACATTTGATTTACGGCAGCGGTATTAATTGGCAGAAAGCTTTCAGTAGCAACAGTCGAGTTGCCGAGAAAAGACCATGACTTTTTCGCAGGCACGGATTAGAAGCACGTGCGGCGCGTGATTCGCAAGTCACGCTCTCCACGCGGCAGCCTAGCCGCGTGAAAGTATAGCCGCGGACTTTGTTTGTTTTTCCTTTTGCTACTGCTGCTGCTGCTGGAGTACGGCATCGCAGTACGGCACTTTTGGAAGTGCGTACACGGAAATGTGTGTCAGACGATGCTGTAAAAACTGACTAATTCTGCACAATACCAACGCTCTGCGATCGTTAGTTATGCGCTTCTTTTATTTGCTCTTATCGAAACGACCGTGCGCGAGCAACGAGTGAAATGAGCACGGGCGCACGGGTGGACGCCGACGCTGCCCATTATCGGTCGTAGCTCGAGGAAAACACTTTTTTCTCCTCTTCGCCGGTCGTTCGAATTGAAAAAAAAGAGAGCGATTAGGAGAGGGAGAGCGGAACGTGTTGATTCATCCGAAATAAACGCGCACGAAGCGCGAGTAAATGTCGCGGCGTTGCTGCAACGCGCGGCAATGCTCGCTTGGAGCTTCATCGTTAAAAGAACCGCTCACACGCGCACCTGCAAAAGACACACCTAACAATTTTTTTTGCTCCCTCCAGGGGCAGGCAGCAAGAGAGAAAGGAGACACCCGCCACGTGATGTGCAATCGTTATACACTCTGTGTATGTGTGTGTGTGTGTGTTGTGTAGTCGGCGCGGAAAATCGATTGCACCGGCGGATGGGGAATTGAGATGAGCGCCAATTAAAAACCCTTTTTCAACGCGCTTCAGGCCAAGATTAAAATGGGTTTAGCAAATGCCGATGTTATCAGATTCTTTTTCTCGATCGTTCACGAAAGCCAGCAGGAGAGTACAAAAAAGAATCGTATCCGCTGATGAGTTTTTGAATTGACGCGCGTGTACAGCCACAGGATTTTAGCTTTTATTTACATTTTTATTAAAATTATATCAAAGTTTATCTTTTATTTTAGGAGTGATCGGAATCGTACTCCACCTGGCGGAACTCGCGCGAAATGAAATTAATACAACCTACCCCGATTTCATCATATTCCTCGCATGAAATACGAAAAAGAAAGAAACAATCGACACTTGAAATTGTGAAATTGAAATGTACACGTCCGCAACAAAAAACTACCAACAAAGCATTATCAATCAAATTGTAAAAGCATTGCGAACGCTCGCCAACAACGCATATTCATCAACAAGTAATCAAAAGCGTATGAAAGCTCGAAGCGGGTATCCGAGGTTCACTGGAAAGTGCAACACACAGACAGTCCGACAACAGTCGCGTGACCACGATTTTTCCATCGCGGAGAGGCGGCGAAGAGCGAGGGAGGCTCGGTTTTATTGCCGCGCGTTATTATATACTGACGCACGCGTGCTTCGATTATCGACAATTCGTCAAAACACTCGCTCTTCTTTTCTATTTTCTAGCTTGACTAACAGCTGCTCGCTCGTCATGCTGTTTGTTTGTCTCCTGCTAGATAGACAAAATATCTATTTTTTTCGCTCGTCTTTTTATTCCCTCTTCGCTCACTTGTTTGTACAGTTCTGTCTCATACTCGCGTTTGTAAAAGTTATGTGGTAAATCCGAGTGTAAAACTACCTCTCTCTCAGAGGTTTTCTGGGTCAAAGTATTTTCGCGGATTGCTTGCGCTGTCGTCATTTTGTTTGTTGTTTTTTCCGGGTAAAAATGTCATTCAAGCTCTTTTTTTCGTACCTTTCAAAGCTTTGAGCTGGGGAAACTATGGGGAGCCCTTTTTCAGGTGTACTTTCATAGAGTTATTTCGTTTAACTTGTGTGTTTCGCATGCGTCGGAGGAAAAATTTTATTTGCACTTTTATAAGTGAATTAGTTCGGGCCAGTAAAAAAAATTTCATTCGTTTGACGGATTGTCGGTCATTTTTTCAGCATCATATAGAACGGTGAAAGGTATTATCTTTTTTGCAAAACTATATTTTTATTCATTTTCATCTCCTTCGTTATGTAATTGATTGAGATATGTACCGCGTTCTCCCAAACTCTATCCAGTATCTTCATAATCATTTATATATTTCTTTAATTCTCAATAGAAATTACGATTTTAATAGAATAAGCTGACACGTACGGAAATTTCAAAAGTATTATCTTCTCTTTTTGTATTCTACAAAAATGGTATTACTGCAGATCTCCAACGGAGAGTGGGAAATTATGCAGCAACTCGTCTAGACATTGCTTGAGCTAATTGAGTTAATCTTTGGCATGAAAAAAAAAGTTGAAACTGTCTTCGCGTATCTCTTGATAAGCAAGTTAGCAAATGTAGAGCGCTGCATCCGATTCAGTATGAATACTGTTTCTCTTACTCCTTCTCTCTCTGTGTTTCTTTCTTGACATTGAAAAATTACCTTGCTGATTTATTTTTTCAAGTAACTTCACGGTATCGCTTCGTCGTCCGATGAGAATTTTTTGGGTTCATTTTGTTTTGAAATTTTTGTTTCAAAGTAAAGATTTTTTCGGGCACGTCAGGCCAGAAAAATTATTTCAGTTTTATAAGTTGTTCCAACTTTAGTAATTAAGCTTTCTATATGGTGACGCAAGCTAGACGCAAATGAAAGGATTTGTTTATGCTAAATCATCATGCGTAGCCTTCGATGTATACTCTAACGTGAAACGTTTCAGTGATATTTTATGGTAAAGCTGATTAGAGTTTATTGACCTAGTTGTACGAGATTACTGAGTTATTGTATCTCTTGTTTTGTAGCCCGAATGAGCTTGTCATTTCACAAAAGCCCATCAATTCATTTGATCGTAGTGGCCAAATTCCAAAAGAAAAAAAGAAGAGAGTGATTCTAAGTAATGCAGATTTTTTTCTATCAACCGCGAAGCCAACGAAATTAATTCTAAAAGAAAATGCCATCAAAAATGAAAAGAAAACGCTCGAAAGCTCAACGAATCGAAAAATAATTAGAGTACAGCGTCAGCACTTGATTTTGTGGAAATAGAGCTAGGGGTAAAGCACGAAAAGAGTAATCATCATCATCAGAAGCTCAACACTGAAAGTCATCTTGTTGTTCATTGCGTCTCTCTTTGTTCAATGTAACCCATTATATACTCTTTCCTTTGTGCACTTAGTTAATGCACTTGATGTATACAAGCACACAATCTGCGTGCCTGCGGCTGCAACAGCTTTTGAATTCAATAAAGACGCGAGCGTCGGTGTGATAATCTACGCGTGTTTACGCAAAGCTACTCATCCCTTTATGCTTTGCAGCTTTGAGCTTTTTGCAAACTCCCCCCCCCCCCCCCGCTCGTAGTATGTACTTTGGGGTAATGGCGTTCCTGCGAGTAATGAACTATGATTTCAAAGCTTACCACGCGGTTCTGCGCTACGTGTTCGTGTGTCGAGCGTCGTTGATATTGTTCGCGATCAGTGCCCCATGTGTAGACTACTCACGGTACAGCGCTTGTGTATAAAGAGGCATCCTACTATTCGTTAGTTAGCGCATTTAGTCGCGCGTACATACACCTACTACCGTTCAGCTATTCTCATTGGATTTGCTTGGTTTCTCTCACACACGCGTCCACAAAAGCTAATGTTTTTGGGTACCTCGCCGTTACTTTTTCTTTGTATAATCACAGAGCAGATTATAGCTACGTTGCTATGCAAGTAGTATAAACCTTATCGCGTTAAAATGTATTGTAAGCGAATTTTTTGTGTTATATTTCACATTAGAATCTGAAGCGTCATTACGTCTAGAGCATTTCATGAATTCGCATTACAGTGTATAATTGGTGGGCACGAAGAGAGATGAAATGTCACGGCCAGATAACGTTTGATATAAAATGCTCGTATTTTGATTTATTGATACAGTTTGTACAAAATATACATTTTAGCAATGTCGCGTATAATTTGTAGACGCTGTCGATGGTTTCGCCTATAAATAATGGTGGCATTCCCGATGCTGTTTGCATTGCGCGGAAACCAACTTTGGCCTTGTTTAGCTTCACTGTATGTATGCACGTGCTCATTTGATACGTATGTACGCGTGCGTAGTGAGAATCACGAAAGCTCTATACCATTTCGTACATAGGTGCACTCATAGTGTACATACCGAGGATAAACATGTGCTTTGCTGCGATCAAGAAAACCGAAGATAATGGCGGACGTGTGGTGAAAAACGAATCGCTTTAATTAATCGACCACGGACGACTATCGATCTATTCTCACACACTTACGCAACAGTGATGAAAAAAAAAATTTATTAAGATTGACAATCTTAACCTTGCGTCGTAAAAAGAAGAAGAAAAACACGATATCCAATCTTCCGTTCGATAAAAATGTATGCAACAGCTTCGCCGTGCTCTCGTCAGACATCAATCTTGCGAGCGCGATATGATTTTTATATTTACAGACTATCGCAAACTTGCTTTACATCTTCAGCAACGCGCGCAAGCCTTTGTTAGCCTGTTCGCGTAGTTGCCTCAAGAGAGGAGCATTATTTTTCGTGCGAGTGTATTTGACGAGCATCGGGAGACAAAAAATTGGTTACAATCGCTGCGGTTACGTTCACAGTAACAGTGTTTGGTGCACGTGGTCAACAAATAAGTTACTAATGCTAATTTGAAAAATAAGTTGCTTCGCAAATAGTGAAGCCTCGTATCGAATATAATGGGCAATCAAAAGGACATTTGAATAAATCGATTAATAACCGATAACTCTGCCTCGGGTGTACTAGCTTTCATGAGATAATTAATCAACTACCTACTTGATGAGAAAATGATCGATAATTAGAAAGTACATCGGCACGTGTCGTCTGGGATAAGACCCCTTCCGCGGAACAGTAATAAAATTGTAGAAATCTCTCGGCTCTATAGGCACACACACGCACACAAGCAACGTGTAATATCTACAGTGAGAGTATCGGTAATCACAGTTCGGTAGTGGCAACACCCCAGTACTGCTGCATCCTCGACGCGTCCTGCTCGAGCGAATCCAAAGCTCCTCTCTCTTGGATCACCGCGAAGTCGTACTCGAGGTTGTAAGGCATGAGGCGCTGCAGGCTACCGAAGTAGGCGGCGTTCGGGCCTCCGTTGAGCAGCCTGCGCCCACTGCCGCCGAATGCCGAGCGTAATATCGGCATTTGTTGGACCACCGCGCTCGCAGACGCCTCAAGCGTCGGCCCGGTGTCGAACGATCGCGCGCTGCCAAAGCGACGCGACAGAAAAGGTACGCCACTCGTGCTCGTTGCGCCTAGCTGAGGCGTGGACCTTGATTGACCTACTTGTGACAGAGATAAGTCGGTTTGTTAGTTGCAGCCTCGGCGGATGAGCTTTTGCCGAACGATCGGGGAGTTCGCGCGAGGGCCGCGTAGCGAGTTGATCGATGCAGCCGACGGAAATTGATGCATGACGACATTGTTATAGACTGCTAGATATCGGTCAGTCTCAACGAGCGTTTGAAGTGTCTTATCTGGAGTACGCGACGAGAAGCCCGGTTGCGATGCACTCGGTTCGCGGCGTTGCTAAGTTAGCGTTGGCAAGAAATTGGAGAGCCCATCGTTAAACAGCCGTGGCCAAAGTTAATAGACCGAGCAGGGCTCGGCGAGCGCAGATTTAGCAAACAAACTGCAAACTACAGAGGCGGGAAGAGAACAAAGAGGCTCTATTACCACCTCGTCGAAGAGCCGAGGAACCAGTCCGAGGACCACCGCCTGAAGTGAGCGTATCGAGTTCCTTGTCGAACAGCAACTGGGTATTTTGCTCGAGCATGTATTCCCAGCATCTCAATTGTTCGTCGCTCGGCGGCGGTGTCCTCTCCGTTTGATGCTGCTGCTGGTGCTGGTGCTGCTGCTGCTGCTGCTGACGAAGTTTGCATGCATTGGCCAATCGACTGCTTCCACCGCCCCCGCGGCCGGATGTGCGTTTGCGTGAACGCGGCTCGAAGAGGCCGACCTCGCTCGTTTGATCCGACTGGCCGCTCGGTGAGCTGCGATCTTCGCGTTGTTGAACCGTCGGACTGCAGCTTGACGCCGCGTCTTTCAAGGCGCGCTCTTGGTTGCGCTGACTGCTGCGGCTTGATTTCGCGCTCGATCTGCAAATCAGTTTGCCAGTGCATCGATAAGTTGGGATTGATGATTCAACTAGTTGCATAGCGGAAAGCAGAAGTAACAGAATTTCATTCGGGTTTCTTAGAAATTAATGTATTTCACATCGTATGATATCGCAGACAATATCCATGGTTAAATTTCAATAAATCTCGCAACGAAGCGGATCGAACTGTATTATCGAAAAGCCGAGTGACGTATTCAAGGAAATCGATGATTCGATAGGATATAAAAAAGAGAGCAACCACGGGGGTTTAATTATAATTTTTCATCCACCGTAGTGATACGCGAACGTCGTGCATGAACCACAAAGTACGTCGGGTTATTTGTTGATACGCGTGCAATTTCCGGCATGCAAATGCAACTGAAATATTGCATGATAATCAAATTTATCTGAAACTCGTGAATAATTCATTGCGGCGCACTTGCTGCGGTATCACAACATTTTCCTGTCTACTACTATTATCTCTTGCTGTGCTCGCGTATACATCGGCATTGTCAATGTATATATTCATGTACACCTGCAAAGCCAATCCAAATAATATTATATACCTCCTCTCGAGAGCAAGAAAATTCATTTCGGTAGTAAAAAATAGTCGTGCAAAAGTGAATGCACGGCCTTTATTAATCGGAAAAAGTATAAAATTTTATTCGTTCGGATTGCAGCGCCGCGTTCTCAAGCTTTAAATACTTTCTTCGTTCTTTGTTTTAAGATCGCCGCGAAAAAAAGAATAAAATAAAATAAAAATCATACAAAAAAAGAGCAAGCGTGCGAATTAAAAATATAGACATAAAAGATAACCTCGGGCCTATCGAACCTTTTAACGACCGCGTAGCGCGAGCAGCTATCGCGCCTCCTAAAATAATTTTATGCGGCGCAGTTTAACGATCCAATAACTCAGCCGCGGGCTGTGTCAGTGCAGTGCATTGCTCCCGAAGAAGAAAGTATAAAAACGAAGAGGGCGAGCAAACCTGGCGCTGACGAGGCTGCGTAGCACGCCATTCAGGTAAAATCCGTTGGCCGATTGCGATTCAGCCGCAGCCGCGGCGGCGGCGGCGGCGGCGTGACAACAGCAAGCGGCAGGTGTCTCACCTGCGGCTGATAGCCTTGGCATGCAGCAGGGACACGTGCAGCCGCCGTTGGATTCCGGCTGTTGCTTGGCGTGAACCGCTTGACGTAATTCGCGAATCAAAAGACGCCCTAGCGGCTCGTTCGGAGCTGCCGTGGCCGTTGACAGACGCACCACGATCACGCTCAGATTGTCCTCCGCGCCGTACGCCTGGCCCAAGTCTTGCAGACGCTTGGCTGCGAGCACGGGATTTGCCTCGGCGCGGGCTTCCCGAACTGCTTCTTGAATGGAGAGCACTTCCCAGAGACGACGGTTGCCGATAATCACGAACTCGTCGTCGTCCTCCAGCAGCACCTGGAAATTTTCATATTTCCATGCAAAAGATCTTTTTTAGTCGATGAGCAAAATGTGCGCTGCTGGTGTGAATGGCCCGCAACGAGTTTTTCTTTTTCGCATAAAGTAACTCGATGTTTTTACTATTCGCGTGAGGGGTGGCGCGATGCTCGTTAGTGAAGCATTGGCAAAGTACGTCAAAAAATTAACATTTGAAAATTCTCTCGAAATCGTTAGTAACATTCATGTTCTGCTTTCGCTCTCTCTCTCTCTCTCTCTCTCTCTCTCTCTCTCTCTCTCTCTCTTTTTAAATAGCGTTACTCGATACAACGGAAACCCTTCTACGACCCTCTGCACCGTACAGTGCGAATCCGTTTAGCCTAGCGCAGAACTCGAAGATAAATTTCTTGTTTTTTCCCCGTCTCTTTTAGGAGCGTGTTCCACGTGGAAATTTCACGCGAGCCGGTTTCTCGGCCTCCATTGTCGGACTTTGCGAGGTACGTGAAATTTTCAAGATTGGGAGTTTAGTCATTGTGTTGCCGACACAGCTCACGTTTTCCGATAGTTGTAAAGAGCACACACAACTGCGACACAAGACTGCGACTGTGTACATCTACGTCCGCGGTTGTAAAGAATACTACGCGCAAAAAGAATTGTAGCGAGCTCATACATTACGTATGTGAGGCCCGTAAATTCTCACGCGACTCGCACCACTGCTCCGCAGCTCTCTCTCTCTCTCTCTCTCTCTCTCTCTCTCTCTCTCTCTCTCTCTCTCTTCGAGGCTTTGTGCGAGCAGTCCCGGGGATAAGAGTGTATACGCGATTGAATCAAAGAGAACTAGGATTTTGGCGAATTAGAGTGAATGTAGAATTGATCCGACAGGACGTAAATGCAAAGCTTCTGTGGGCAAGCTGATACTCGCACGGAGCATAGTTGTCACTCGCTAAATCCGGAGATGACTGGCATAGAAGACCTTTATTCACTCTAATTGACGGTCCGTCGATTTTCACGAGAATGAATGGGGGATGACTGACGTTGCGAATTTCTCACAGATTATTATTACGAAGACAGCGAGACGATCTAGTATCGACAGGCATATCCGGCGAAAAATCCAACAGCACAGCGAAGGAAACGGGCGAGCTGAATTTCCAACTGACCTCCTCGCTGATGGGTTCGGGAAGAGCGATGGGCAGCAGATCGGCGCCTCTCCTGCCACTCTGAGCCAGTGCCGCCTGCAGCCTGGCGCCGTACTGTACCCGGGCACCTTTGGCCAGCTGCAGCGGACCCGAGGCCCTGCACAGCACGGTCCGAGCTTCGCCGCAAGTGGCGGCCGTAAGCAGATACCTCGCCTTCTCCAGCTCCTCTTGCTGCAGGGCAGGCTGCCGCGTGACGTGCACCAGCGCGGCATCGACCCCATACTTTTGGCCCTTCTCGCGCAGCTCGCGGTGCGCCGACAGCAGCGTGTAGCGCAGGTACTCGCTGCGCGTCTCCTTCACCGTACGCTCCTCCAGCAAGAGACGCGGTATCATTTCCTGCAGGGAGCTCGGTGCCTCTTGATTCGAGCCGCCGTCGAACAGGCCGAACAGACCCTCGCTGTTGCAGAACGTTGGCATGCGCACTTGGCTCACCAGCAGTCTGCAAATTTAGCGCGCCCCGGTCAATTGAATCGGCCTTGACGCAATCTACTCTTCCTTCTAACTTCGCGATTGTTTCGGCAACTCGCGCTGCCGTTACAAAAACGACCCGCGCGCGCGCTTGAACGCTCGAACGCGGCGCGATCGATAAGAGCTTCGTTGCGAAAATGGATTCTCGTTTTCACGCGAACGCGTAGCCTGAAATTATAGAAAGCGTTCGACGCGAGCGCTGAAGTAACGAAGTTTGTGTGCTGTGTATCCGCTCCCGAAAGTCGCAACCAAAGTTGCATTATTTTTTGACGGCAGAGGAAACGGACAGGTGCGAAATTATTTCAAGTGCTTTCACCTGCTACTTTAGCTCTCTCTTCCTTTCCATAGCTGCACGCCAGATTTATACGGAACTTTACGCGCCGAAAGAATAACCAATGAAAAACCATTGAAAGTTTTGTGGGACTCGCTAATTTAGCTGCTGCGAGAAACAAATTAGCAAGTTTCCTTGCGAATTTCGGAGACGAAGGCTCTTGCACTCGACGGAAATATCTATAATTCCTTAGCTTCGTAACGATGCTTTCGCGCTGATTTTTTGCCTAACAATTTAACATGCGTTAGTGTTTTAACGAGCGCGCAAATTTCACTGCATAGCTTACTTTCCCCACGCTCGCATAGATCGTTCTAATTGAATAACAATGAGTAACAGTAAAGTAGCCTCTCTACTCGAGATAAAACGATGGACAATAGTTGAGTGCAAGTTGCACAATGACACATCTTGTCTTGATGCCTCGGAGAAAAACCAGTCCTAAGCGAAAATTGTTCGAATTCGAGACGTAACGTCCGTAACAACTTTCTAAAGAAAAGGAAGCCTATATAATTTTATCAAAGGTAGACAATCTCCACGGCCGAGCGGTTGGTTACACACTGTCTTACCTCTCGCGAATACCGGCGGTTTCGGAGAATCCAAGCCTCCAGGGTAGGTGCGCGGTCGTCGTCGTTGTATCGCGTTGACCGCCACTGCTACTACGAGTTGGCGTGGTTGCGTTGTTGAGGTTTGGATTGCTGGCACTCAGGCGACTTTGCCCGGATACGTCCACCAAAGAAAGTGGCCTGCGAGAGCTTGCGTACGTTTGGAATTGTCGTGGATCTACGTGGAGACGGGAATTACACGAGATATCCAAGAACTGCAGGTGCGCTGGTAGTAGACTATCGAGATTCAAGCGGTCCAGATGATTGTGCGCCAAATCGAGTACCTGCACATATATATTTCAATTTCTTTCTCACGCGTCATTTTCCAAATGACAACATTTTTCATCGAATTTAAAATTAATAACTAAATTTATCTGCAGCTCTCCGTTCGATGCTACCTTCGACAATCTCAATTCACTTCAGGATACTGAAGTTGAATGGCTTAATTTTCAATTAATACTATACTTTGCTGTAATGACGACTTCCTTCCAGGAATACAAACGAATCTTCGAGCTTTCAAGTCTCCGAGAGCTTGCAATTAACGAATTTAACCTTTTTCAGCATCAACATCTTGTTGCGATTCTCTTGACACGTAATTGAGTCGACTATATTTTACAGGTATCGCGCCTTATCCCATACTCTTCATCACCACAATCGACTTTTATATATGAATATTCATCGATAATTAACCATTACTCCAAGCTGCTTATGTTTCTGATGCAAGAGAGCTTAAGAATGGCTTAAAGACACTATGCATCCTCCCTATATGCCGCGAAAAATATCCAGTATGTTCGCCGAGCGATTCAATGTTGAGTTCCATAGTTTATGTTTAATGCGGAATCAAGAGAAATTTGCAAGAGATAGGTACACATCACAGTTAACCCATCCAAACGTACGTACCTTCGAAAATCGATAATAGTTAATGTATAAACTGGCCTACCATAAATTAAAATTAATAAGTGTAGGAAAAGGGTCAAATAATGATTGGGCAGCGACAAAACGACAATGATTAACAGAAGCTCCGCCCCATCGACGTAAACGCAGCCAGTTGACGTTGAGTAATTGCAGCTCGAACATGATGCACATGCTGGTCTTAAAGGATTAAACTAGCGTGTGTGCAGTAGATGCTCGCTAGCGAGCGAGTGACGGAGAAAAGCAGGAAAAGAAGAAGAAGAAGAAGAAGAAGAAGAAGAAGAAGAACAGAAGAAAGGTAAGAGGAGAATCGAAACTATTCACAGATATAATTTACCTTGAGAGAGGGTGTTTTACTGAAAGCCGGGCAAGTGAGAAGCCTGTTGGAGTGCACCCTAAGCACCCTCAAGTGCGCCAAATTCGCTACGCTGTCCGGGAGATATTGCAGCTTGTTCCCCGAGAGTACCAGCTCCTCTAGCTCTCGCCACGATGCTATGCAGCTGCAAGCACACGCCGAAAACACTTTGAATCCCTTCCGAAATTCATGTCGATTAGTTGTGCGGCTTGTATTTTTTGTAACCGTGACGTCGCGCAACTGTGTATGCGTCCACAACCTAATGCTGTTTTGTCAGCCAACAATCGAGCCAGCGAAGCTTAATTTAGGACGTGAGTATATGAATGTGTCGAGGGAGTCAATGAACTTGCGAACATTATGGACTAATTGAATGATACGTATGTATTTCCGTGCGTAGTTTATAGTACTTGCGTTGTCCCCCCTCCCTCCTTCTATATCTTTCGTTCTCCCTCTGTCTAGCTAATGTCAATTTCAAAATTAATTGTCGATGCTTGACTTAGGCCGACCGGTCGATTATATTTCGACGCTTGCAATTGTTTACTCGTGGCAGTTCATTACATTACGTTTCACCAAATGACTATGTATAGCCACGGGTCTTTTGTACAGCGCGGTGGTATATCTAGTTTGCAAAATTAAAGTTACACGCACGCGTAAATTCAAACTACTTTCAAATGAAGCTGAATTCATACGTTAAATTTTCCAAAGTAGATTTTGATGTTGAAAATTTGCTTTGGCCGATCTACCAAATGAAATACCAGCAAATGCGACGTTTCTATTGTATATTATTATGAGCCGGGGAAATTGAGAAAAGCACTTATACCGTGAATTTTATTAAACTTATGAATTACAAAATTAAATTAAAAATTAACTGGTAAAGGTGTTGGAATAGCGGCAAGAGAAACTGCTGACCACGATAAAAAGAAAAAAAAAAAACTGAAATTAACTTGTTTGAGCTGAGTAGATTCGAAAAAGCGCGTCACGCCGAAGAAAGCCACATAAAGTTAGCTTAAAAGGTCGAAACGTGCGCGTTTTCGAAAAAAGGAACCTTGCCAGTAATATTCCCAAAAGAGCGCGAGAGAGAAAGAGGGCCCTTTCGCGAATTCAATTACAAGCTACGGATTGAGTCCTAAAAAAAAGAAAAGAGTCGCGCTCGGGAGTATACACACAAAAGTAGAGGTAGAAAAACTGACCTTTCGGGCAGAGTATCGAGTGCATTGTAAGCAAGGTGAAGTAGCCTGAGCGCGGAGAATTTGGCGAGGGCATCGAGAGCGGTGTTGGTTAGGCAGTTGCCCGTCAGATAGAGTTTCTCCAGGGCGCTGTGAGGCCGCCGCTGCTGCTGATGTTGCTCGTGTGTGCTGTTGTTGCGAGAAGTACCTGCCTCGTCGGCGCCACCGTAGCTCCAGGCCAGCTCCGACAATCGATTATTGGAAAGATTCAGGACCTTCAGGCTTTTCCCGACCGACACAGAAAACACACGCGATGTAAATAGAGGCAAGCAGGGCGATCTCCGTTGCGGGCGCCGCTCCGGCAAATCGAAAGATAAGAGGCTGCGGCAGGAGCAGGCCTGCTGATGCACAGGCGAGCCACGCTACCTCGCGAATTCCAGCGATGCGACGGTGCCGTCTTCGCGAGAAAAGACATCTCCGCTGTTTTATGGACAGACGAATTTTTCTATCGTCGCTCTCGCGCGCACGCACGCCAAAAACTCACCGACTTGTCCGCTCATGATTTATTCAACTCGACAACGCTACGTTCGATCGGTTGACGTTGCCGTTGGTAAAAAACTTGTCGTTGGAAAACTCGATAACGCTGGCGAACTCTTATACAAAGATAATATTTTGATGCGGCACCGTGGGCTTTCGCGTTGGCTTGTGGATTCGGCTGGACTCGTGGTTTCGCTTTGAAAATTTGATCTGGCGTAAAGATCGAATACACGGGGTAGCCTGACCCGACCGCAGTCCACCCCCTCCCTCCCACCATCTCCAAGAGCAATTTGGAAAATTTACTCCTCCATCGGTATTTCTGAAATGCATCGCTTTCAATCCAGCTCACCTCTGCGTGTAGGTAAAGAAGTGCGCCGGCAGCGCGGTAAGTTGATTGTCTTGTAGAGTGAGATGTACCAAGCTCAACGCTCTCCTTGGCGGCGGTAGCGCTTGCAGCCGATTGTGCGGTAAATGCAACACCTCCAGCCGAGATGGCTGCGACAGCAGACGCTCGGGTAATGTACTGAGACCGTTGTGCGAGGCGAACAGTGCGCGTAGCTGCGGCAGCTCGGGCGTCCAATCTGGCAGACTCTCCAATTCGTTGCTTCAAGATTTAATCCACACGAGATGGGTCATTACGGAGGTGTGTGTGGGCATTTTTTTTTTATTAATTTGCTCTCATTCTTCGTCGCGATTCAGCTCGCGACGCCGACGCCGAGAGTGCTTTTCACTTTTGTATCGGATATTTTTCTTTAAGAAGTACTCGCGCGTAAAAATGTAAGCGAATAAGCATCGGCAGCTCCGAGAAATCATAAAAAAAAAAAAAATGTGAAAAATTTCAGATGCAGATGCCAGTCGTTCGCGAAAAAAGCACTCAAAAGTAGTAGTAAAACGTGTTAAAATATGCCTGGTCTGAGCGCCACGTTAAAAAAGCCACAAAGCATGCATTTGTAAATGTAACGTTTCGCTTTGATAGGCGGAGTAAAGGGGGAGAAAAAGGCGTTTCTAATTAAATTGAAAATGTTTCATCGTAAGCTCCTTTGACGTTCGAACGTCGGTGCAAAGGGTCTTTGAGCGTACGCTTGCAATCATAAAAAAGTTTCATAATTCTTACGAAGGTGGCCGTGCGCGAGAGAAAAGGTAAGTAAGCGTAGCAACCCGTGTAAATCAATATCCGATAATATGCAGGCAAACAAAGCTGATTGGGTTGGTCAATCGTTGATAAAAGATAAGGAAACAAAACGAGGAAACGCAGGCGCGATTCAACGGTAATGCGTCAGTACGTATAATTCTGGGCTACTCACTATGAAACGTCGAGGTGCTCAAGGTTGGCCGGCACCGGGACAATGGTCAATTTTTTCAGCTCTGCTCGTTGCGGGCCGAAAAAGAAAAGCCAGAAATAAAGCGAGGGACGGACGAACAAAGGTAAGAGTCCAGTGAAAAAGGGCGTTTTTTCTTACTGTTATTCCCGGCAATAAGCGAGACGAGACCTCTACCGCACAGAGTCAGTTCGGTGAGTTGGTTCCTTGCGCAGCGCACGCTCCTAAGCTCCTGCAACGCTGACAAGTCGAGCTTCTCGATGCTGTTCTCGCTGAGGTCCAAGTGCGTCAAGTTCTGCAACGCACGAGCGACGATCCAACTTTAGGCACACTGCGAATTGCCGAGCCGGCGACTAGATTGATGGGGAAGGGGGAAGCGGCGGATTGGCTTTCCGCCTCTTGTTTTATCGCGAAGTACTTTTACGCGAGGCTGCTGCGCGCCGAGATTCTTTTCATCGGTTGCATTTCTGTTTCGAAGCGAGACGAAATGAGCTTTCTGAAATTCTAATTCGGCCATCGATTGGCTGATCACGGCATTTGCGAGCTACGCCGTGTTTATTCATGAGGGCCGCTATCTACTAGTGGAAGCCGCCCGAAGTTCCCTTGACAGGGTAACGCATAAGAAGAATAAGGAGCGCAATTGGCAAAAGTTAAGTGAATCCCTCGATCACGACGCATAAGACATTCAAGTTTGCAATAGAAATGGAAAAGGCGAAAGAGAGAGAGAGAGAGGAGTTCTTTAACGAGAGTTCAATTCCCTTCAATTAAAATGAAAATTTAGTTCGTCACGCGGGAAGTTTCACTCTCATTATTCTTCTCTTTCCGCGCTCACTAAAGTTATATAGCTATATATCCTTTGGCTATGCACTGTCAGATTTCCCAGAGTTAGTTTCGCCCCAAGTTTCAACAAAATCAGTCCGTCAGTTTTGACCGATGCAGCAATAATAAACCTTCTAGCTATTGACGCAGCGCGGAAAAATGAGGCTGGGAAGGTATCGGTAAAGCGGAAATTAAGGAGCGAAAAAAAAGCGAAGTGCGACGACTGTAGCCGCCCAAGATAAACACATCGACTCACCCCATAGTTGCCAAGGATGATGTTGCCCTTGAGCTGATTGTTCCTAAGATTAACTTTGTACAGGCTATTGTGTAAATTGCTCTTCTCCTCGGTCTTGGCCGCGAGCACGTCCTAAAACACACAGACGCGCGGACACGTCAAAGCGTGAGATTGGAAAAGCAAGAGGAGGAAGGACAAACAAATGTGCGATCGCTGATTTTTACGCTTGGCGGTAACTTACATTGAGCCCGAGCGCGCGCATCTCGAGAAGGAAGCTCGGCAGCAACTCGATCAGGTTTCCAACCAAGGAGATGTACTGTAATTGGCTAAGCTCCCCGAGCTCCGCTGGCAGCTCCTTGATGTCATTGCGATCGATGATCAGATCCTTCAGACTGTAAAAGTAGACGCGCGGCGTCTCCATGACAATGATTATCTGCTCCCAAAGACCCTGACACTCGCAAGAAAATATCAAGCCGCGATTTACGCCCCGAGATTTAAACTTTTGTTGTCGCCATTTCTCTCTTCCGTTTCTTTTCTTTTCCGACTCGAGCCAAGATCTTCTTTCTATTATTCGACGACACAATTCGCACGATAAGCGGATCTTCCACGTTGCTTTTACCCGTCAAATTCTATTAAATTTTATTTAATGGCAACTGACCCGGATCACGTTGAAGCATGCGCTTGTGTTTCTATACGCGGGCCATGCGATACACGTTCATTTTTGACACATCGGGAGAGTTGAGTATGACGGATGTCCTTCAAATTATCCGCCGAGTATTCGGCTATATTTCAGCCTAGTGAAAATCTTTATCCATTAAATGAATGGCGAAAGATGCATTTGCACTACCTTTATTTTTTGGTTGTATCCTCGTTAATTAAACTCGTCAGTCGAGCAAATAAGGAGAAAAAGAGCATTACCCGAAAATAAACGTTACGAGCTCTTTTCTATACTTCTCTTCGTGGAACTTGCCTCGATTTTTATAATTTCAGTGCAACCTAAAATAAAAAAAAATAAAGAAAAAGATCGTAGCGCATTGTCGGGATAATAATAGCGTTCAGGATCGCCTGAGCCGGAGTCGACAGTCGCAATAAATGCGCTTTTTGCGGCAGATATTCAACTGGCAATTTGACGTTCGACGTCTCTATATGATTCATCAATATTTCCGCTCGACAAACCCCGACCAATTAAGGCATGCAGTCAATACCCGCTAAAATGAAAAAAGGAAAATCAACGACGATATTCGTGCTGCCATTGACCCATCAATTAACCTACATACACGCAGAGCATGAAAAATTCTAAGCCGAGCTAGCGCCATGCGGACATTGTTTATTTTTTCTCTTTCCAGCATACCTCCCTGTAGCCTTTCCACATTTTTAGAAATGGTTATCGTGTGCTACTGAAGAAAAAACAAAAACCTTGAAATAGAACGCTGCGGAAGATTTGTAGCTAGAAAGAGAGTGGGTAGAGTGGGTGGGTGGGTGGGTGGGGGGGGGGGGGGGGTAACCAAATGAAAACATTCGCGCGCCCGCATCGTTAGGAACGAGTTGATAAATAGCCTTTCTTGTTCGGTCATTACATTTGCATTAATTAAAGGACTCCATTGAGCCAGATAAACGAGAAATTAATACGCGATTAAATCGGAAAATCCACAGCAAGAGATAGCAATAATAAAAAAGAACAAGCAAGTACTGCTCCGAAGTATAAATGAAGCGCATTGGCGTTATATATCGATTACATGAATTGAAAACTGCAATATGAAGTTTGCAGGAGGAGATAATATGAGTGTTATATATAAAGAGCCGAGCGCCGGTCGTCAATTAACGTGCCTTTAGAACGCAAATGAAGGTGATGGAGTGGTTGATTAAGTCATCGCGCACGAAATTTCGTGTAAAAGTGACTCGATGCGAGAGCGAGCGGCGAAGGAACGAGGAGCGCTGAAACTTTGGCATTATTAGCTGGCGATTTATAGACTGCCGCGCGGCGCGCGCCGACAAAGTACGCTCCTATTCAAATTTAAAGGAGCGAGACGTAACGATCGCAGTCGCGGGAGCGTTCATCATTCGCAATGAACGTTTTCTTTTCTCCCAGCAGCGCGCGCTAATAAACTGACCAATTAGCGCAGCTGGAAGACACGGGCAATAACAACTTTATGCGTCAAGGAGATGTTGAGGCGTGTATACGTACGGCGGGTTGTCTGGCCTTCGAGTGCGCGTTGCGTCGTGGCATCAATTTAAAAGGCATCCTCGCCTGCACCGGAGGACCTCTCGCAACGGCTCAAATAACCACACGACACATGCATCACTCGTAAACTACACTGCCAATGGCAAAACCAAGTTCGAAAACACAAGCGGCTTGTCCAGACGGACGCGCACGGCAGACTACGAGGAGGGCTCCTCGTCGGTGTACGGCGGAGGTGAGTGTAGTGGCGCAGCTCGGGCGGAAAGCCTCTGCGGAGAGAGAGAGAAAGAGAGAGAGAGAGAGAGAGAGAGAGCCAGCGCTCGGTCAGGAGGAAGAAACAAGGAAAAGAGAAGGTCCGAGCGCGGGGATGTGCGTGCATATCGCGGGCGGCGCTGCATTGTGATGTAATGCCGATGAAAATTGTAATTCCGCAGCGAAAACTGCCGTGCTATTTTCGGTGTTTCGAAAAACAACTGAGATCAAAGTCCGAGCGAGCGAAAAGCGATGCGAAAGAAGGAAAAAAAACCTATGTGGAAAAGTGGCATGGAAGGAAGGGCAGAGGCCGCACGCGTGCCGCCTCAGAAGTCAGCGTTGCGCTCGGAGCGTAGTTCCTCTTTCGCGCGCACGCCAGAGCCTTAGATAGCGCACTTTTCAAAACTTGCGTAATCTCCGGTCTGCCCCCCCCCCCCGCCCTCCTCACCATACCGAACGAGCGAATGAATGCACGTCGAAGGCTTTTGTGCACGCCAGAGGTGCGAGCCGCAAGAAAGAAAAAAAAAAGGCAAAATGCCCATCAGTTGATCTGCAACCTCTCCCCGGCAAAGTCTACCTTTGTTCTCGCCGGTACACCGCAAGCGTGGGAGGTACACAGATTGAAGGATATAAGCTAGCCTTACTTTTCGACGATCCACTTTTTTTCGTCGCGAGAACGCTTAACTCGAATTCTTTTTTCTTTCTTCTTTTATCTCGGCGATGAATGCAATTTGCCTTTGGTTTATTGCGGCTACGTGCATTTCAAACCAATTTCCTCGGATCGAAGATAGATATCTAAGCAATCGTAACAGTGGAAAATATGTTTGTCGGTGCGTTTTCTATAAAAATTCAATTGAAATTGATAAAAAAGCCATGTTGATCCAAGATGATTCGCGTCTTAGAGTTGTAAAAATTTATTGAAATCCGATCAGCAGCAGAGAGAAGTGGAACGTTTAAAAGCGTTAAAACTTTATTCGATAAGAACATTTCAATTCCCCTCTCTATGACTTTAAAGCAGCTTGTCTGATTTCACTTACGTTCACGGAAAGGAAAAAAAAGAGTTTAAACGCAATTTAACAGACTCGAGTGCACTCGCGGCGAGATATTGTCAATACGGGGATGAACGCGTGTGCGCAAGCAAGTTTATAATACCGGAATTGCTCGCCCGCGGGAACATCCGTCCGAGTCTTTAATTTGCCTAATGATAGCACGCGGAAAAATTAAAAGGAAAGGCAGTTTGATGAAAAGCACGCTCGTAGGTGCGTCGCAGCGTGTTATTAGAAACGCGCCGGTTGAGCGACTGATACGCGGATGTTGCGCGCGTGCTCGCTCTCGTATTAAATGAAATCGAATTGGAGCCCTCTAAACGCGTTATCGTTATGAAAGTGAGCAGAGCACGAGCGGACTAAACCATGCGGAAGTTGCATTATAGCCGCGCGCGTGCACTGTTGCGTCGATAGAAAGGGAAAAAATACGCGCGCATACTTTTGGGAAAGATTATCATGTGCGCCTTGTTAATTCATGTAACAATTATTTTTTATACAGGCTCTGCTGAACATTTTCACCGTGCGCGAGCCTTTCTTTCGACATGAAATATCTCATTATCACGAACCAAATGAGCGAAACAACCAAAAGATATCTCGAATGGCTTTTGAAATATTCGAAGGCCAATTGGTAATTTCATTTTTTCTATAATACATATAGTTATTGCGCGATTCAATGCTAATTACTGCGCTAATATGATTTTTTACAAAAGACAAATATTATTAGGTTTTCAAAATAAAATTTTATTAAGATATACTTAATTCTGTTTCATTAAAGGAGAATAATTTAAGTTCGGGGCTCATTTCCCAGAATTGACAGTATCGGTCGCGTTGAAATAATCGCGTTCGCGGGTGCACTTTAAATGAGAGCGCGATACAACTGTTTGGAAAAAAAAACGAAAGCTCGCACAGAATGAAGGATTAGGACTGGAAAAAGTTGTGATATTTGTATAGAAAAGCGAGAAAGAGAGAGCTTTCAGCTGGATGTGCGCGGATCAACTGCGAATTCTCTTGATTCCATTGATTCACGGTGATTGACAGAGCGCCCGCGCGCGCGCGCAACTGCATATTCGCCACAGAGCAGACACGCACACTGCTGAAAATGTAAATTCTGCGTTATTCACTTTCAAGCTGCAGTGCGCGAAACAAATTTCACACATTGTAAGCTTGGAATCCTCTATGAATCCCATTGAAACGCCGGCATTTCCTTTTCCAAAGCTCTCTTTTTTCGAAAAATCGCACGAATAAAAAAAAAAAAAAATACACGTCGCCCTTTTTACTGCTGCGCGGAAGTTGGTCCATTGAATAATGAACGCCCGTGCGAATTCAATCTCGAACTGGCTTCATTTGGCCGTGGAAATAATTCACACGGGGCTAATCGGCGCACTAATCCACGCTCTCGAGCGGACGGAAGAAAAAAAAGGAAGGAAGGCCCGAGCAGGCAAGTTTATCAACGAATGAAGTAGTAAGAGAGGAAAGATATCTCGCCAAATAAGTGTGTCGAGCTTAGGTAACTCGGCGTGAAAATCAGGCGAGCGGTGGGGTGTCTCAATTTTCTCGCTCGCAGCGTTTTGGCGAGGGCTGCGCAATCTGCTTAAAAAGCCGCTATAAAAATCCCTCTCGTCGAGCCGCGCGCGCGAATGAAAAAGCCTCTTCCTGTGCCATCCATAAAGCCTCCGGGAAATTACTCCGGGGTTGCCCGTTCGCTGTAAATAAGAGTTTGGCAGCGAGAGCGGAGCTTCAATTATGAGCGAGGAAGGAAACGCCGGCACGAATCGGCCGCGGCGGCGCGCAGGTGCGAGACAATGCGGCCGAGAGGAGCTTGCACGCGAGACGGAGAAAGGGGATATCGATCGGGCCGCGCACCCGGCCAACGAGAGATGCTGCTCCTTGATATCCGTGGATTCGAGTTTGATTGTACCGGAGAAATTGGCCAAGATGCGTCTCACGATCGATTTGCCAAATAGCTAGATTCAATTTCTCTCTTCCTCTTTTCTTTATCCGGGGCTGAGAGCGAGGCAGGACGCACGAATTACCAGCGCGGTTTTCCTCCGCGCGTACGAACAGCGGCTTGATTTTAACAATATTTTTCTCGACGACTAGGGCCACGATAATCACTGCATAATTTCCTGCTACTTTGTGTCGTAATGAAGTCGCCTTTACGACTCAAGAGAGAGGCCTATTGAGACATTCTTTCGGCGGGCGAAGAGCCGCCAAGTGTGAACGACGGATATATATATACACACACACACACACACACACATATATGTGTAATATCGCCGTCGTCTGATGAAATTCTTCCTCGAAGCACTCAGTCATCTGGCGTTTTACCGAGTATTAGAGATTCGGCGTATTGCAACGTGTACTGTGTGCCTGTTTAGCGCTCTCAGAGTAACAGCACGTTGGCCCGCGTGTGTATATATACGCTTGTATTGTGTGCAAACAGCAGGCTGGACACAGTTATGCACGTAATATTAACCGCATACACCGCGCACACGAGCAGCTGCGTCATAATGAGCAAAATCATTAGCTTCGTTTTTGGGCATTGGCGCTTGTTTTTCCCGCGACGCATGCAAAAGCCTTAACGCCATATTTTTGCGAACACGGTGAATATGAATTTGTTTGTCAAACGAAACCGCACGCGAGTATATGCACATCGGAGTTTATACGAATAGCAGCGGCAGAGTGAGAAAAAAAGAATAAAAAAAAATCGTAAGCTCGCGCGATTTGAAAAGTGCAACAAAGCCCGCCACTTTCGTTTCCTTTGTTTCGAAACGAAATGCATTTAGCGCTAGATAGCGGTGCTGTGCTCGCGCGCGTCGCTTCGTAAAAGCAATAAGAAAAAAGAAAGAAAAAAAAGAGGCAGCGTCAACAACAACGAGGACGAGCTTGCAGTGTAAACAGGCTGGCTGGGCGAGCTTATCGATCAGAGGCATCAATCGGCTTTATAAAAATTTGCATGGTCGCTTCGCGCTGTTTGGCGGAGAATAGATTTGAAATGTGCCATACCTGATACATACACGTATACACACGTGGGCAACCGATGCATATCGGCACGGCGCGAGAGGTGATAGACGCACTATATATGTGGCGGTGTGTATGTTGACAGTGGCCATTGTAAGCTCGAGCACACAATACAGCCACGCGACTATGCAGAGGCCCTTGGTCGCTATATAACATCCACGCAATTGTGCCGACGACGAGAGGCGTCAGTATTGACGCCTGTGTACATATTAAGGCTATTACCACGGGAATTATCAGGAGGCCACGTCGATGGAGAAAAGCTCAATGGTGCGGCGATTGTTTATCGATCAACGCTTAGATGATTATGCGCGCACGAGTTATCGGCGACAAGCTGCCGCTCACGCTACGTCTGTTTTCCTTTTTTCTCTTTTTTGTTTTTGATATGTCGCCGTGTATCTGATTTCCTCGCGCGTCCCAGCGAAAAACGGCGCGACCGAAGGTTCGCATGAAAAAGTTGGCTGGTTTATGCTGTACGTGCATCGTGACACAGATGTGCAGGCGTTTTGACGGCCCCTCTGTCAAGCGTTAAATTTTGATCCGATCCTATAGCGGCGATTAATCAAATTTGCTGGTGTGCGATACCCGCGCGCGACATCTATTTTTCTTTCGTTCTGTATCTCGCCTCGACATTTTTTTACTGTACGATTTCGCGGCTAGCAATTGTGGGTCAGTGTGTTGTGTCTTTTTCTCTAGGAAAATAAATATACGTTTTCGTTCCGTTTTGTGCGAAATGATCATGCTTGGTAGTATTGCGTTTGACGCGTTGCGTTAGATTAATTATTATGGTTGAAACACCGACGGTACATAAAAGTGTTACGACTTTTTTCAACTACTATACCAACGAAAGTCGTAGTATTCATTGGATTCGTCGAACAAAGAATTCGATGAATACATGAGTAATGTCGATGTAGCAAAAAACTAGTTACAAGACAATATATATTCTATTGATCAACTGCAGCATTATTTCGCAAATACTTGTAATGGCTTGTTAGTAAGTAAACTACAGGCTTATTATACGGAGCTACGGCTTGTTCGATCCCTCAATCGCGAGCCATTAGTATTTTTTTAGAGGAAGTAAAATATCTGCACCTTACGTCAGTATTTAAGTAGGTAGGACAGCTGTTATTCTTTGGGTGGGTTTCCCGATAGTAAATATTTTCCGCTATAACGTATAACGTGTAGGTTTAGTGAGACCAAGGGGAGAAAGAAGTGAGAACGACGAGCAACTTTCCACACCGAGGTGGTAAGTATAAGATGCCCCGAAAGCTTCGGGAAGGTATAGCATCAACGTCAATGACATTTGCCAAATTTGATTTTTCCGATCTGAACGCGAGAGAAGACAAAACAGCATTGGCTTTTATCGATGCCAATAGGCGCTCGAGACCAAAAGTAAAGTCCACTGATTAGACGACGCGCAATTAAATAAAGCATCGAAAGTGAGCTCAAAGCAGGCACTTTGGTTGTTAAAGCCAAATAAACGACTGGTCGCAAGGCAGATCGCAATAGGCGATTAGCAAACGTTCCGTTGTATCAGTTAATCATGAAGGGATATCGTTGAGCCAGCGTGTGCTCGTGTGCGCGTGTATGCCACTGAAAAATTTTATTGCCTGCGACAATGATGATGTATTGCGAAACTAACGGGTAGATTCGTTTAGCGAGCTCGCCGAGCAGACGATAATTTATACATGAATGTAAATTATCCGTTCACGAGTCGCGCGAGCCTAACGCGTATCAATATTCCGCGAGCGGATCACACAGGATTTCATATTAATACACCCGCGATAAATCTAATCATGGTCCGCCGTTATTGATAGCCTCGATAGCCTCAGCGTCGAGTGGGTAATCGAACCCGCCCTAGCTTATCTATAAAATCTCAAAAATACACATTTCTCGATATTTTCTCAAGAGCTCTTCGGGTTCCCTGACATTTCGTGGATTTTCCTTTATTTTCTTTTTGTCTTCGAAAGGGCGTCTCTAATTACTAAAAGCGCTCGTTAGCGATAGAAGATACACCGACGCGCCACTTTTCGAACGGCCGAGTCTGCATGTTCATTAGCCGATCGAGAGGTAGAAGTCCACTGCCAATCATCAATATCTTTACGCGCCATCGGCCTCGCCGTTTAGTCAACCCGAGCGCCGGCGCGGTGCCAGACCGAAAGGGGAGGGATCCTTTTAATCTTGTCATCAGACGCGCGCTCGCGCGACTACGGCATCCGCGGCTTGGTATTTCGAAGTCTCGTTATCTCGTGTCCGCGTGTTTACTTACTGCTGTTCCAGCTCCCGCTGTTTCAACTACTAATTCGACTTGGTTATTCCCTTTCGACCCGTCCCTGCCCTTCGTTACAAATTTTCATAACTAAGAAATTCTGACTTGCCACGTATATTGACGATCGAGCGTCGCTAGTTCTTCTTAGGTTTTCACCTTTTCTTATTATAATCTTCGCAATAGCGGCTTATCATATGCAAACCCATTATTTCATATTTTCAGTTTTCGCATTCACAAATATAAAGTCTTTTATTCGTGATATTATATTTACCGATATGGATATTTACGGACTTGATTGAAAAAAATGTAAATAAACTATATTTCAGCTTTTATTATAACAGTTTCAAATATTTTCCTTTAATACTTTTTACGTGGCGTTGTATATTTCACGTACTTTGCGAAATGCAATAAATTTTTAACGCAAATGTTTGCATTTATCAAAAGATTGCCGGACTAAATTTGCATTCGTCTTTCCAATGAAACTTAACAAAATAAATATAGTCAGTCGAACGAGAGAAACATTTTGGATTCCATCAAATCAGAAACAATACTTTTGATTTAGTCGGCATTTTGATTGAAATCGAGGGAGAAAACATTGAAAAGTTCGGTGGAAAAACTTACCTGGCAAGGCTTTTAATTCCAGTTGGCAAGCACCGAATCTGATTGTCGGACAAATCCAAGAAAGTCAAATTTCGCAGTGACAACAGCTCGCGGGGAAACTCGTCCAGCCGATTGTTCTCCAAATGTAGCTCTTGCAGGTCAGGAAAGCTGTCCAGTGGCGAGCAACAGTGGTAGCAGACAAACGAAATAGCAACGGCGGCATCCGAAAAGCATGAAACAAAAACAAAAGAGAGCGAGATCCTATAGAGTAGCAGGTACAGAATGCACGTGGGGTCGCACGTACGCAATTAATGGACGAGATAAATCAGCTGCTCCCACGCCAACGCGCAGAACGCCGAGTTGAAGAGGATTTATGGTCTACGCGTTTACACGCGAGCAAACAACATACGCGTACAAAGCTAAGGTTTTTCCTTTTTCTTTTTCGCTGATTCTCGCGAGTGATTAAGCTTTTTAATAACGCCGAATGTGCCGTGATTTATTCAAATGGTAATCGTGTCGCGCAGTCAATTTATCGATTATTTTTGCCAACGCAATGGGGTATAGTGGAAACTTTGTAATGAAACAACTTATTTACGAAAGGAGCATATTGAATACAAGAGAGGGAGAGAGAGAGAGAGAGAGAGGGTGCCGGAGGCTCTAACTAATAACCAAAGTGCGCGCTACGGCCGAAATTCAATCGACGAACCTCCTCCTCCTCCTCCTCCTCCTACCAGCGCTAGGCGGCTAATAGAGAGCAGTTCACGAGGTGCACGTACAATGATGAAGGGAGTCTATAGTACCGGAGAGAGGCTTTTCTTACGAAGTAGTCGGCTGTAATTGCGTACCTAAGCAGTAGCTTGAGATTGGCATCAAGGTTGCTGGACAATTGATTGTGACCCAGAAAGAATTGACGGCTAGCATTGAAAGCTCGAGCTGCGTCCGGTAGGCGAACTGTGCCCGTATTGCTCATCTCGAGTTTGGTTGTTGGCTGCTCCGGCAGGTGTGTTGTCGTTGCCGTGCTCGATTGGCATGCCTGCGAGAGGGTGTCCACAGAATAACAACAGTTTAAGTGCTGTCGCTTAAACTATATTTCGTTCCGGTCAATGTGTTTCTTTACTTTACATAACGTAGTTGTACACTCGTCAGTTTTCATTTTACATGGGAATTTCAGAAATACTTTGAACACGAGACGAACGAAACTAATATTATATTAATGCTTGCTTTTACATTGTTCGTGCATATTTAAACATTGATACTCAGAGCATGCTCGTAATAAAGTGTCGCGTTTGAAAAATAAAATTTTTAATGCAGAATTATCGGCTTTCGCATCTATTTTGAGCAGATACGCTATAATAATCGTTCAAATTATTCAATTAAAGATTTAACGAAATCAAAGCTTCGAACGCATCTCCAAGCTACCAGTAGAAAGAGACCAGATTTGGTCAGACGTGCATCATTGAAGAGTCGGTATAGCAGCATATGAATAGTCATCACCGCGTGGAAACACGCTGATGGTTCGTCGTTGAATTTCAAATTTCGAGGTAATCGATTTCGCGCTAATGCTTTCAAATTCTTTCGATACTCATTGTATAATTTGATACTTGACAATCATTTATACTATAAGCTGATGCTTGCGCCTATTCAGCGACCCACAAAATAAGTAACAATTGATTTGAGGATGACAATCCTCTCATTCATATGCCTGCAAACAATGCATCACACTACATCCATTTTTTCTCGCGTAGCTTCTCTCTTTTTTATCCTCGCGCGCGATCTAACAAAGAGTCTCATTTGACCGCGCATACACACACACGCGTGCGCAGAGCGCTTGTGTGGAAAAGTGCATCGAGCCAAGGAAAAGAAGCAAAGTGAACTCAAAAGTTGAATACACAAAGAGAGTTCTGACCGCCTTTTAATTCACCTCAAGCGAGTCGGTCTCTGCTTCTTCATTTTCTCCGTCATCATCATCGTCGTCATCCTCTTCGCTGCTGTCTTCGGCGATAGCGAGAAGTCTTAGTCCGAACTGCACCATATTAACCCCAGAGGGTTTTGGATAATTAACTCACTGCCGAGTAATTAGCCCGCGGACTTTATCTTTCTTTTCGCCTGAAAGGATAATTATTCGTGCGTACTCTTGCCTTTCGGGCAACGTATATATAACGTTCATTTCGTCACTCTTGCGCGCACTCTGTTTTTCAAGTGTTGCTACTATTAGATAGGAACGACAATATTTGAACTCTCTCTCGCTCGCTTTTTTTCCTCCTCTCTATCTTTACGCAGAATTTTAATCCCGCTCTCAGCCCACCGCCGAACATGTCAAAGCCAAGCCACACGCTCTTTTATTTCAACGTTGCTCTCGTCTCTTTGCGCTTGCCGCGCACACTGCAATTGTCGATGTAAAACAGCAGAGCGATTTCCTGACGGCGTCCAATACTTTTCCACGTGCGCGCATTCCAACGTGCCAATGCAAAAAAAAAGGCATTATTGCGTGCTGCGAAAAAAAGGCAAAAGGCAAAGATGGTGGAAGCTCTCGCGATGTATACCCATTGTTCCTTTTTTCACGTCACGAAGTCCCGATAAATCAAGGCTAAACCACCTCGTACACTGCATTCTCTTCTCCGTATCGAAGCTCTATTGTCTCTCTCTCTCTTTCTTTCTCTCAGAGCGGTGCGATTATACGAGCCGATTGTTGAGAGAGAGAGAGGAGGTTTTCCCGAGAATTCGTCGCTGGCGCACGCGAACACTTTAATTGCTCTAAGGGTGTGCAAAAATAAATGAGCTTTTTTCATTCTCTTATCGTATTTCTATCAGTAAATCTAGGTTAATGATTCATGAAATATCATATTGACAGACGACTTTACAATACGTGAGATGATTAGTTCGAGACTCTTTGAAGGGTGCGCGAGTGAGTTTAATGTCATGTTCTAATTAAGCTTCAACGTGCGTAAAAGAAATCATTACATTTGCGCTCATTTATTCCTCGCTCTCGATCTTGCCTGCCCATCTACTAGTGCGCGCGCGCGCGAGCTTTCCGACGGCTTTTAATTCAACTTGCTCAAAAGATTAATTGAAGTAGTCGGTCTTTTTTTTACTTTTCTGTAAACGTCTCGCTGCTGTATTACCATTTCTAAAAAGTTCTCTGTCTGTTGAATGATATTCATTATGAATAATAGCCCTTGATATGCAAAGGGAATTAGTCATCTACTATCTGCCTCTCTATCGTCAACGTTTCACGAGTGAACGAAAGAAATTTGTATTACATGAAATGTTGCTTTAGTGCATCTGTGTTTGTGTTTTTGTGTGTGTGCGTGTGTGTGTGTGTGTGTGTGTGTGTGTGTGTGTGTGTGTGTGTGTGTGTGTGTGTGTGTGTGGAGTATCGGAATAAATAATTAACAAGTCCACACGATGGAGTTTTCTGGACAGCTTAACTGCCAGTATACACGTTGATCATGCGCACACAAACACGACCCGAGAGTATAGCCAGCAGGTGGAATATCAGCATTTCAATAACACGAGTATACGAACAAAGAGAGTGAGAGAGAGAGAGAGAGAGAGAACAAGTGAAGAATATATTAGGCACAAGGAACGCGCGCTCATACACACACATTCGCGACACAGAGAAGAGACAAGGGATGGTACGTCAAAGGGGCTAATCCCAAGCACATTCGATTCGATTAATCTGGTTTGCTCCTGTCTGCATTGCTCTTCTCTCATCGCGTGCATGTGTTATCTAGCGTCGTCGTCGCGAGTAATTACACTTGCTCCTCCCTGTACTCCGCCACATCTTAACGGAACTAGAATTCTCACACATATACACACACGCACGCACACGCATACACACACATACACACGTGCATATAACGTACAAAACGAAATGGCGAACTCAAAGGGATCTTATATTCCCTCGTGTACCATCTCTCTCTCGCTTTGTCGCGAAAACCGGCTTGGCTCATACGCGACGACGTAATATAAAGCTCCTCTCTCTCGCTTCTTGCGCTCATCCGATCAAAGACGACGACGACGACGACGGCAGTCGTCCAATTGAAAAGGCACCGAGCGGAAAAGTATCCGGCTCTTAATTCTCCTTTGTCCTCGTTTCTCTATCTTTTTCGTCGATTTATAATGAATGAGCGCTCGGCCAAGGGAGGCCAGCGACCAAAAGAGAGGGCCTTTTCTGACGAGCCTTCGTCAATAAAGGAAAGAAAACACGACGACCACAAAATGTTTCATCGGCGAATGCGTCAACGTTTGCCGCGCGCGTACCTCAGACTGACACGCTCCGAGTGTCAACTCTCGTATAAGCAAGGATCCTCGTCGCTGACACAAGAAATACGCTCGCGTGCGCACCTACGACTAACGGGTTCGACGTTGTTGGCAATAAAATCTTCTCTTTTTTTTTATTTTTTTGCTTGCCATCCTAAAGCTACAGCTATGTGTATGCTGTAAGTGTTACGACGCTCTGCTGCTTATGGATGTCAAAAAAAAACATACGCATGCCGGCGCGAAAGTGTTTCGAGCATCGGTGGTTAATGGATATTTTGCGTTTCTATCTCTCTTGCTTCTCATTTCTTCTTTTTTTCAAACACCAGCTTATGGGATTTTAAGTTTTTTATGGGCGTGACATTTTCCGCGCGTTATGTCGCTTGGCATGCCAATACAAGCTCACGATGCGCTGTCGTGCAGATAGGCTCTTATCTTTCGCTGTCTTTTTTCGACTTTGTCCCATTTGCCTAATTTTTCTTAGAACTTAAAATATACTCTGATGCACGCTAGACAGTGGATATTGTTTCAATATCCATCTCTAAATTACAAAAAGCTTTAGAGCTGCAATTTTATGAGCTGATCTTTGAAATAATTCATTTTCCTTTGAGTCATAACTAGCAAAAATCTACAAATAAATAAAAGACTCTTCACAGAAATACCAAATTTTTCGAAAAATTTCGTCGCACTTGATTATCTCAAAAGACCTTTACTCGACTAGCAGTGAAACGAACACTCGCAAATTGAAGTTCTCCAACGAGTAGGAACTTTCTATTTTTGCAAAGTTCTTCCAATTAACGTACAACCCTTTTCATAGTAAAACTCGAAAAAAGTCGCCCGAATGCGCGTCGAGCAGAATCGAGACAGACAGAACCGGAGAGAGAGAAACACGAAGGGATGAATCGTCGCTGGAAAGCCGTCGTCGTCGTCGCTGGCAAAATAATTGGAATCCCGTGAATCGTCACGTAAAAGTCGCACCGAGTTCTTTAGCTTATTAAACTCCAGACGCGCAGCGCAAAGCCACTAACGCATCCAGTCTCTCTTGACCATAATTACTCCATCCGAGAGCACTTTTAGCATAGCTCGTCGTTTGCCCATTAAACTAATCCACCTCTCTTCTCCCAACTCTTTGTCGACTTGGCATTCTTTTTTCCCTCTTTTCCATCCGCGTTGCAGGCTGCAGCAGCCTCTTGCTTGAATTCATATCCAATATCCATTGAAAGGGACGGAGCTTTCACAGATTGGATGCCTTGGCTTTCTCTTGGAGAGAGTAAGCGAGAGAGAGAGAGAGAGAGAGAGAGAGAGAGAGAGAGAGAGAGAGAGAGAGAGAGAGAGAGAGAGAGAGAGAAGACGGCCGATACGCAATCTCAAAAGCGCCGCCGCGTCAAAAGATATCTCTCGGGAACGTTTTTTCAGTGGATATAGGAGAAGGAAAACCGCGCGTTGCAGTGGCAGCGGTAGCGGCAGCAGCGAGAGATCATTGAGCACCGCCGCGCTGCATAGCGAATGAAAATGTAATGGTGGTAGGAGGGGGGGGGGGGGGGAGGATGAAAGATTATTGAAGCCGCATTCCCCCTCGCTCGCTCTCTATCTGAAATATTCCTCCTTTTTTTTTTCATCTGAACCCGGGGCTCGTTATTGCCGGAGAAAGTACGTCTTTCACCCGCAGATTAGCGGCCGAATAAAACATTTGACGATGCAATGGGTTTCGGCATCGGACGACGACGATGAGTGAGTAATGGGTTTATTTGCCGCGAGAGCTGGCTTTTCATTGCGTTTTAACGAGCGCCCGCGCGCGCGCAGCCACGACGCTCGCTTTAAATAACTACTTTTTCATGATAATCAATGTGCGCTCCAGCATCAATGTGCCGCCACCCTTTTAATGTCGTTAAAACTTTGTTATTGGTTTCATATCATTTGCAATATCTGCCTTTATTTTGTTATATTCTTTTTCTTTTAATGTCACGCCTGGCAATCCAATTTGGCTGGATTACTTTTGGAAGAAACGAGTGTGATTGCTCGTTGTCGTGGTTGCCAAATTTTAAAATTGATCGGCAGCGTCGAATGAAATTATGCAATTAGTGCTTTAGTAAAGCAAAGACAAAAGATTAAGGATCTCTTTATCTTCCATAAATTATTAAATATTACATCTCTACAGTGGGTTGAACAGAACGATTTACTAGTAAATGCGATCGAACTTTTTTGTTACATATGAAACTTTATATATACATGTGTATGAAGGAGGGCTCTGATGATCAAACAATGCGACCGAACCTAAACAGTGAAAACTAATTTGCAGCAGTTTGTATCCCGACGAATAATTATCGCGGCTATCGAGTGAAAAACGACATACACCAACCTGTCTGAGCCAAGTCTTCCAAAGGTCCCTGTCCCACGGATGCTGGAAACCAAGATACATGTGCCTGGTGTCATTACACCTCGACAACGTATCATCCTTGGTTGGCTGCTGTCGAGTGGCGGCGATCCTTGCGGGATAGCCGGTGACTCGTAGCACGAGTTTGCCGAGGCGCGACGCCGAACAGCAGACCGCGGCCAGCTCCATCCATTCGGGCCGCGACTCCGAACAAGCTGCGCGCAGATTAATTGGATTCTATTAAAGCGCTCGCCTCCACCTACCTACGGCTGCTTACACGATTGTTTTCACGGGAAAGCTGCTTTTTTTTTTAGAAAAAAAAGGTTCTACGAATGTTGCGGCTGGCTTGATAAATTGATTGTGAGTATATCGTAAACAACCACTAAATGAATTGGTTCCGCGGTGCGATGTGCGCAGGTGGCTGCGCCTTCGTTACAATGGAAATCGAAAAAAAAAATTCTCTGATAAATCGAGACTATCGTCTCTCGCGCGTACATTACATTTTCATAATTAAGAGCTTTTCATTGAAAAGTTTTGGAGAGATGGCCGTTATTCATGGAAAGGAACGGAGTCGCGTAATTAATGTTTTTCATTCTCTGTGAAAGTTCTTCATCCTTAAGTGATTTCTGGCAGCTGAAGTAATGTGCTCGCGCCCGAGTAGCGGCTAGCTAATAGGACTTTACGTGCACGAAGCTCTTGACAATTCAGCAGCGAGCGACGGGGGCTAAAAAAAATTGGAGCTTTAATTAAAAGATGCGTGGGTCTGTATACGCTACTCCGACGAAGCAACGGAAAGTCCATCGCCCTCTGCAGACTCATTTTCCTTTTAATCAAGTCCTATCCGACCAAAGTGAGAGAGAGAGAGAGCGAAGAAGTCCACTTAATTCCTTTGATTAAGTGCACGGGCGAAAAACAATTTTTCCTTCTTTTTCTGCGCTCTGCAGACAAGTCGAACGGCGCAAATGAGCGTGCGCAAGGGGGCAAAAAATTCTTGATCACAGCCGATTGTACAAAAGCATTTCAGCTTGCTCTTTCGATTTGTCTACTGGCGGCGGAATACACGTGGAAGCTAAAAGAAAGAAAAAAGCAGAAAGCTCGGTCATACCGGGATAGAGAAAGAGTCGAGAGCCGATGATGGCGAGGGCTCGCTTTTTCCATTGCGGGAACACCAATCCCTTCAGCACCAGAGCGTAGCCGCATCTGCTATACCCTTGCAGCTCGGCCAACGGCGCCGCGGGTCCTGCGCAAAAATAAACAAGCACGCGACAATTATCGTCCTGCACGCGATGAAAATTCTTCGGGCCGACAATGATGATGTACCTCGCGGCTGAACGACGCTTGCCAACTTTCGCTATTGTTCTACGACTTCTTTTTCTTTTTGAAAGGATGCAATGTTTCGATGTAGTGAATGTTTACTGCCGATGCGAAATTGGCAGAAGAATATTAGTACGCAGAAAGAAAAAAAATGTTTAATGGCTATTTATACAAGCGATCTCACTCCTTTTCCGTTTATTTACGCGAATCTATCGACGGCAACGCGAAAGATATCGGAGAATTTTTATTACTTTCTTCTCGGTGAATTTTCGGAAGAGAATGAGAGAGGAAGAGCGAATTCACCAAAGAGATCCGATTCCGAACGATATCGCGAATACACTTGCACAAAAAAATCACTCACGATGCTTTTTAATTTCCCAGCTATACATAGTTGGCATTCAATAACTTTGAATAGCATCGCGAGCGGAGCAATTTTATTTATTGGACGCACGAAGCACGCTTTTTATTAACAAATATATGCATGATAAATTACTGCGCGGAGATAATCCGATCATTCGCTGAACAAAGCGAAATAAACGAAATGAAAAAAAAAAAACAAAAATTCATTTGCGCTCGAATTCATTCCTCGATCAGATATAATTCTCGCGTGCGAGTGTTACAGGAATAATTCAGGCTAACAGCCGCGCGCGCGGGTCGAGTTTTATGCGCTCGGCAATCCGAATTGACGCCTGCATGCCTTCAGCGAAATTTGTCATTTGAAAATATATATCGTTAATCTCGTTGTGCCCAATTATGACGAGCCCTTGTAAACATTCGCAATTACGACAAGACCTTACTAATTATAATATAACCGATTGCAGCTCGTCAAGCTTTATATCACCTAAATGAAGATTTTTGTCGTTTGCCATTTTGCAAGATTGATGTTTTAATCTGATTAAGGTATATTCGACTGGTCGAATCGACATTTTCCGGGCTGAGTCGAATAATTCTAATTTTGCGCGAGATCCAGTCTGATGCATTTTTAAAATCCAACTAATATATGGAGAATATCGACATATTGCTCTCGGAATAGATTAGAAATTACCAATTATTCGAATTTTTTTAATTAACTAGTATTTTCAAGCACATACATATTTCATTTGAATTTCAGAAATAATCAATTCGAATTCACATGTACAGGCAAATTTGGTTCTGCTGTATCCCGAAAAACACATGAAAAATTTGAAAGCGCGCAATCTTGAAAGAAAAGTCAATTTGAACCAATACGTACCAACGTGAAATGCGATAAGATGCCTTAATTCAGCATCGAGTCCCAGCCTGGCGCGTCTGGAAGCATCTCCGTAGCCAAGCCTGAGCAGTAGCTGCTCCTGAAGCTCCAACGGTTTCTCGTCGGCCGACAATCTACGACCTGGCTCGCCGCCATACTGTCAACAGCCACATTACGCATTTAGCAACGTACGGCGCCAAAAACAGGCGACGCGATTGTTTAGGAGCTGCGAGTGTTGTTTTTTGCTAACCCCCGCCCTTCTCTCCACTCGGCTGTATCGCGGCCAAACTCGCAGAGGCTGCACTGCTTGCTCCTAATAGACTAGTTTACGAGCTGCCCGGCGGAGAATTGCCGGAAAATTGGAGGCGATTGCGCCAGAGCTTTTCTTTGCTATGACTTCTCTTCATGACTAATTTACTTGCTTTTTTTCCGTTGGACAATTATTTATCGGGAATTTGTCTATGAAAAAGAACAAAGTTACGACAGGTGCATCATTCGACGTGGCATTCGCAAGGCGGCCCTTTCTGTCAACTATCTACGTGGAGAATAATCTTTTTTTATAGCATTCAACGGTAATGAGTATGAACTGTCAAATCAATGTTACGATTTGACGAGTTTATTAAACAAGTAATATAAAACTGAAAATTCGTATGGGTAGAAAATTTTATTAGAGCAATAAATGATAGATTGTGAAAATAATTATATTAATAGACGTAGTAATAGGAAAAAAACACATCGCACCTCAACCTTTTCCTTTCTAACATTCTTTGTCTGCTCTACTTTTCTTACAACATTATCAGCTCTCTCGATAAATAGATGAAAGTGTAAGATTCGTACGTAATAATGATTTCAGATATGATTGCGTTGATGTATTGTTCTTGGCGAGCGCAGACCGTGAAAATGAATGGTGCAAGTAAATGTAGTTAGAAACGTACGGATAGGAGCAGGCCAGACGATAACATCAGATGGAGCAGATGGTGAAAATATTTTGGAAAATGCTCTCTGTAACGTAACGTCGCGCGCTGAGAATCGTAAAACTTTAATGCAGTGCCCCGCGTCCTTTTTGCCCCCGAAGTAACGAGAAAAAGTAGACTATGAAATTTCATGCCCAAAAAAGCCATATATTTGCCCCGATATAGTTTTGAGATAAAATAAAATAACGAATGTTCGATGCAGAGTTTACAATTTTTTAAATCGAACAGTAATTGCAATTGAAAAAGCGCACTGCAATCGCGATTCGAATCTGTAGGTTGAAAATTAATACATCGATCAAAAAATGAAAAATCAGACGCCGCTGTCAGTTCTTCACGGCGTCGAAATGAAAAAACAAGTCCACATCAACTATAGGGTTTCAGCGTTCAATCAAGCTAATGAAAACAACCGCAAGAAGAGAGAGAGAAAGAGAGAGAGAGAGAGAAAACCAAGCGCACGTAGTACCTCTTTCTAAAATTCGATGGGTACAGCCTCGACTGGACTCTTGATTTGCAAAAGCAAACATTGTATAGACCTCGTCGTTAAAAAAAAGAAATAAAGGGAACGCAGTGAAAATATTGCCCTGCTAGTGGTTTACTTGGAGTATACACATTGTCGGGGCATGCGAGAAGAGCAAACATCATTAGCAAATCCGAAATAAATGTCGGCACAGGGACTAGTGATGCAGCAAGCGAGCGCAGCGCACAGTGTAGCACTTTCTAATTATCGAAGCGGAAAAGCGCGTAAATTCCACGCTACACAGCTCTCTGTCGCTTTTTCGCGCTTGCCTTGTCGAGCTTTTTTACCCCCCCCCCCCCCCCCAATCAAGTTAAGCTTGGTAATGAAACGCCGTGTGATTAAAATCGCGACAGTTAAAAAAAATGCCTCAGCCAATGTCTCTACCCCAAGAGCACTTTGACATTGTTATATTGGCGCAAGTCTTGGGTTTCTTTTTTTCGTCTGTCCAAAAGAAAAGATTAGTTTCGACTTATTACGGTTCTTAGATGAAAGCGCCACCGTCGCTGCGGATGAATAATTATCTTCGTTCGAGAGAGAAGTTGTACCTACTCTGACGTATAACTTTAGATGAAACAAACGGTCGTACCACAAATGCAAAGGTATATCTAGTTACATAATATACCAATAGTTACTTTGGGAGTTAGTCGTGTCTAAGCGAGGCGCTATTCATTATTATTTTGCATGTCACTCATCTGTATTGGACTTGGTTAATTATGACACGGCTGCTGGCATATCCACAAACTGTCAAATTTAATAGCTTTCGCGCGTGAAACTGCAAATGAACATTGATTCGAGTGATAATATTTATCTTTTCAAGTGTACATATTTCGAAGCAAAATTAAACGTTCGTCAAAATCGACGTTCGATAGGAAGCACGGCGCACAAGTATTTCTGTTTGTTAGCCTCAATTCCTGAAGCAATCGACGAATAATCAATACTGGCATTGCTTACCTTCCAGTGGCTAGCAATACAAATACTTCGATTGGAACCGTCGCTAGACCATCTATTTGCGCGCCAGCCATTCGGCTAACCGTTGGAAAATTATGCTATCTATTAGTCGCGGATCCTGTCGAGAAACGTGATTTGTAGAAAAGAAAAATACGCGAGAGTAGGAACGTTTAATACCAGATCCACAGAGCATTTAGAGTCGAGTTGAATGAAAAATTAATTCTCGAACTCCGCCGCAGATCGTAACGCAGTTACATGCTAAGAAGGAGGGTGCAAAGAACTTCCCTCGGAATTTTAAAGAAAGCAATATAAAATGACACGGCAGAGACGCTGACTCCAAATCTTTAATACTCCGCGAAGGAATATATAACGCGGCCAAGCTGAATGAAAAGCTTCGTGCTTTTCTTCGTGGGAGGAAGCTTCAATTAAAAAACTTGTTTGTTTTTGTTAGACCAATTCTCCCACTCTTTCTCTCTTTACGCTCGGCGTTGCAAAGCTTTCTCGCGTTTTTACCGATTGATTTTGAATTTCCTTCTCTCGACTCCTTGGTTCCTTTCACAATTGTGGTGCTCACGAGGCAAAAAGAGAGTGCTTCCGTAACGAGAACGCCGTAGAGAGCTTCTTGAATTGAAAAATAAATTGCAGCTTTTTGATCTGCGCTGAGCTTGCCTCTTTACTCTCTCGCGGAGGGCAAAAAGTTAAGATTTTTAAGTCGATCTTAATATGTTTTCTCGACTGCGGGTGTTTGCGCTTCTCGTGTTTATTCCGCGTACACTCGCTTTCCCTCCCTTCCCCCCTGGGGGAAAGCAATCGCACGAATCGTCTTTTGCCGCTGAATTGAAAACGACGAACGGTACATAAGATTTTTAACCGCTCGCGCGCTTTTTCTGACCAATCCAATAATTCGGCAATATTCAATTTCGACCGAACTCTTCATCGGAAACTAAAGCTCGTCCACGAAGGAGGAGAAAGCAACATGGAACGAAACGCGTGGTTTGCCTCACCGAAGCTGAATCGAAGGCAAATAGAAAAGCGCCTCGTCTCATTGATTCCCGACATCGTTTACACGGGTGCACGAGCAAAGCGGCTTGCCAACGCTCACACACACACACACACACACATACACACACACGTACATGGTTGGAAAATCGTATTAACTCCGCAGCGAGAGGGAGGAAAAAAAGGGCACCGCAGTAACAGGATATTCCCCGTAGAAAATCGATGTTCCGAAAGTGGATTAACGTTTGGCTGCAGGCTACTACTAGCAGCAGCGTTGATGAATTGAATAATCAGGCCTTAAATGCGAGGCTCTCGCTGCAACACCTGTTACAGTTGAGCCGTGCGCCTGCGACGCGGTCGCAGAGAGAGAGAGAGAGAGAGAGAGAGAGAGAGAGAGAGAGAGAGAGAGAGCAGATGTGAACAAACAGGTGCGTCAGCTGCGCGTAGAACTTGGAGCTTAAAATAAACTCTTCGCTTTCTCCTTCGGCGTGCTGTGAATAATGAACGGTGCATCTAATGACAGTTTTTTTGTTATTGCGCAGATGAAGAGTGTGGAATGAATGTGCTTCACGACAATTAGGTATACCTGGTCAACTGGTAATTGATCAACGGGGAGGGGCACGCGTCTCTTTGTTATTTTTAAATTCGCACAGATGATCGTTGATTATTTTTTATGCGTAAACGGCTGCTCGTTATCTTGCCGAATTCCAAAAGAAAATTACACGCATACCACCTCCAGTATAAAAGTCAAAGTAAAATTGCTGTATATCTTTGTAATGCGTCAAAATTCTAATAAAGTTTTACAAACGCGTATCGTCAACAACAAGCCGGCGGCGAGACGGCGACGTTTATTTAACAGCGTTTCAACTAAAACGCGCTCGAAGCGCCTTTCGCCTCTCGCTTCAAATCCAAGATAATTTTGATTTCATTTCAGCCGCGAAAGGATAACAGTCTCTCCCTTAACGCCGTCCGTTGAGAACCCCGAATTGCCCCTAGGGCTGTCGCTCTGCGCGCAAAGCGGCGGCAAAAAAAAAACCGGAAAAAAAGGAATAAAAAAAAACACGGCTGGTAACGAAGAAGCTAACGCGCACACACGGGCGGGCTTTGAAAAATTTTGTTAAACGAGATGACGACTCTTTTCCCAGCTGTCGAGCCTGCGTGCGCGCGGAATTTCGAACTAACTGCATTTTCACCTTACACTTAAATTGAGACGCGTAACCTTTCTCTTAATGGCGAAGGGGGGGGGGGAGAGCGAATGGGATTTAATTTGAACGCGCATAACATTACGCACAATGGTGAAGGGTAATATTTACCCTTAAAAAAATAATTCCATGAAACTGTAAAGTTTCATTGCGCGGTTCCATTGTGCCCGGCGCTAGGAAAGGGCAAGCATTGAGGTTTCGGTTTCGGGCAGAAAGCGCCCATTATATTTTTCTCAAGCACAATAATTACGCCCCTTGAACTTCAGGCACATATGGCGCGCGCGCGCTTTGGCTATAATGACGTTATTACGTTTTGAAAACTGAATCAAAGTCGTATTATCCGTTACATTATTTACTTCGTTATATGCCGGTCTCAGCTCGTCGTCGTTCTAATTAAAACTTTTGATTGGAGTGTTAATTATGTTTGTCTTTTTTTCTTTTTTGCGCACCGTAGTCCTTGAAGGTCGCAGCGCGCGCGATCTCTCGGACGTTCCGGACTTTTAATCGAGAGCTCTTAATTTATTGCTGTTTATCGTTAATCTGCAGAAGCTGCGAACGACACGCGCGGTTTAACGGAAAGCAAATTTAACGTTGGCTGGCGACGCTGATATATGCTCGCGCACCTCTCAGTTCATTAATTTTCGGTTAGATTGGATTGCTTGTTTCGGCAATGTTAATTTGATTGTTTTGCGCCATCGGTAGTCGTTTCATAACAGAATTATCGCTTGCAATCGCTGCTCCATTTTCGTAACGAGGCGTTAAACTCTGCAATTGAACAAACCAAAGTAGAACTAATAGTAGATGGTACTTGTCGTCAAGAGCGACTTAGCGATGTACCGTCTGGTCGATGAAATTGATTTTACAAGCGCGCCAATTTTGAAAATCAGCTATTGGTTACTGGACTTTTTACGAGCTCTGTTGATTATAACTACGATTTGGATATTTGAAATTGGGTGGATTTCACCTGAAAAAGATGACTTTCAACCTATAAGAGAGTTGTTAAGCTGTACGATTTGTCAAACTGAAAGCACGTTTCGCGCGACGTGATACTCAAACTTGTGTCGAACGGTCTCGCGCGAAATCATCGCAAAAGCATCCCTCTGTGCATGTAGTGCGAAAACGCGAGGAAGATACGTGATCGAGCAGATCTTCTCGACTACACAACAATCAGCCACGCGTAGTGCACGTACCTGAAGGTAAAGCGCAAGACAGTCGGATAGAAGCATGTCACGGCAAACGTCAGCAGCGGAAGTCTCTTGGGTGAGGTAGACAAGGCTACTCTCTATACCAGTGTGAACCCTCAGCCAGCCGGTGGTCTTCTCGGTGCCAACGCTGCTCTTGCCGCTCGACAGCAGCGCAGCCCCGACCTCCGCGCCGACTCCCGAGTCCCACGAGGAGTCATGCTGCTGGCCAGCCGTGCCACTCTGCTTCTTCAAGTCGTCCTCTTCCTCGAATCTGTCGATGGCCTCGTTCAACTCGCGCAACACGCTCGCCGAGTCGTCTTGCTCCTGCTCTTGTTGCCTCTCCGAGCGCGACAGGGTGCACCGACTGGGGGGTGGTTCCTCGGGCAGAATCCACTCGCCACCGGCGCACAGCTGCACGTTCATTCTCTGCCGTTTGCTCAGCGAATCCTTGCTCGCGCGGCATCCTCGCGACGAGCGCTCGATCGTCGGCGTCGACGACCACGACGCCGGCTCGTCGTCGTTTTTCCAGCGGCTCTTGCGCGCCGCACTGTCGTGCATCTTGTCGCGGTTCGCGATGATTTTCCTGTTCAGCTGTTGGATGACGTTCGAGCGTCTCGCGAGCGCGTCGTTCGTGCGCTCGAGCCGCTCGTTCGCCGCGCTCCACCTTTTCCGAACGGGCGTCTCCGGACGGTCCTCGGGCGGCGCCGCTTTCTTCCGATCGGCCGTCGTGGCCCCGTTCGGAGCATTGGAGCTCGAGCTGCTCCTCGACGCCGAGCCCGCGCTGCTCAAGCTGATTCGCTCGTTGAGCTCCCAGTTGATGTGGGCCTCCCGAGCCCACTGGCAGTTGCTCCTCGTGATCACCATCTTCGCTCTCTACACCATCACTTTCACCGCGTGCACTGCTCGGTCAGTCCACCGTGCACTTGCCACTGCTTGGCGGCTGGTCCGGTACGGTGTGCTGGGAGCGGCCGTGCACATGCGAGCGACACGCTCGGCCTGGCCGTGAGAACAGGGCTCGCCGGCGCACGCACCCGCGCTACCGCTGACTCGCTCGCTCGGTCCCCGACCGGCCTCCCGCCGACTTTGTAATCGACCACGGCTGACGCGGCTGGGGAAAAAGCAAAGCGTCAGATGGCTTTTCCGTGAGCCGCTAACGGCCGCGCATTGCCGATCGGCCGCGCGGGCGCGCGAATAAACGAACGACGCTGTCTCGCGGCCGAGCAAGCCGGGCTGCTCGTAATGCTCGCGCCGCCACAGCTGACCGATCTCTGCCCTCGACTCTCTCTCGGCTGCTCTGCCACGGCCACATATTTTTACATATATTCCGGGCGGCGCCGCGAGCTCTCTTCCCTTTCCCTCTCTTTTTGCCGTCCGCAGCGCCGCGCGTGCATCGCTCGTCCTTCCCTTTCTACCACCTCGCGCGAGCGAGCGCCCGGCTCTTTGTGTGCTGTCGCCAGAGACGCGTGTAATTACGCGATGATTCGTACTTCGGCGGCGCCCTGCTCGTTCCACCTGTCCTTCGCTCCTCTTTTTCGCCTCTTCCTTTGTTGTCCCAGAAATTCCGCTCGGCTCGCTTTTCGAGGATTCAATTGCTGTACTTCAATTGCTCGCATCGGTTGTACGCGAGAGCTCGCTGCGGCCACTTGAAAGACGCGCGATGAGTCAGTCGCCGACCTCGTTCCCGCGCAATTAAGCGACCGTGCACGCGCGCGCGTTGTTCAACATTTCCGTTCGATTGTTTGGCTTTTTTCTACGTGTGCATCGATAATACGAACTCCTCCAAAAATCAATTCACGGATAGTCGCGATAAAGGAATTCCATTCCATGCGCGAAATCCAACTATTCGCGGTAGACGGGAAAAAAAATCTGGCGCGCGCTGCCACTTGTTGCGTTTTTTGGAAAGTGCAGCGACACGCGAGAGTCGAACAGAATGAACATTCAACCGAAAATCTCGCGAGTGCCATCTTCATTCTGCGTCAACGCTTTGGTCTGCGTCATGCCTAGACAATGCAGTCATCCGATCACACCGACCAAGTGACTTACGATGCCGACGGGCGACGCGCTTCGATTTGCTTTTTTTAACCGTTTTTATTGCACGTATCGAGCAGCGGACGCACGATCGCGTCGCGCACAGGATAGATTAAGCCGAAAGTCGAGAGAGAAAAAGGGAGGCACACAACCACATCCTCTGGCGTGGCGCGTTATTCTCATGGGGAGAGAGGGAGAGAACGACGAACGTGTATACGTACGTGTGCGTCGTGGCGTCCCGGCGGGGGAAGGATGTACTTCCGTCCCCCGGTGGAATTCTCTCTTTTCTATCTTGTGGCGGTACGCCCCCCTCCCTCTTTTCCTACTCTCGCGCTCTCTCAGTCGCGTATAATTGCCGCGCTGCGCCAGAGCGGAATTTGCCGGGCTTTTCTCCGATTTCTCGCCTCACCGATTGATCGATCCATTAATTTGCATTCGTTTCTGCGTGTCTTTCTGCTTTTTTTACACGCCATGCACACGAGAGAATGGATTTCTTTTACGCCTCGCAGCGTTGTTAGGCGATTGTCGCGAGTCGCAAGTGCAACGACTGCCTGTGCTTCTGCAGCGAGACGACAGTTTCCATTCTACGGAATAGCGGAAAATCGAATTATGTTGTCCAAGAATGCGAGTGTGTACTTGCAACAGGTATTGAGATCACGTTTTTCATATTTTCTTGTACGTGATATATTTTTCAAGTTTATGTAAACAAAGCTCAACTCTCTCGACCTGCATTCGCGGTAAAAATTTTTTCACATACATGATTCGTGTGGATGTGAATCCCATGCAAACCATGCACTCGAGCGTAATATCTCACTTCTATACCTTGTTGCTATTTCTTTTTTCTTTCTTGTTTTTCATTACGCAAAGCCCTCGAGAGTACGAAAAGTACACAACATATACGTTCTTCGAAGGCTAAATGCGATCGGCGGAAAAAAGTATCAAACGAACGGTATTGAAAAGAGCTTGAGCTTAAAAAAAATATTGTGTAAAATCCGTAGCGCAGGGCGAAAAGAATGAGCGAAAAGTTGTACTGTTGCGAGGGGATCAACTCTCTTTGTCGAATTGATCACGCACCGCTAACGACTTTGACCGATCCCACTGCTCGCAGGTTCACATCATCGACGAGCATTTTACGCGCCGCAAATATTTCGCGTAGCTCGTCACTAGCAGCGCCTATGCTCGCGCGCTTGCATGAGCGATATAGAAAGAGAGAAAGAGAGAGAGAGAGAGAGAGAGAGAGAGACTCGATTCGCCTGTCAATTAATTCGCGGCGCAAGCTCGCAACGCAATTAAGTACTCCGCAAGCACTTTTTGTTGAAGAACTTGTCAACTATTATATACAGCGATAAAAGTTGTACGTGTTTCCGTGCATTTCGGGCTTATTGAAAGACAAGGCTTTCAGATCGAGCATGCAGATGCCAGATAATTCTGTATAGGGGTGAGCGAGTGCGACAGGTAGGAAAATTGTTTTTTCGCTAAAAGCTTCAGGGACGCGAGAGGGATTTTTAGCAGAGGTAACTTGTTGATGGGGATTATGCATTTCAAGCTGTGGAAGATTTACGACCGACAGATGTATTAACTTTTTTTATCGTCAACGATAAATAACCCGTTGAACTTCTCTTTTTTCATATCATTTCACTTAATCCGCAATATTTGAAGATTTTTTACTTTTTTTTCAACGTTACGTATTTAAACATACCTTTCGGCTCACTGTCGAATTTATTCGTACAGCTCGAAAACAGTATATTCACAGAGATTCAAACGGAATCAGAGTGAGAGATATGATCCTTCAAAAAACTGAATCGATGAGTAATTGTCGAAAATAGCTCAAATAATTTACTCAGCTTGGCGCTACATAAATTCAGCTGGCTACAATGAAGCTTACATTTCTTCGTAGAGCACTTTAGCGCAGTAGCAGCAGCATATGTATAATCGCGTCGATAAGTTGGATAAGGATCGAAAAAATTCATCGGCGTGCAAAGCGTCGAAATGCAAAAACTTTTGCCAGGCCAATTCGTCGATTTTCTTTTTTCCTCATTCTCTCTCTCTCTCTCGTCGGTTCGCTTCGAGGCCTCTTCTTTTTTTTTTACCTCCGCAGTGAGTAATGGAAGCAATTTGATTGCGATGAAAATTGCGGCTGCTCGATCGACGGCCACTCGGATTGCTTTCGCGACTTTTGTTAGCTCTCGGGAGGAAATAATTCCAAGCTTCGTGGCAGACTGAATTTGTCAACGGCTCTGCTGCCAATGAGTTGCAATAAAAATAATGGAAGGGGGGAAAAACCACAAATCTCAAATAATACGATCGTCCGGTAGCGCACGAATGTATGACGCGCAGCGGCGCGTGTAAACACGAAAATGAAAATTGAATTCGCACGAGCGGGCAGTCATTGATAATTCAATTAAAAATATCTCTCTCGCTCTTTCTGTCTCTGGTTCTCGTGGGCACTGCATCGTCTATTAATAAGCACGGCTACCGCGGCTGCCGCGGCTGCTGCGCTCCGCACAAAGCAAAATTAAATACGACTTTCTGTGAAAACCAGCGCTATTTATCCGTTAGCGAGGTGGGCGTTTCGCTCTCATAAACATTGTTAATATAAGCCCGTCGCAGAGTCAGCATCTCTACCCTTCCGCCCGCGCCTACGCGATTTATCATTAATGCGGCGCTTAATAAAGGCATCACTTTGGCCTCTTGCCGGGCAGCTCGGAAATTCCGCGCGTAAGCTCTCTCTCTCTCCGTAGGCTGCCTCGTCATTAATTAGCGGCGGCAAGGCTGAAAAATCACGCGGAAAAATAGGCTCGCTCGCGTTGAGCGAATAAATCTGGCTGGTGCGCGCGAAATTATTCGCGAGCCTTCCGCCGCGCGCGTGCGCGTCCTACATGCAATTAGCCGTGGCGTAAATCGGCGCGAGATTTTTCGCAACGCGTCGCCGCCGAAAGTTATTTCCCTTCGTCTGCCGTCGCGGAAGCGCCGACGCGACGAACGCGGTCGCTGCTCTTTTGCCGGTGCCTGCTCTTGGGGCGATTTCACGTTTAATGAGAGCGTGTTTATTCAATCCGTTGGTTTTTCAAGCCGGTATGTGGGTTGCGGCGCTGTAAGGTAGGGGATTAATTAAATCCTATTTAAACTTGGAGTTGCGCTCACTCGGTCGCCCGGTCGAGTGCAATGTTTCAGTTTTGGGACGGGATATACCGGGCGAACAACGCCGAGCTATTTTCAAATATGCCTCGGGATCAGCGTCACGTGACATATATAATTGATTAAAAGTCAACGCGCGAGGGACTTTTAATCACGCGGGTGAATTTCGACGCGGGCGGGACATATAATGAACCAGTCAGGCCGTGTAGGTCGAGCGAGCGCGTACGTTAATATGTGAGCCGCGTGCGCGTATAGATAAATAGATGAACAACAGTTAATTAACTTCGGCTGCTCAAACACTTGGAGCAATTAACATAAATTTGGTCCGCCCGTTCGCGAGCTTGCGACAGGAGGGGATACACGTACGCGCATACACGATGCCGAGCTCTTTGTTATGCGCGATGTGCGCGCAGATAGCCGCGTTTTGCTTATTAAGCGGTATAATGCGCCCGCGCGCTCGCAATTTCGCGGGACGCGCGTCAATTTCGGACGAGCAGCGCGACAAAGGCAGCTTCTTTTCACCTAGGTCGACGCGTACAAACGACCGGCGATCGCTCAGGCTCAACTTATGCAACGAACAATTGCCCCGGGTAATTGTCAGACAGATAAATATTTGGGGAGGCGCACTTTCTCGCGCGTCTATCCGTCAGGCGGCCCGACATTAGCTTTAATTATGAGCGAGGCGCTGGGGAATGATTTCGCAGCGCGGGCCACGCGCCATCTCGGCAGCCTTTGCGGGGCTTCGCTTGTTTCGGGATGCATATATGGAGCAGCAGCCTGAAATCAGGCTGAAAGCTAAAAGGAAACAAGGGGAAATGTAGCTCGGTCTAGCGACGGGGGGAAAAATTGCCGGGACTCGAGCGAAATCAAACACAATGGGAGGATTTTCCGTTCTCTCGCTGAGTAAAACAATCCTCTAATTCGATAAAGAGAATAGCACGGGCGGCGCGCGGTCTTAATAAAAGTCAAGCGCATAACAAAATTTCTCGTGGAAGCTAGACTTCATAAACCTCGGCGAAATGCAAATAAGTCGCAGTAGTCGCGCACAGTTTGACAAAAAAAAAAAAAAAAAAAGAAAGGAGAGCGGCTAAAGTCTAGTCTAGGAGGAAAGGAGAGGGCGAGAGTGAAAATGAGAAAGAGGCTCCCCACTGGCGCGAGGCAAGCTTCTAAAGTACCCTACACAGCAGCAGCAGCAGCAGCACTAGTAGCTTGGAGAGCTTGGTATCCTTAATTCCCAAGTGCTACGGTTGTCATCGTAACAGCTCGTGCTGGATTAAAAATACTCGCTGGCATTGTTCTCCGCTAAGCAGCCGCTCGCTGAAAAATGACACACTTTTTTTTTCTTTTTACTTTGGCTGCTGCCGCCGCCAGCGCTCGAGGCAAAATAATTGAATGGGGCCGAGGTGTGTTGGCTTTGAATAAATTTTTGAGGAATGGTTTTCAGCACTTACCGACGCGATACAGCTCTTGACAAGGAAAATAAGGCACGTGATTCTGTTCGCCAAAGTGCAACGACTTTTCGTTACGGATGATACTCCACTCACTCGAAATAAAAATGAAAGTTGGATTATGCTTTCTTACGGAGCATGCAAAGCTCTTTAGTCGCCAATAAACTCAAATAATCTACTTATAAGGTAGGAAGAATACTCGTTCGAATGTAGCAGGGTGGAAAATACAGGTAGGACATGATATTAATAAAACTTCATATACATTTATTGATGATCACTTGAAATTTACATATGCGTCGTTTGACATGCAAACATTCAAATCCTCTCGCCATCTCGGTTTCGTCTCTGACATCGTTTCGCCATCATCCTTATCATCACGCCTCTCTCTCTCTCGCACTCACACACATACGCGTCCATTAGAGACGACGAAAGCTCTCACGCGAAAAAGAAGGGAACAAAAGAAACTCGTCGCCGTCACTTCAAGTGTCAATTTTCGAAAGAGATTTCGCGCTCTCGCTTGGAATGTAATATATCTTTGTTTACTTCGCGAGCTTTCTCGTTTATTTAACGCGCAATTCTTCTGCTCGCTGTTTTTTCTTCTTTTTTCCTCTGACCTTTCGCTCAAGCTCGTTTGTCTGTTTTCGTCTCGCCAAAGTTGTTTCTTCTCTGTGTGTATTATGATGCCGAGACGCGCCGAGAAACACGAAAGCTGTGCGGAGCGCAAACTGGAAGATTGTAAAACTGAGATTTTTTTTTACTCCCTGGCACGACGCGCAAGCTCGTTCGTTGTCTCTCGCCGAGGAGCGGTGTGCAATTTTACACGACGCGCCGTTCGCCATTATCTCGGCCACTTTCAAATTACGAACTTGGCTCTAATCTCGCCTCGCAGCGCGGCAGCCGCGATTCTTAGACGGCATTTTTCCACACCACATTACGCACAAGATAATTCCTATTTCTTCTTCCGTAACGAACTGCGAGAGGGGGGGGGCGAGCCGCATGAATTACTACCTTCTACCCTATCGCCCTTTACTCTCTCTCTCTCTCTTTCTCTATCTCGGCGGCCATTTTTCATCCCAACGAGGGCAATTATGCCCGGGCGTTTCTCTTTTTTTTTTTGGCCCTCGAATTACATCAGTTTTACGCGTCTAGGAAGAAACACTGGCACTTCGTTCATCCCCTAGCCTCTAATGATTGCATCTCGGCTATTCAAGGCTCACTGCGTCTCGCACACTCGACAATCAGGAATAACGTACAGGCGGCAAAGCCTTGGCGCGGCTGCCGAGAAACTTGCGCGCGCGAGAAATCTCGGTTAACCCGTTTCACTTGGTCGGGTCAAGAGGAGGAAGAGGAGGAGTCGCGCAGTATCTTCTTACTCTCGTGCGTCGCGCGCGCGCGCGAAAGAGAGAGAGAGAGAGAGAGGCAGAGACGTTGAAGTTTGCACCGGGGATTATACGGATGAATGCCTAATGAGACGGATAATGATTATTCAAATTAAGGAGGATGTCGCGCCAGAAGTGTAACGGCTGTTTTTTGGCCACCTTTGCAAAGACTACGTAACCCTTCTACTCTTACGTTTCCTTCTTTTTCCCTCCCCGGGTGGATTTCAATTGTATTAAAGCGAGAGGGAGTTTAGTTTCATCATCGTTGAAAATGTTTCCTTGCCCCGACTACAATCGCTCACGTATTTGGAATTGAGATAAAGGCGCAGACTGAGAAATGCAGCATTTAGATCAAAGTTCGCCCGTGAAATAAGATAAGCGCAAAAGCTCCGTGAATTAACATTGAAATTGATGTTGCAGATGAAATTCGTAAGCTATGTACGCGAAAAAGTATCCCTCAAATGACTTGTATTGACTTGCTCATAAGTTATTACTATGGTAAACTTGTCCAGGAAGAATTTTGCGCAGAATAGCAATACCAGGGGAAACTTGCATTTGCGAAACTTGGTCTCTGGCAAATATTCCAAGTGTCTCTCTCTCTCTCTTCTCTTCCTTCTCCTCGCGTGCTCAACAAAACTATTATCTCCTCTCCATTGGCGCTTAAACCGTCTAAAACCTCAAATTAAGCAAGAGAGAACTCCGTTAACGCTGAAACTTTGCAGCTTCGCAGTAGTCGAGGAGAGACCGAGAGCTTCACACACACGCGCGCGCCTTCAACGAACAGAAAAAAGAAGATCTTATATACACAGACTAACGATATGATTCTCGGTCGGCGTTTCTTCTCGACGCCTCCTTGTTTGCGGAAAGTCAGCTGCGCGCGCTCTAGATGATACGTCCTTCGCACCGGCAGGTGGCCCGGCAGAACTGCCTACGCTCTCGTCCTTGCTCGGTGTCGCTGTCGCACAGCCAGCTTGGCCACGTGTTGCGCAGCTGCCGGCAGTTGGCCCACAGGTCCGCCCACGGGCACGAGTTCTTGCAGAGCTTGCCCAGCCGACAGTGTTCCTTGCATTCCGAGCAACTCTCGCCGGCCGCGTAGGGCGTCGACAGCAGGTCTTCCCTGTTGCCACTGTTCAAAGCACACGGACAGACACAGATCAGTACGCACCCCGCAGCCTTTTCGTTTCCATTTCGCCCCGGCCTTCGTCCGTTAAATAACGCGAACCGTTTGGGCTTGTCAAATGTGTCCGGCATATGTAAAGCCACGAGACATTGCGATAGATTTGCATTACTGCACAATGTATGCAAACTCCACGAGCCGACTCGTTTGTATAAGCCTGCCAATTGCCAAAACAATTTTTCGTTAAACAGCGTTATTCTATGCAAACTTATTCCATTATCGACGCCTCATTATTGCCCGTTTCTTTTAATTATTTGTTCAATGTTCTTTCAATTAAGAGCAAACGACGCCAGGATTTAACGAAGTATCCGACAAAAATTCACAGGTATTCCTAATAAAAAATTGCCAACACCTGATACAAACACCTCTCGCAAAACTAATCTCATGCTCGGCTGTATTACGTCGATTGTTAATTTACAAGTTTTATTCCTCTCCCCCCTCCCGCAATTCGCACGAAAGAGAAGGTCTCGAATAAAGTGCGTAAAATAAAAAATTGATTCAACAATCCGCGGTCGCCTTCTGTACGGATTTTATGAATAGAGTATTCAAATAAAAATCCTCTAACACTTTGGTAGCTGCAGAGAAAGAACTGAAATCGCTATTCGCGCGCCCTTCGCGTTTTCATTGGATACTTTTGTTTTTGCGAGTACGTAAAACTGATATGTATATTCTCCCCGTCGTAGCGTTAAAGTGAAATGACGCCGTCAATTTTGTAATGTTAACGGCACAACAAACCTCTTGCCTTTGAATTAATGATCCGCTTTTACAACTTTCATAAATTGTGTGATATACTCGTTGAGAAATCTCGGTTGTATATATACAACATCCAATCTAGCGAAAGCATTTTAATGTTTAATGCACGCGCGTCTTCGTTGAATCAGCGGTTTTACGAGAGAAAATTAACTTACTTACTCCCCCTCCTTCCGCCTTCGAATCACGCAACGTAATTACTCGATTACCCAGCATAATTGAGCGAACACATCATTCGGCCACGGTTTAGTGTGACGATGCACAATAACGTTAATTGCATTATGCTGCCACGAATAACTTTGTCGGACAATTGATATTTTCGAAATTATTCGTGGAAAATTATTCGTGCCGAATCAAGTTAATGAAAAGCCGGGCAATCAAGCTATTGCTGCCTTCAATATGAAATTAAACGAACGGGCAGGGCGGCAGAGTTAGTAGGATGACGGATGCGATACCCGTGTCATATGCAAATCACGTGCTCACTCTCCGTTCGCCATAAATATGAATGATGTGCTGTGTACTCACGCCGGGCAGTAGTTGCAGACGTAGCTGAAGTAGGGGATACCACGGGGTCCACGCTTACCGTCGCACTCGGCCCAGCCGCAGCCGACTAGGTGCGAGCTCGCCCATACCATCTGTGTGTAGTGACCGATCTTACTCAGCTCGTTGCCGCTGCCGCCGTACTTGAACAGACGATCCTCGCCGAACCAAGTTTTTATAGCGAAGAACCTGCCCAGTGAACAGTTATTTTTCTTTTTTTTCAACTGTTATTTTCCATTTATAAAATGTTCACGACGTTTTTAAATTGACGGAGAAATTTCATTTTTTTTTCTTTTTCGCAAAGACTGAAGTTACGTATTTCGTATCTCGTGCAGGCGGGAACATAATTTCGTAACAAACTGGGCTCCCAGGAAAAGTTTCAGAATAATTTAGTAGAATAATGAACGAACGAAATTATTTTTAAAAAATGCATTGGCACGAGCGACTATATTTCAAAATCTGTTAAAAGGTGGAGCAACAGGGAGGTCGTCTTTTTTTTAAGTTTTTTCGCAGTAAAAGGTACCTTTCCAAATTGAAACTGAATAATTTCACGAAGCTTTCGAGTTTCTTACAAATTCAACGTGCTCGTCGGTCTCAACAAGGAACATTACACGCCTCGAATTCCTTCGGTTCGCGGAAAGTCTCCAAGATTTAATCGCGGGCGAGCGAACGTCACCTCTGTCCTTAGAAAATGTCACGGCATTTAAGGTATTTTTGTTTGGCGTTGCGCGCGGAATTCCGCGCGTATAGCTATAAGCGTAGCGAGTGTTTTGGCTATGGGCCAGGAGTGATCGGGATTCAAAATCCCCGAGGATGAGTGGGGTAATGCGCGGCACCCGGCCCGCACGCGAGACCATGTGCGCGCCCGCGAGATTAAACGTCACGCCACCGCCATCCCCTCTAGCGAGCCGTTTCACGTATAATTTCTTTAGGGGCCACCAACTGAGCCCACTGTCGCGTCTCAAGTAGGTCACATTTGGACTTGCGTTATTAATGACAATTGCAACTCGCCTGACCCCGCCATTATCCCTTCCAGTGGCCAATGCTCGCTATTACTTGCATTATTTCATTAACGTCGGGGGTAATCTGATTATCGTCGAGGGCCTTTATTTAACTCTTTTTTTATTTTGTTTCATTGGCCAATGGGATTTTAAATCGATGTGAATTCGGGGGATTGAAATAAGTGCACGTGCGAGCTGATTGTTTTGCGTAGCGTTAATTGACGGGAAAAACGATTTTCCAATGGATACATTATCGTATGTCATTGATAATTGAGAGAAGCTGTTATCGGATTTTCAATTAGCCATCGTTAAGTTTGAAAAAGAAGGGCAGCAATAATTCACCCGCGGAGTCGTAATTTCAACTTGACTCCAGTTAACAAAGTTATTTTTCAGGCTCTGCAGATGTTAAAATTTAAAACGGATTATTATTAGGAGTTTCGTGTTCCATTAGCTCATGCGATAAGCTTTCAGAAGAATTAGATCCAAAGTTTAATACCGTTCTCGAAGAGATTTGAAAAGTTTTCATCCATCCGGCATTTGATTAAAAAAGCTTAGAATTTTAGTATTACTTTGGTTTGCAATAATGATATTTGATAGAAGGCTTTGCTCCGCGATGCTTAACGGGAGGGATTAAAAAAAATAAAGCTCAACGCGCGCGAGGGCAGCAGCGCGCAATTAGCGCGAATGAAAAGCTTTGGCCATGCGTGCGACGAAATAAGCTCACGTGGATGCAAATTGCCGCACCCGCACACCGCGCACCGCGTCGTTGTAATATCGAGAATACACATTAGCGAGTTATCAGCGTGGTAATTGCTCGTACCATGGTACTTGTGCCGTCGAGATGAAGATATTCTGTCCACAAGTGCCGAAGTCATCGGTGTGTAGACCGGTCGCGTTGTCGTGCGTCAGCGCGTAGCACGCCTCCGCCCAGCGTTGCGCTGCCTTCTCCGCTCCAGCGTGCCATTTCTGCAATCGCGAGCCAGAAAAAGAAGAGATTATTAGGTGTTAGCTTCGGCAAATAGCTCTGCGGCTTTTCTAAATGACTTTTGCAAAGTGACCTCGTTTGAATGTGAAATGTAATCAAGATATCGACGCTCATTAAGAGAGTAAAGTTCTATCTCAACTCTGAAGCTTTTACACGGCGAAAAGAGGGAGGCGGAAAAACAGTTTTTGATCCATTTATGAAAATGAACTTTCATATTTCTCTTCGTTATTGCTATTCGCGCCTGCGTTTGCTATTCATACTATAATCTATCTATTTGTTTGCGGCGCGTAATTGAGCATGTAACCTCATGTTCCGATTGATTAATTCTCAATTAAGCTACAATGCAGAGCTGCAATGAATACGCTGATTAATATAATAGTTAGATTGCTTACCGCCAATCAGGTCTTTCGTGATTTTGCTCGAAAAGCTGCAACGAGAAGCCGGCGGGAAAAAAGATGCGAGGATTCCAAATTTGAAGATCAATTGAAATTTTCATTCCAGCGTCCTATCCGTGGAACTTTTTAGTGAGCGCTAGACTATTCATCGTGCAATCTTTAATGATAACCCGTACGAAAAAAGATGAGCTTTTCAAGGGGTTTGCGAGTCACTTTAAAAGCGAGGATTAGGGCGCGCTCGTTCGCGCAAGTCCGCCCGAAAGTTGAAAGTCTAAATAATTTGAAAGCCCTTTCGTCCTTTTTATCGCTTTTCGGCGCGCGCGAGTAATAAATCCTGAGTGATTTTATTGCTACGGTGACGAAGCGAATCGAGGTGGGTAGCAATCATTTACGCGTGGAGACCGATAAAGAGAAGAAAAAACCAGAGAAATTTTATTGGCATTCGATAGAGCTTATCCTTTTTTCAAGCCCGAAGTGTATACATGAAGAGAGAAAACATAAATTCAAACTCCAAGTTACTCTTGAATATATTGGATGGAATGACAAGCCTTGAAAGTCAAAGAGAACTGGAGTAAGTTTTGGCGCGTTAGAAAAGCGTTGCGCTGATTCGTTTTTTATGCGATTCCATAAATTCTGCTTACCGCTTGCTAAATTGCGCCCTTTCTACTCGAGTTAGCAAAAAGTCTTTCTCGCGAGTTAAACAAATGAATCTCTCTTTCTCTCCAGATGCGCACACTGTGGGCTATTTTTATATGCGCAAATAACCTGCGACAATAATTAAAATTGAAACGAACTCGAGAGTTTTTCCTCTCGTTAATCCTTTTCACGTCTTTGAATAAATTACGCCACCAAATTAATTATTCTGCGCGCGCCGGAAAAAATGTATAATGTCTAGTTTTTTTATTTTATTTTCTTTTATTTACTGATTTTTCCGAACAGTAAAACGATCGTTCGCCTTGAGAAAAACCCGAAAGAAACTTACGTCCGCGATTTATGCTTGAACGAGTCACACACATACGGGCGTATAGAATTCACGTGTTAAGTGATCGGAATATCAATCTCCCCCTTTATTGCTGAAGTTTCAGATGTTTTAGTGACGCGGGCGGCTCGCTTTCTCGATTCGATGTAGTGAAATGCGAATCCATTTACTTCGAACCAAGTTTGAAGCACAGGAAATGAAAATTTCAAGAGAAGAGAGAGAAAGTAGTGATAGAACCGAAGCTTCAGAAAAAACGTGTCTCCAGCAATGAGGTAGTAAAAATTGTTTTTCAGTGAATCTAGTTAAATAATTTTATGGATAATTCATATAAAAGGAATAGTTTCGAAAAGACTTGATTGATCCGATATCGGATTGCTATTATTAATTATCGAGCTTGCTTGCGTAATTCAGCCGATGATTGATTTCGCGATATCGCATTTCCGGGGTAATTAAAGCTATTCAAGGTAGTAAACGTCAGCAAACTAAAAGAAGGATCATTATGAAAGTTCAGCCGCGAGCAGACTGGTACTACATCCGCGAAAAAGTACTGCAAGTGAGATAAAAAAAGAGAAAAGAACTTTTTTCCGGTGTACATAAGGACTTGTCTTGTTAGCAGAAATTTTTTCACCAGCAAACCTCTCATTCCAGTCTTATTTCTAGGACTTACGCGGTGTATGAGTGACGTTTCGCACTGGATGATAAATCCTTATTATTTCGCTTTTAAACGCGAAAAAATAATAAATTGTTCGGTTTTATTGGGAGCAATGCCAATGTGATCAAGCGCGAATACGAGTGGCTCTCGACTTTCCCTTAGAGAAAATGAAGAAAATTCTATTCGTCGCGAGAAAAAAGCAAGCCGTTGACACACGGCGCAGTTCATTGAATACAAACAATGCCACTTAACCCTCATGACTGTGCGACGGTGGATCAAACCAGAGAGAGAGAGAGGCGTTGGAAAATTACAGCTTGCAGATCGGATAACAATGAGAAAGGGAGAGAAATAAAGGTAGGAGAAAGGAAGAAAGAAAAAAATCAGAGCTTACCATGACGAGCATGTTGGCGGCTGGGGGCTCGACGCGGCTCCGGAAGAAGTTGTGATAGAGGACGATTTTTCTCTGGACCTTCTTGTCGCTGGTAGTCAAGACCCTCCTGGGTATCCTGTCGCCGTATAATCGAGGCACTGAAAGAGAAATGCCGGGAAACTTGTCTTTCTGCTCGTGTTTTATCTTGCAAGCCTCTGCTCGAAACCTTTCTTTTCTTTTCAGCTCTCGCTCGCGAGTTTCGCTAGTTCCGCGGGGCTGACAATCGATATCGGGCTTTCCACTTCCGAAAATAGACTACTTCTTTCCGCGAGCAACTTTTCCAACTTGCTTACCGATCCGTCCCTCCCCTCCTGCCCATGACGCACCCCTTCCCTTGCTCTTTCTTTGCTTTATCGTCCGGCAGTTAGACTTTGTATTTGCGACTTGCTTCACTACCACTTTGTATAGGCGTGCACGGCGAAATATGAAATTCGGCGATAACGTCTCTCGCCGCTACAATTTGGTCGACCGACTTTTTACTTCCTGCGAGCGCGCCAAGGCTAACCCATTGTGCGCGCCGCCGACAACGACGACGACGACGAGGGATTTCAATTGCGGGAGAACAAGGACGACTCCCGTCATCGTCGTCTTTGTGAAGTGTACTTTATCGCTTATGAGCCGGAAATAGAATTGTTGATGGAAATTTTAATTGAATTCGCCGACAGAGAGAGACCAAGAGAGACAGCTTTTTTCATCTGTTCGTTCTCTCTCGACGACACGCGTCCGACGAATATCCTTTTTAAATTTGCGCTCGACGGGCGCGCAAAACGTTGATCGTATTAACCATTACCATATAGAGACGTATGTGAACGCACATGTTTTATACGATTCTTCTGGCGTGAGCATGGTTTCAAATCATATCCGAACGTAATTGGCTGAAGGTTCGATTTTCATCGGCAAGCTCTTCCGTCTTCTGTTTGCCATTGTTATTTTAATATATATCATACGTATAATTATTTATAAAACAATTATATCGAACTAATGAAAATGTTTTGTCTAGTAAAAATGTCACGCCGATTTATAGGCGTACCCATAGGGAATGGGGTGAAAGAATAATTGAGAGGTTTATCTTCGTTGATAGAACGCAGTCAAATTAGTTGACGCCGAAGCGTTGTTACGCATGCAGAAACATGTAGCATAAAGGCCTTGCTTGCGTTAACTCACGTATTTCTGAACCTACCTCAGAGACCCGAATTCTTTCCCGCGAGAGACTGACGATCCTGGGACAAGAGTTTTTATTTCTTTCTCCATGACAATTTTCGAGTAAACGAGATTTTTCTGTGTTGATATGCGGCTGCATAAATTTATTTACGCGGATATTTGAATTTTTATAAGCAAAACAAAATGCTTTTTTTGAGATGAAGATTTATCACCGACCTGTGTGTCGATATGATTTTTTTTAGTTAAGTGATAAGTTACGAAAAAAGAAATTATGTTCCGATAGCAGTGTGTTCAGGTACTGAATGAAAACAGCAAAAGCTGTTATGTAATACATAAATACCATATTTACCATTATTTTATTACAAAGCTACAAGGATTAATTATACGCTCGGCCAAACGCGCATGAGTGGGTGCGTGATAAAGTACACAAAAAGTAAATATCTTAAACGTTATCATGGGTCGCGGCAGCGACCTGTGGCATGTTAAATAGACGAAAGGTTTCTTTGTACCACGAGTTTTTATATACTAAATGAAAAGCATAATCGATAAAAGTATTTTGTTTTCAAATAATGAAGTTGATAATGGAAATTATGCGCACAGATCTAGACAATGGAAGTGTTGTTATTGTGTCGCTCTCGTCAAAGTCGACACGACTAGCGGGACTGTTTACATTTCATTAAGATAGTGCTGCTTTCACATGAACAGTGAACCTATGCCACGATCATTTGTTTGCAAACAGTAAGCGGCTTAACTTGGTGTTTTTGACTAAATATTGCCAAGTCGTTGATGGTCAAGTGGTTTGATTCGTCATACTGTTCAATGTTGCATCTGAGAGGCCGGGGTTCAAATCCTCGCTGAATCGACTCTGGACGCGTCTTCCTATGCTGGCTGTGTGTAAATGTAAGATCCGATTTGGATGGAGTGTCGTTAGCGTGACTCACTATCCTAATCTTTAAAAGCAAGAAATTGCTGGACCAACCGGTAACAGGGTAAAAAAACATATCGATACAACGAATGTGATAACAACGAATGTGATGGCAATCATAACGCAACGAAAAGACTGAAAACATCTGCGCCTCTGTCGTTTCAGTAGCGTAATTGGTAGCGCACTCAGCAATTGTAAAGAACAACGGCGTTCATGATCAAATGAAATGGCGATTTTTTTTTACTAGTGTTATTTAGCGCACTTCGCGCGCTTTTTTTAAAATGTTTTACTATTATTTATTACATTATTTGAACCTTTTACATGTCAACTTCAAGATTTCAATAGTCACAAATAAGTCATGCTGTTTAAAATAGACTACATATGTCAATATTTATAGATGAATAAAAATAGAACATGCATCCATTTTTTCTCAAAAATCAATGAACTTTTACTCATTTCAAGATATATCGGAAAAATTATTCAAAAGATTAATTCGACCTAAGATCAATAATGCTATTATACTATTATACTATTATACTATTATACAACACTAAACTTACATATTCAATAGTAGTGATTATGGCTCCAATCTTATATTAGTATGAGTAATACATTTAACATCGAGTACTTTTTGCTGCCACTATGAAGACACCCGTGAATATTCATCTAATTTAACGGGTTTAATATTTTGATAATTAATTTCCTTTGTTCGCATACGTTTTAATTTAAAACATACAAAAGATCAATATGTAGTCTCTATTTTATTTTTATTCATTCTCTTTTTCTTTCTACCAAATTTTAACATAACGATATTGATTGTAGTATCGGAGATGGTTATAAAATTAACAATTTGTACAAATAATTTCAAAACATAACGTATTATATTCTTAAACCAATTTATTAACATATTTCCATTCTTGCAGCTTATTATCCATGTTAATTATTCATAAATTGAATTTATCGCTAAAATAGAAATCTTACACTCTTTGATATATAATAATAATATTTCAAAGTATAGGAAAATTCAAAATTTCGCGTTCTATTTTTGCATCAACAAATCACAACGCTGGATGTCAACGACTCTTTTTTTTTTAAAGATAAGATAGGAATAAAATATGTAAAAAGTATAAAAAATAAATTTAACTAACACAGATGATAATATGGAAATTTCCATTTGAAGCGTTGTATATATAGCGCATATTACTAATATATTTGAGGGAAATTTAATGCCCGTCTGGACTAATGGACTATATGTGACCGCTTGGTAGGCCAAATGTTACTTTTGCTTTGCGTCAATTGAAAGCAACGTTAATCTCGAGCAAACATTTGAAAAAGTAAAATTTAGCTAGTACCTTTATTTTTTAAAATAAAATTACTAATTAAAATTGTAATTATACTAACTTATTTTACTACAATCTTTTGCACTGAAATATAAAGTTTGTAATATCAAAATTTGATAATTTTATTTATCTGTTTTATCGATTTTCTTGCTGGAAAAATTCACGTTATTATCTTAATAAAGTCCTCAATTATTCATAATTTATTATTGACTCATTTGAAACGTACATATAATACAACTGATTTCCTATTCTTAAACGAAATACTTCGGTATTCACGTCTCACTAAAAACGATTAACTTCCGCAATGCTATAATTTATAGATATATTCGAATTTGAGTATTTACCTATAGTTATTTAAATGACACCCAGTTACTTTATACAGAAATTAATTAGAGTAATACTTTTAATAAAAATTACCCGTATTAACTTCTTTTTCGATTGATAAAGTTATTGTGAACTGGTTTAAATAATGTTGCCTAGGTTATTTGTCTACTTTATTTCAGACCAATTCTTACGTGCAAAGATTCACAAAATTGTTGGTAATTTACAAAAAATTGCTTCGCTTTGTGTATATCACGAAAATTATAATCATTACTATAATATTTTTATTACGTGTCGTGAATAATAGCATACAGATATGTATCTTAAAAGGCCTGATATTTACGATCGATTTTCGATTCATGGATTTTCTAAATTGACTGTGTTTTTCATATTAAACTTTTGAAAATGATTCTTAAAGCTGTTTTAGCACTTTCATATATTTAAGGCAGAATGTAAGAAATTAGGATTCTATAAATAGTAGTTGCACCTTATATGTATAATATTGTTGAACCCTTAATACATTTCTTACTAAACGACAGTACTATTTATTGATATATAGAATAACTGTTGGTAAAAAAATGTATGATTGAATTATATTTTTAATGTATTCCCAGTGAAACGCAGACGGGTGTCTTTTCATTTGCTGAATTTGATTGTATACACAATCCTCGCCTTGCCAGTTCGTGTAATTGATTTGTACATGAAAATAAATTAATCCTTCAATTTGCTAAACAACAAAAGAGCACCTCTCGATAGTTATTTTATTGGTAGAGACAATATGTTTTGATTGATAGATATACGTGTAACAACATTTACACTGAGCAAAACTTTGTAAACTAGCCACGCTCATAACTTTTAATATAAAAACTTTCTGACAAGCATTTTATGACGTAGAAGCTTGTACAAAATTTTTTCAGTGACTCCGCGAGTGCGTGTTTAACACACCCGTATTTCTTCTCGTTATAGAATACTCAAACACGATAGATGTGAAGAGGTAAACTTCAATTAAAAATTTTCACGTAAGTTGACGGATAAAAGTACAACTGCGAAAAAACTACTCTGTATTTCCTTCTTTTTTTTAAACTTCCGCTTCTTTTCAAACAGAGTTCTTACTTATAATTGGAGCCAAAGCTGAAAGTGATTTCAAAGAAAAAAAGTTTAATTAAAAATTTAACTCCTCGTGCTGTTTTTTCTCTCGTGCTCCGCGAAAAGTCCGTTCGCTGTTTTATTTTTGTTTTTCTTAATGTTCACTTGTAACTTCTAAAGTTTTGAATTTTGGCGAGAAGAGAGAATTGTAATGTTTCTTTGAACCGAAGTTCATCAGACGGAACGAGAAAAAAATGCTAGAATGGTGGGCTGGTTTTCGTTATAAGAAAGGTATTTAATAACGACAGAATTAATCTCGACAAAGAAACACGTGATTCTACCTTGTTTCCATTTCTTTTGGGTTGGAGAAAAAACAATTAACGAAAACACTGCCATCGCGAAGGAAGTAATCAAAACTCTAGGTCCTCGAGCCTTTACTTCATTTATCAAAGAATTAATTTGCAGCGTGGCGTGCAAACAAGCAGCTTGCAGTGGAGAAGATCAAGTTCTCAGTGAATAGCGCCGGAGAAAGGCCGTCAGCGAGCTCTCGATTTCATCGTTCGTTGAGTGACTGTCGCAGCTGTTGCGAGGCAAACAAGAGAACAGTCGGAAAAACAAGGTAAAAGGAAGAAGGAAAAGGAAAAAAAAGTGCTTTCGCGAGGTAAATTAACACAGAGAGCTTGCGAGCATCGAGCCTAAAAGCCCTATCGGATAAGAAGAGGCACGCGTAGAGCAGAGGCGCCGCGCGATAGTAGGTGCAAGGTACAAACGCTTACCAGGCTTGTAGCGTTGCTGCTCGTCGGGCGTCGCGGCGGCCAACGCGGCGGCAAGTACCAGCAGCCACGGCCAATTCATGCTGCCCGCAGCGTCGTCGTCTTCCTCGCAGCACGTACGTGCTCGCCTGCAACACAAGCGGCAACGGCTCGGCGTTAGAAAAGCCAAGCGAACGCGGCGCCGCGCGAGCGAACGCAGGAAATGAAAACAGTCTTTCGCGCGGCGCCCGGACCAATATTGGCCAGCCACCCCCGCGCTGCTCCGCGCATGTCTTCTTTTTTTTTTTTCGGCGGCATAGCTTTCAAGCCAACCGCGCACACCTACATAGATATACGATCCAGCTTTATTGATTGACCTCCCTTGTCGCGACTTTTCGGAGATTCTGTACGTTTGATTGGACACTGGATTGATGGTCGCGCGGCTCGCTTCTGCGAAAATAATAGCGCGAGTTTCTCTTCCTCGCGATGAAATTCGAGGGGCAACGACACCTCTCTGTGCAGTTGTTTCCTTCCTCTCCTTTGCAAGGAGCATTTACGCTCTCGACTTTTCAAATGTGTGATTCCGTAAAGAAGCAAGCAGGTAGGTAAAATAACCGTGTTTTCAACGAGTTTATCCTTTTGCCAGGCAAGAGGCTGCAGGAGCAAAGACAGGCAAACTCGCGGCGTCAAAGGGGCGCGAATGACTCGAGTACAAATTGAAGAAGCTTTCTTCCTCCGTAGCTTTTGCATTTCTCTTTGAGAAAGGCTACTCTTACGAAAATTGGTGCTACCGCGGAAAAGCCGCAGCTTGCACAAAAAGCAAATGCTTTGAAATAAAGTGAAAGTCACGTATGCTGACGCGTGCCACTTTTATAATCAATGATTAACGACGCTTTTTCTTTCAATAGCACTGTCATGGGAATGAGATTGTCGGGAGAGCGCGCGAAGCAACCATTTCTTTTTTTTTTTCAAAGCATCGCGTGAATCTGTTTGCGGATTTTTTTTCGCGTTAAATATCGGTAACGTTTGTTCTCCGTCCTCGCGAGTGTGCTCTTAACTTGAGTACGGAGAGGTGGCAGTAAAATGCGCGCATATACACTTCTGCTCGTGTACATAAACGCTGATCGGCCTTCCAGTGAAGTGTATCTATAAAAGCAGCTATAGCTATCCCTCGCTGGCATTTCCCTTTTCTATACACGCGCACGGAGACGACATTCTTTGGTCGCTGGATTTATGCGGTTTTCGCTTAATCTTTTTTTTTCTTCTTCCTCTTTTTTTCACGAGCTCTCCCTCTACATCCACAAGCACATACATGAAATATTCAACGCCGACGTACGGTCTATTACTACTAGGTTTCACGAGGCGTCGTCCCGGGAGAGCAATTATCTCACGCGCGCGCGCGCGCACGTACGAAGCCAGGGGCGCCAATTCTACCGCAGCGCGCGCGGAAGATCCATTAGGAATCGTCGATGATTCATGTGGCGGGGCGCGGAAGAATCCATCATTATTAGAAACCGCAATCGCGGGAGGAGAAAACTTTTGGCCGCCGGCAAAGTATCAATCCGCGTGCGCGCGCGCGCGCGCAGGAAAACTCGCGCACAATGAAAGCAAAGTTTCGAGCAGCGCTCCTCTTTCGTAAGAATCGGCCATTAATTCGAGAAAAAGTTGGCCACCTGTGCCGATATAAATCAGGGCTGTATGCCGCGCGCGCGATATAGATAGGCTGTCGGGGGACGCGAGCGCGCCTCGGCATTTAATCACATTTATCTGGCCGGCGCTCGAAACTCTGTGTACACAGAACCCGCCAGGCCTTTGCCAATTCTCCGGGCGATCTTATTTACCCTGAGCTTTATCGCCGATAGAGCTGCCGCCGCTGCTACTCCTGCTGCTGCTGCTGCTGCTGCTGCTGCTGCAAGTCGTGAATCTTGTTTGTCCGCTCAGCCAACGTCATTCTTTTTCGGCGCTTATGTCCTCTTCTTTTTTTCCTCGTGAGTTCTGTTGCCTATTGCGCGGCTCAGTGTAAGCCCCTCACGGATAATTAACTTTTCAGACGGCGAGAGGCGATTTATGGATATGTGATACCGGCGGGAGAGCCGGGCACTTTGTATCTGCGCGTGCAACGTATGAACTTTTGCCCCGTAGATAAGGGCTTTGATTATATTCGGATTGGAAGGTAATTTGGCCAGTGGTGCGGTTAATTGCGAGATCCCGGCAACATTTGTTGTTCGCCATCTGAAATGCGATTTTCAATGAATAATGCTTGCGCTCGCGAACATTCATCACTCGGGCACACTGCGTTCCGACTGCCTCGTCGTACTTATATTCATCTGATATTCGAAGCGGATGAAATAGTGGAGTACAGTTTGCGCGCGCGTTAGTCGATTCGAAACAAAGCTTGTTTGCACGGTCGCTCCGTTACCGAGAGCTAACTGCACCGTCATAATCTCTTTCTATTTTTGCCTGCGAAGTCCGGATGCCAAGAAAAGGCATTTTTACGGAAAACCACTTGGCGAGGAGAGTTCGCCGACAATCAAATTTCGCTAGGTGGCCCTTTGAATTACGAGATTGTCACGTATTTCCTAGTTAGAACTTGCGACCGCACTTTCCAATATTAAAGGCTCGTCTTGCTCAACCGAGCGTGTCAGATTTTCATAAAAAAAAACGTCTCTCTGGCGCGCCGATGCGTGCTCAAAGCCGGAGCTCCCCAAAGCGAGGCTTTGATAATTGTTGCTATAGCTATCGAAGCGCGGAAGCACTCTTGCTGGGGGAAATGCTTGGCGCACTTATCGTTTTGCCGGGCACAGGTGCATCTCATTTTTCTCGATGCGCAGATACGTTTATAGAGGATCTGCAAGTGCGGTAAAGGTGCAGTGTGCAGCGTGTGTACGTTCGAGTTATATGAAGCGAATATTTGCGTTCGAGACTCTCGCGCCGAGATGTTTACCGTCTCTATCGCGCGCACGCACCCATCGATCCTCTCTGGCCATTGAATATGTATATAAACGAGCGGAAGGGATCGCGAAATATTCTCTCTCACTCTGAAGACTTTGACGAGCGGCCAATTTTTGCCTCCGAAGCGACGTACACACGTGACCTCTTTTCGCAGTTTCATGCATGCGCTGGGCTTTAATCGAATACCTCGGGCTTTTTCGCTTTTTCCCTTTTTATTTATTGTTTCATTTGTTTATCGCGCAGTCGTCGCAGTCGTTTTCGCCGACAGACGGGGCGAAAAGAGCACGCGGAGAATTGAAATTTGACGGGCGTTTCGATCTGCAGTGAACGCGCGCGTGCGCTCGCCTGCATTGTTTTGCATCGCGTCGCCCAGCAGTCTAAGATTGCTAATCTAACTTATCCAACTAAACTGCAAATGCTTAATTAATGCCTTAACTAACTTGCGCGTTTGGCGCGCCGTATTTCTTGGGATTTTAATGAAAAGTTGCTGCTGCCTGCTCTTCGTAATGGAACATCAACCCTTTTAGCACCTCGTTAATATCCGAGTATTTCATTATGCGATACAGCCCATTAGAAAGTTGCGCTCGCACTTATACACAAGCTTATGTCGATCAATCAGTTTATGGGCCATACGACATTTTTCATGCAGCGTTAAAATAAATGCATATTTTACTACCTCGACGCCGTAGGCTGGGCTTTCTTTTAGAATTCTAAGAAAAAGTTCGCGACGCGAGCGAATAATTGAGCAGTACAGAAGAACGACCAAAAAAATTGGGAATGAGGGAAAGTCTGGATGCGAATACGAAAATAGATAAGGCAAAGTTCGGTGTATTTTTACCGATTAACCACGATAAACCCAGAGTGGATTCGCGGCGAAATCACACCCGAGGCGGAGTCTGCTCCCGACGCGCGGTAACGCTAGTAGCAGCGTGCAGTAAGATCAAAGTAAGTGAGAGAGAGGGAGAGAGAGAGAGAGAGAGAGAAGCAGCTATATCCCCCGAATTAACTAAATTTTTGCGAGTGTCGTTCTCAAATGAAGATCCATTAGTATAATGAAAAAAAAATAGAGGGATCGCGTATCTGCCGCTGGACGTTTCGTCGGTGTTGTTTTTTGATTAGATATACCCATAAACGCGCGCTTCGCGGGCCAAGAAATATATCGCGCTAAGCAAGAATGTCCAAAGCTTACCGAGTTTGTCGCCCCGTAAATGCTGCTGTTATTGAATTAAAACGCTCATGCGTCGGGTATAGCTATATTTTTTCCGGTTGCGTCCGATTTTTATTGCGAATTTTACGCGACGACGCGAAATGATATTTTAGCGAGAATGACGTTTACGATTACACGAAAAGAAAGATTGCGCCAGCGCGGGGAGGAAGGTTTTTGCAGCCGTTGAAACGCTCGCGAGTGCGGTTTTTAAAAAGCTTTCAAGTTTTTAAAATGACAACGCAGCTTGCGCAGTACGCTCGCGTCGATTAATATTTACGTGATTCGCCGCAACAATCTCGATTAAATTATTCAACATTACCCGAGGCACTTACAATATTTAATTGTTGCGTGATGTTTCAACGCACAGTCGACCAAATTATTCAAAGTTAAGCGCCCGAAACATTCATTGTTATATTTTTGTGTTCTGTTTTTTTTTTGTATTATGTTATTTTGTGTTATATGTTGTTTTGCATAATCCTTTTCTGATCGAAATCAAAATGTCGAGATACATTAGATGTAATTTTTTCTATCTCGTGTAAAATAACTAATATTATTTCCGCTTCGATAAACCAAAATAATCGTAATTTTTTAATAATTTTTGCGCAGCAACGCGAAATGGAAACTTTCCATGCATTGTGCGCTTAGACATAGACTTTTTCAACGCTCTATTTCGGAACCACTTTAAGGTCGCTGGATAAAAGAGAAGAATATTTGTGCACGATTTTATGCACACAGCTAATAAGAAAGCCGAAAGTTATCTCATTTGAAACGTAGTAGCTAAAACTAAAGCCACCTTACGTCTGACTATCGCACTCGCAATCGGAAACCAGTAATGAGACTGCTCACGATTGACAAGAAGTATCTCTTAGCAGAAGGTAGCTTTTATTTGGGAGCACGAGAGTTACAATAAAGAAGATATTAAAAATTGTCGTAACAGAAGGCAGGTTATTACTATAGAATAATAAATCCTCGCGAGTAAAGGAAAAAAAATTGTTGGTTCGCACAGCATAAATCTTGAAAGGTGCAAGCCTCCTTCGAAATGAAAAAGTGCAGCTACTTACTTTCCGATGCTCGAGCTTACGGCGCGTGATATAAACGTGAGCTTAGGCATCGCGCGCGCACACGCACGCGCTTTCCAAAGCCGCGCACAAATTATTCAGTGCTTTCTTAATAGGTCATTAACAGGTGCGAACATCCGTTTCTTACACACTAGTATCGTGCAATAAAACACGCGCGAGACTAGTGCGCGGAATATCACGCAATACGCTGTAAAATAGCAATTAAAGATCGGGATCGTAAATCTTTATGAAGGACTAAGTGCACCTCCTTGCCGGCGCTGCTCAATGTCACCGCGCCAATGAACAATTCAATATATTATACCGCCTACAAACATCGACGGCTTCCGCGAAATTCTTAATATAACGCCGCTTTCGTGCTCTATATGCATTTAGCGTGCAAACGCTAATGAACGAAGATATACGGTTGTATTTGTCGTTGAGCTGAATTTATTGCGGACAGTGGAGCAAAAAATTTAATAATTCTTCGTGTACGCGAGGCAACCGTTTTTAGCATACGTCGTCGTTCGGTGAAACTTTTTTACCTCTTTCTCCGGCTGAAGAGTTTCCGCCACTGAGAGGAAAGAGAGAGAGAGAGAGACATACACACACACACACACACACACACACACAGAAAAGAGAAAAAGAAGTGGTTCATATTAAATCGCCGTGCAGTGAATGTGATGCTGTTGGGTTTGCCGGTGCGAGGGAGGTTTATCGGGAAAAAAGGTTTTTATCGCTTTATTAGTTCAAGCGAACGAGTGGGAAACGCGTAAAAAGGGCACGACAAGTCACTTCAAAAATTCCAAAGATGGTAAAAATAAACAAAAAACAAAATAACTAATATGTCTAATGGAAACAAAGTAATAGAAACATTGTTGAGATTCCGAGAATTTACGGGCTAGTAGCTTGCAGCTGAGCGCGTAACGCCGAAATAAGACATTATGCAAATTCCTTTAGGGCAATAACTTTTCTCAAAGTCGCGCTCGCGGGGGCGAGCGAACATTTCCCCACTCATGTTAAAAAATACGAATTATATCTTGTATATGCGGACAGCGTATTCTTAGCATAACCAACGACTGTCTCTCTGTCGCCCTTTTACGAAACCCGGAAGTGCCGTGAAATTTAAGCCGTGTAACTTTGAGTTAAAGCTCGCGCGAATTTCTTTTCTCTCTCTCTCTCTCTCTCTCTCTCGAGCATGCAAATTACACTTCACGAAGCTTGCTGCAAAACTTCGTTAGTCAAACAATCGCTTGTTCGTAAACGTCACGATCGTTCTCGCGTGGCAAGTGGAGATTCGATTTAAGCGCGCGCACGGACGCCAGGCAAAAAAGGCAACGCCAAAAGGACCTCGGCAATCTGCGTGTGTGTCGCGATAAAAATTCCTATCGACTCTTGGCTTATCAGAAAATTGCATTGAGCTTGAAAAAAAAAAAAAAAGAGTACGAGCGTAGGCAAAAAAGTTGAGAAAAGCGCGACGGATGATTTCTTTATTTCCGACAACTTTTTCACGAAGCTTCCGTAAACAACATGTTAATCAACTTCCGGCAAAAGTATTCAAATTTTAATTATACGCTTTGAAAATTCAGTTGCCATAGCATGAAATTTAATATGCCTATTTGAAAGTTACAAGATTAAAATTCTCACGTAGTGGCAGCGGTAGCGCTCTGTCGTCGCTGAAAGCCGTATAAAGCACACAGAGATATGAATGTGTGCTCAAAGCAGCGGCAAAATAAAAAAAATTATAACTCTGGTGAGCTCTTAATTGAAAGTCTGAATATACATCATATAATTTTTCATTTGCCTACTTGGAAATCACTGGGCGTCAAATTTTTCGAAAAAAATAATTAATTCTCGGCCTACTTCTTGTTCTCAAGCCCTCGCTCTCCCCCATAAGGATGCGTGACGCGCAAACGCTGTAGGTATGTGTGTATCTGTATAACGTACGCAATATTTCTGCGAGACTCGAGGATGGAATTCGGCTTGGCACGTGTTCTCGTCGATCTCGACGCGAAGTTTTCTTGGTGAGATCCAGACGGTGACTACACGCAGCCTCCGACGCACGAACGAGCGAGCAAGTCAAGCAAGCCAGAGATTGCTTGTCGTTAATTAGACGTACGATTTCAATCGATAGCGCCGTCTACAAATAATCGGCCTTTGTGTTATGAGTAATTTTAATCCCATGTGGCTTCGATGATAGGTAGAACGGCGCAATCATCGCTGTATTGTTGTTACCGATCTGGTCCTCGCGTTATAGATAAGCCTTTATAGCATCATTGGTATTCACGCAGGAGTTGCTATTCAAGGCGCTCGAAAAATGAACAGGATACAATGATGAACATTTTTCACATCATAACACAAATGTACGATATTTCAAATAATGTGCACGGAACAACCTGAATGCCGTTTATATCTGTATGTATAGCGAGTACGTTCAATTATAGAGTGTCGTTCTCGGCTCTTGTCAGATATCCCAGTAGTTGAAACTGCATATTTCATTATTTGTTGAGATAGCGTCTAAACTGTTTTTAACTTTAGATTTTCAACGCAATCGAAAAGATTTAATTAACTATTTATCTGTCCATCTTGAGACAGCCTCCGACAAGCAAGCAAGCGAGATATCAGTCTCCGCTAATTAGACGTCACTGGCTTATCATAAGATTTCCATCGATCAAGTTCGCGTCAGAATTGATTAGCCTTTGTTACGACAAAGTTTTACCTTAACGTTGCTTTGATTAGATGCCAAGAGCAAAGAGCACGTAAGATTATAGTCGAGACTCGAGATAATTTCTCAATGAGTACGTCACGCTTTTGCCAGTTTCCTCGGATGAAGAGGACATTTATTTTCGGTTACAGAGTTTGTAGCGGTAGGCTGATACCAAAGGTGCATAATCATTTTGTCAAGGAAATAAGCACGAAAGTGAGAGAGAGAGAGAGAGAGAGAAAAGTTGCACCATAGTAAAGCGTTCGGGTAAACTGTCCGACTTTGTCGCCTGACTGTGGCTCTACTTGTTCCACTGTGCACGTGTACGGCGCCTGTGCTTGATTGTAGATCCAACTTATGGGGAAAACGAATCTCTAAACGAGTTTTTTGAGTTTTGGGAATCTAGCGCAAAACAATTAGGTATTATATCATCGTCCTTGTCTCTTTGACTTTCTTGCGGAAATTAGATGGTTAAACTAGTTTACATCTAGAAAACAAAACCAAACTTCTGAAAAGTGACGTTTACAATAAGGAGACGACTCGAATCCATTGCATACATGTCTTTGGCTTTGAAGTGGCTACGAAAATTCTATGAATTATTTTACTCTTGAACGTGTAATTGAAATAATACGAATAGACTATTGATTAGCGCGTGTGTGTAAACCGGCGATCTTTTGTTCATGAATACGCTCCCCGCTGTGTGTTTCTAAGTTAAAATATTCGTTTTACAAATATTTCACATTAAAACTTGCAGAAAAAGGGAACTCTACAGCGTTGTTCTCTAAGGCATTGTTGCTGACATTTGGAGCGTATCTTGCCAACTTTTCAAACAAAGCTTTTTCCATCCTTTTGACACGTATACGATGGCTCGCGAAAGCTGTATAAGCTCTGGTTATTTACTCGTAGTGAAAAAAAAAAACGTGCGTGTAGGTTAACTCGTAAATATATTACAAAGCGAGTAGTATCGGGTGAAAACAGGGAGCAGTGAAAAGCATAAAAACATCTCTTGACAACGAAATTTCGCCCCGCACAAAGCAGTAGCGAGGAAAAACAAATAGTTTGCGCCGCGCATTAAATTGTCGAGCTCGTAAAATCAAATGGCAAACAAAAACAAAAGCGCGAGCAGTGAATTTTCGTGGTCTATTCTCATTAGGATTAAGAGAGCTGCTGTCGCTCGGCAATAAAATACATCGCGACGGAGAGGCTCTTAAATCAAGCGCCACTTCGACGCATCGCGGCAGCAGCACGCACGTACGCGGCTGTGAAAGCAAGGAGCACGGTGGGTGGAAATTTTCCGAGAGCTCCCGAGAGCGTCCGCGAGCCAACTAAATTATATTGGACAGCATCAAATGGCGCGAAATTTATTCGTATTTGCGCAAGCGCGTGCTGCCGCTGCTGTTACTTGTACTTTATATCGCGGAGCCGCCGCCACCACCACGGCACGTGTTACAAAAGTCTCGGTGGCTCTGGGATAATGGCTGCCGTCAAATTATTTACTTTGCCCCGCCGCTCTGCTATGAACTTCCTTTTCGCAGGCTTCCCCCGCCCCCCACCCTATTCACCGCCTTTTTCTACTCGTTACGCGATATTGGAATTCTTACGAGCCAAATTACAACTCACTGAGCGCTTCTTTTACTTTTTCATTACACTCTTTCCTTTCTCGTGACCGTGCCCCTATTCAATTCTAACTAACTTGATTACTTAAGAAGGCATTGATCGAATTTTTTTTATCAAATGAGTTTGAAGATTTTTCTAATGACGAACTCTTTATATTCATAAAGAGAGCAAATAACTTTTCTAACGGTTGGCACTCGTAATTTTTGCTCCTTTTGTTATGCAAATGTGACGCACTGCTTTATTTATCGTCGAATTTCATGCGAATTGAATTTGTCAAACATTATGTAAAAGCCCATTATCGTCACCACATCGAAACTGTATTCGATACGTATTTTCATTTACGCGAAAAATGACCTGAATTTTATGAAAATTTAAATGCATTTGCAGCCCCGAGCCGTACAATCGTTCGTGTTAATTTTTTACGAAAATATGAATTGTATGGTCGCGGCTGCAATGGCAATGTTCTATTTATAAGGTGTAATCGGCAAGGACGATTTGCCGATTTCTACTTAATTGATCTAAGCATTGGTGCGAGCACAAAGAATAGGATTTTCAACGCGAGAGATAGAGGAAAAAAAATGAAGAATGAGAAAGAAGATGAGAAGGATTTTTCCGTGCTCGCGGGTTTTATGAAAGCTAGCTGCGCGTTCATTAATCATGAGAGTAATTAGCGATCGGCGCTGAATGAATGTAAGTGATGAAGCGCCTGGGTTCATAATCTTGCTTAACGAGAATATCCAACGCGAGCGGGCGCGCGGAATATTGATGAGAAATTAGTATTAGGACGACGAAGAAAATAGCAGTGCGCGGCGATCGGATAACCGGAATCGATTGCAGTTCGGTAACGCGCCGGCTGCAGCATTTAACCATCTCATTGTGTTTTCCTGCCAACAGCGCGTCGCTCGTCAAAGGCCCGGCCTGCTTTGACGTCTCCCCCGCCCCCTCTCTTTCTCTCTCTTTTACGTCGCCTTAATAAACAAATTAAAAAGCACGTCTGTCAACGCCGAGGCTAACGAGTTGCGCTAAATGAATTGTGACTCTGTGATTGTTTTGTTGTGTTTTTTTTTCTCCCCGTCACTCTCTGTTTGCCTCCCATTGCGGCTCTTTCAGGCACAAAGCTGCAACAGCCACGGCAACGAAAAACAACACTGCAGCATAATTGTCCACGTATTTTTCGCGCGGACCGCAGGCAATCCGTTGTCGCTCCTTCTCCCTCCGGCTGTTTTTTTTTCTCCGCCGTGTACGCGCCCTACATATTTTCATCCCTCTAATGAAAATTACTCGAGCGCGAACGGAAGACCGCGCCGAATGAAAATTGCACTCCCGAATTGCGCGAGTCCGCCTCTCGAAGGCGCTCCAAGAATTTAAAGAGCAGTGCGCTCTTACACCGCACGCAACGACAATTGCTTGCTTGCACAAGCATTTGAGATTTCAATTCGCACGCGGAAAACAGATGGATACAACGTGTTGTCCGTGCAGCCAATTACGAGATTCTCGTCGGACACGAACGACACGTCGTTTTTGCTCCATCGACTCGTGTAATTCAAGCGGATCCTGCTTATTTACTGCTTCTCCAACGGGATTTTCCTGCACTTTGGAGAGCTGGAAATGTCTCAAAGTTTGCCATTTCGAGATTTACTATTCTTTCAGCGTTTCCGTTTAACTTTGTCGATTCCGCACTTTCTATTCAGCGCACTTATAAAAGTTATCTCTGCGTGTGAAGACATTCATGCATATTTTTGCCCTCTGCACCTCTCCACAAAACTTCTGCCTCCAGTACATAAATTCACTTCTCGACCAAATCATCTTTTAATCAGCAACACATACAAATCAGATATGAGTTCCCTTCAAAGAGAAGCCATTTACGTTATTTCACATACTTTTGGAATTTGTCACGAGAATTTTGCGGACGATGCTCATGAATAAAACTATGCATCAAAACTTCAAGATAAAATTTTTCGCAAACTCGGATAAAGAGACGAGCAACTGCAGGAGAAGAGAACGGGAGAAAAAAAAATGAAGTTTCGAAAAAGTTACGAAAGCCGGCGTTTCTGTCGGTGTAACGCCGCCTTGGCATACACTCCAGCACTCAGAAGGTTGGAAGAAAAACAGAACAGTTGAGAATCAATTGTCAATCGAGTAACAATGAAGCAAGAAAAATATACATATAAACAAAGAGGAAGAAGAAGAAGAAGAAGAAGAAGAAAGCAAGGGATGAAAAGTACTGAGAGTTCTGCTGCAGCGTATCGGAGCGCAACTACTTACTCGCTAACGAGAAAGTGATCCCTCTGCCCTTTGGCGCGAGCGCGCTTGTGCTCCCTCTCTAGCTCTCGATGCGACAGCAATTAGGCGCGCTTTTCCAGTAGCAACAGCAATTTTCGTTGTACAGCAAAGTCCACATGATCTTGCAATCACCCGTCCTCCCTTTTACAACCGCCGTAATTGAATTTCAAATTGCACGCGTACTCGCGATACATGATACAGCGAAGAGAAGAAAAGACAACGACAACAATAAAAATCAAGACTGCTGTGTGCGCGCGGAGTGCCTTGGGGGAGCGAGCGTTTCGCTAGCTCGCGCGACGCGAGCCGAGCTGGGAGAGCTTGCGGCCGGAGCTTGCGAGACCGACTGCGCGCACTTTGGTGCCGGGGCGAAAGCCTGGCAGGCAGGCAAGCAGACCAGGAGAGTTGCGCGCGCGCCAGTCCGCCAGTTGAGTAGAGGGAGTACATATAGAAAGGGTCTCGCGACGCGCTTAGAAATCGGCTCGGAAAACCAGCCTCCCACCGAGCGGCCGACTGGCGAAAATCAATTAGTCAGTTTCTCTGTCAAAGGGCTACCACGGCCAAATGGCTATGCCAACCAGCGAGAGGATTTTCCTCTCTCTCTTTCTCTCGAAACTGGGCCGCTTTTCCAAAGTGTCACGCTCTCGCGCTTCGTTTTTGAAAGATTCAAAAGGTGTTTACTTTGTTTCCCGCCGTCGAGTTTCGCAGCCGAGTGCAAAGTTTTCCAGTGCCAAGAGCTTATGAAAGGACCCGATGTTGTAGAAGAGTGGCTAGGCTTTTTTTCAGCAGTAAAAAAAAGGATAAGCTAGAGATTTGGTAGTGTAATGCATCTCAATATTGTACCTTGCCAACACTCTTTCAAACAATTTCTTCTGAAACTGAGCTGCTATTGAAAAAATAAAAAAACAACTAATCCGTCAGTTCAAAACAGTTGATTGAGATCGTATAAAATGGCCGATATGGCAGTTTTTTTGCGAAACCGGAAAAATAGCAGACCTGCAGACGTTGCTTCATTTTAACTGTTCGTTGAGAATCAACCATGCAGTCAAAGTCAATATTTGTTCTTAATAACAGAGAGATAATAATAATTATTTGCCCTGATCCATTTCGCAGTTAAAATTTAACAATTTGACAGCAAATAGTAAATTCGAATTTTTTCCTCTTGCGCGTGCAACGTGTGTATTGCATTTCGGGAATCCCTATTGCCACTTTAATTGTGAGTAAAATAGTCCCTTTAAGTGTCATGGTAAAAAAATGTAGTGTCAAAAAGTTTTTAAGCCTGTGAATCACTTTACATAGTAGCATGAGTTCGAAATTATTTTGAAACTTTCGTAGAATTATTCTCGGTAAAAGATATAATAAAATCGTCAAAAATGAATGAAAAAAGTTTTCCTGCTTCATAATCATCACATTTACATAAACTGCTTGGCGGCTATATAAGAGAAACTCTACGTTGTAATAAGCTGTAAACTTTAGCGTAACATTGTTTTCGTCAAGATAAAAGAAGAACACCGATAAGTTACTATTTCCAAATTGTCAATAATGTGTTTATTCATTTTATCCCAGAGAAACTTGAAGTTCCGCTCGAAAACTTTACGGAAAAATACGCAGACTCCATTTCACTTTGACAATCCAACAATACGTCTGGAGATCAATACTTTTGTTTCTTTGCTACACTGAACCCTATCTAGTTTTCAAACTCTCACGAAGCATTACGTTCCAACAGACAACTACATTCTATTACAGATAATTGCATTGTGAGAGGTAAGACTCCAATGAATTTACAATTGCCACTACAAACTCCAATGTTATCATTGATGAAAATGCTTTGAGAAATACTTTGCGTCCGAAAAAATAGAATTGCAGTTAATAAGCAAAATGAAATCAGCATAAAAATATGTGAAAATTGGCGACCGTACAACGGCATTGCCCGAAAAATGGCGCATGCAAATTATTGTAAAAATACTGCATTTATATTTTATAAAGTAAACCTAATTCAGTTCAAGATTAGGAAAAACTTTCTTATAGATAATTTGAACTAAGCTTGGAAATGACGAAACTTATTTTATTGCTTAATTTCAAGTTTTGTCAGTCTTTCACATCAGATATAAACGTAGTTTTTGTAACTAATTTCCACTATGTATTTTATAACTATCGTACCAAGCAGTTTCATTGATCCTGTATTATATATTTATATTGATATTAAATCACCGGCTGATGGGTACAACCGAATCTATTATGAAGGGACCTTAGTATAACCACTGCGCAATTTGTCTTTTTGCTTTGATGATTTATCCACCACGTGACGTCAACGCACTCTCATACCGACTGTGACTTTGTATTGTAGTTGAGTGAAATACCTACATGTACAGGAACTATTTTCTACCAGTGCTTATATATATATATATATATATATATATATATATATATATATATATATATATATATATATATATATACACGTTTTGTATGATTTTGTATTGATGTGAACTAATTTCGCCCAAGTTATTTCTGTCATTTTCCCATTCTTTCATTATACAAAAACTACAAGACTTGAATATTGATATAAATGTACGTTACATAAAAGTCTATACTCCTCTTTTTATGGCTGCAGAATATTAATACAGCCATATCAAGAAGATTCTATTTTCACTAGAGAATGGCACTGACGTAAATGCTAGCGTAAATTATCTAAACATAGCACTATTTGCTAACCCTCAGTTTTTTACACTATAATGAATAATCAATTATTTTACGTGGCAAAACTATATCTTGCCTATTTAGCAATTCTAAAAGTCAAGGGAATTTGTCGCTGAGTATATTCGTTAGAAATGTAATTCTGAAGAAATGTTTGAAATTTACTGTAAGCTCTGTAAACACGAGTCGATCAAAATAAAAAAATAATTTGATCGATTAAAGATTAACACTTTACGTAAAGTAGAGATAATGAAAATTTGGAGATATAATATCAACTACACATTAAAACTGACAATTAAACAAAAAAGAATGTTGCTTACATGAAGTCTATTTAGAATTGTTGAAAAAATCTATTTGCAGTATCATAAAAAAATTGAATTATACTATTGAATTTAATTGTACAAGGGCGCTATTTTAATTATGTGCCAATCATCATTATCATTAAATAACATGAATCACTCAGTTATACCTGAAAATATGAATCATTCAGATAATCAAGATCAGCAAACTCTTGCAAATTGATGTACAATTATATATTTGTTAACATCATTAAATTATCAATAAAAGTAATATATAGTATACGGTGTTCAAGCATAAGTCGAATCACTGTAAAGGTCAATAAATGAAATAATGTAATTTAAAAATAAAAATACAAGCAACAGAAATAGTGTATGTACCACTGCCGGGAATTGGCAAATCCATAGCTCGAGTCCTCGCCTCAGTTGTCATTTTCCATGTGCTATGGATTTGCCAAACCTTTCCCGGCCTGGCTAAGTAATCTGCTATTTTTTTTTCTTTTTAATTGATTACTAATGTTAAACTTTTCGAAATTTTCACTGAACTTTACTGTCCACTATTAACTGTAACAAACAAGTTAGAATGAATCGATCCAAAATATTTTCGAAAATTCTTGCAAGTTTCTTGTCTATCAAGATTTATTTTCATGCTCATCTAAGAAAAATATTTTTCGAGTATTTATCGTATCATGTCTGTTGTTTGGAAAATATTTTTTCTGCCAGAGTCGCGAAAAAACGTGTTTTCAAAATTTCTGATAAATCTCATCAATCATTCGCTGTGTTATTCCTTCTGACCGAACCTGTAATCAGCTGAGCGATGTTTTCATTCATAGAGATTATAATAAAAGACGTAGATAAGTTACTATTTTTAAATGATCGATAGTGTACAAGCAAGAAAACTTTCATGAAAAGAAACTTTGAAAATAAAATTGTCCCAGTGCAAGGCAAAGACAGAAAAGTTGTCTTTACCGTAGTGCATCCGATTTTACAAAAGCCCGTCTTCATTTGACTTTGACAATCTAACAATACTCGTGGAAAAATCAATACTTTAATACTCTGCTCTTTAGCGAAGCCCAAGTTGTCGAGTCTCTGTCTGTCTGTCTGTCTGTCTGTCTCTCTCTCTCTCTCTCTCTCTCTTTCGCTTGGCGTGTTATAGCATGAATTGAGAGCTCTATCAGATCGACAATATAACGATGCAGCAATTTTTTTTGTCCGAGTGCTGCTGGTTGTGTACCTTTGAAAAATGCCTTTACGAGCGCTTCTTTAACCGTGCACATCGTTACAACATAACCATTATAAGCGAAAAAATTTGCACGCTCTAGAAAACAAGGTGTAAAGTCCTCCTATAACATGCTGCATCATGCTTGCAAGAGAGCCAGAGGCGCGAGCCGCACTCTAGTGGTAGGCGATCGATCATACAGCTAAAGCCTCTCTCTCCCTCTCTTTCTCTTTCTCTCTCGCTCTCTCTCTCTCTCTCTCTCTCTCTCTCTCTCTCTCTATCTGAGCGTTTATATATCGCAATGCGGCGCCGAGAGTCGCTGGCGCGATAACGAGTTATCAGTGTCATTATCGCGCGCTGGCCCTGCGTAATGATAGTCTCATTATCTGCTGGTGTGTACGTGTGCATGTGTGCGCGAGCACGACCTATCGCTTTCCTTAATCGCTTCGCGCAATCTCCGCTGATTTTCGCTTGATGATGATGACGATGCTTCGATCGTTACTACGTATTGCTGAGCGCGCATCATGCCGCTCGAGTGTCACTAATGACCCGTCTGTGCAGAGATGCGCCGAGATACACAGAGAGATATATACAAAAATCATAATAATAAAACAAGAAAAATTGAATTTTCATTTTTCCATCTGCCGGCTACGTGCAGTAGTTATCCGTTATTAGTTATCCGTGTGTACGAATGCTCAAAGGTAATTAGCGAAATATGACATTTCCGCGATGCTTAACAAGGGTCATTTAATTTTTATGATGCAATACATCGCTTGATATTGGTTTTTTTTTTAGTTACACGCTTTGCTGCGTCCACACACGAGCACTGCGTTGTAATTAGTAGAGTTGAAATCGATCAGATGCACTTTCCAGAACTCTCGTATTAACGATATGGATTACAACCCGTTCTTAATGCTAATTACGAATTAGGTGGGCTCGGATGCTGCAGGCACGAAAGTTAAACCTACACGAGCAAATGAACACTCGCGCGCGCACGAGAGAGTGAGAGCGAGATACCTGAACTATTTTTGGTTAATTAGCGCGCAAAGTACAAGCCGAATGTAGATCGAGTTGCCCAACAAAAAATCAAACTATCGCAGACGTGCTATCAGAATTGCGTAGAATTAACGAAAAGTGACAGGAAAAAAATAGATAAAATAAAATTGCCCCCAGAGAGATTTGAACTCTCGACCCCTGGTTTACAAGACCAGTGCTCTAACCCCTGAGCTATGGAGGCTCGCGGCTGACGTCGCTTACTGGCACGCTATTTCCAAGCGACTGTCTCCGTCCTTGTTTCTCTCTCTCTCTCTTGCTCGTTCTTTCTTAAAGAGCGGTGGGGAGAAGCCGGCGTGTGCGACACGACGCGCAGCCGAGGCGAAACTTGTAATTGTTTTTCATACTTTCGCGATAATCAAGCTTGTAAGCTTATTAAAGAACTTGAAAGTTCGATAGCATCAGCTGATGTTTTTCGGCTGCTACTGACAGTGTACGCAATTTATTAAGCTTCGCCGAGATGAAAGTTTGTGCATCATATAGCCGCCGTACTTTTGCTTTTTGTTATCGGAAAAATTCTCTTGCCCTGCCCCTAGCCAAGTTTCACGGCTGCTGCTGGTTTATCTGACTTTCGATACCGTGATTGCATTTTATATGCAAAGTTTGACGCGGTCAATACGTATATTTAGACTTAAATCACGCTCGCAACGACTTGTACTTTGTATCATATTTTATTTTTTCCGTTCATCGTGAGCGAATTTATTATTGTATATCTTAAGGTTTTGACGGAATCTTTGAGGTAGATGAAGGAAAAAGAAGGTTCTCAGATGAAATTCTTAGAATTATTTATTTGAAGGATAAAAACAAAGTATTTTGCACTGCGTGCCGTTAGATCAGACTTAGACTAGGAGGAATCGACGGGCATCCGTACATATTCCCCATTAGAAATTGACATCGTCGAGCTCTCTGGTGAGCTTGAGAGTTATCTCGAGGCACTCGCTGTCAGAATGCCACTTCGCCGACGAGCCATTAGGATCAACGGGATGGGGCGTCGGCAGTTGCAGCCGATATCTGCAGCATTGTCGATCACGTAAAGGAAGAATGCAAAGGTCAGAATGATAGGAAAAGAAACGAAAAGAAGACGGATTGCCAAACAGTCGAGAAAGCTTTCAACGTCGCGGCCCTTTGAGGAAACAAATAAATCCCGACAAGAGAAAATCACCTAAATATACTCCGGCGCGGCATGCATCCGGCAGCACAAGCGAAGCGCGAAGATCAGTTGGGCCGATTAAATATCTTTTTATACCTCGGACTGCGTAGATCAACGACGTCCGCTTCGACGGACAACTCGACCCTTTCCCTCTGCTCGCCCGGCAGTCGCACCAGCAGGCTCATCCACTCACACGACGCAGTTGCCGGCGTTTTCAGGTTCATCTGCAATTCAGAGAGGCGCGTTTGTGCGCGAATCTGTGCGGCTAAGCTCTAACGAGCTCCCCGAGCCCCTTAACGAGCCTTCTTATCCAGATTCTTGCACGCATGCATGCGCATTTTCGCCCGCGCGGCTGTTACAGATATGAGCACTGATGTTTTTTTTTTTCTTTTTCAACGCGCTTACGCCGAGAAAAATGTCCTCCGTGCCGACTGCCTGCTTGAATTTCATCTGGTACTCGGGCACCGTACGTGGATCTTCGCTCAACAAAGCCGCGCTTATATTTGCCTCTGACGGATGCCATATATCAGAATTGGAGACGATTTGCGCTGCTTTCGCGGATGCCACTGCTTCCGAGGACGATGCACATGCTGCTTTCCCAATGTCGCTCGGGCCTGCAATTCTTGTTGTTAGAGAACACTTGTTAATTATGCCTTTGCATCGGCGATTGTAGCTTTACAAATTTTTTGTCTCGACAATCTCTGCCTCAGATTGCCGTCGTCGGAGTCCGAATCGGAATCTTCTTTTGGAGGACAGACAAGTTGCTGAAGATCCTTTATCTGTTGGACAGTGAAACCTTCCATTATATTTATTTTCAATGACACGCAAACAGTTGGAAAGGTTACACTCCAAGAAGCGAAAAGACGCGAGAAAAAATACAATCCAACGGAAAGCTAAACAATCGACGAAGTCATAGCAACCGCGCAATGTACACAGCGCCACCTGTTTAAGATATCGCAGTTTCAACTTTCAAGTCGGATCTGTCGGATTTTCCTCGTGCAACTGCGACGTATTACAATGTCATATATAATACGCTCAGCGCTCAGAATGCTGATGCTGCCTAATGTGCTGATTCGACCACGATTCACGACGAGGTCCACGAGATCGTAAGAGTACTGCCTACTCGATGTCACTTTATGTTTATTGAACACACGTAACGCAATTGAAAACGTGGCGAAATTAATCTACCATCATCCTCATCATATTGTCCATCATACATCATATATGCAATTCAGTTGTAGCGTAAGGTTTTTGTACACTTTTACTCGTAACCATGGAGACTATGTGTAGGACTCCATGGATTTAAAATTCTGCGCCAGAAGAACTGCTAAACCGTGACTGCAGTACCGAGAGTAATAGAAAATGGAATGAGTATAGTGGCTGCGCGTTACCAGCTTATATATGCGCGTACACCAAAATGTGTAGGCCTGAAAAATTCCAAGTTAATTAAGTAAGTGAGAAAAAAGAATGGATATAGCAAAAAATCTGCCGACGAAAAAGGCATTCGAGCTTTCTCACTTTTCTCCGAGCATCGACATTGAAAATTTTGAACAGATCAGAACCAATCGGCAAAGCAGAGCTATTTGGACACATATCATAAAAACCAACTCGAAATGTCGATAGTGCAGTCGTTCAAGTTAGTTCAACTAGCAATCCAGGAGATGTCGCTGTGCTTCGGTAATTTTGCACGAAATCTTTTCGCGATTGCTATATGTTTTGATCGTTTGATCACGCTCTTGTCAACGCGACAATTAAAATAATACCACTTGCATATATGTCATTGGCAACTCTACTAACGGAAAAAATTGAACGGTTTTATTAATAATGCCACGCGACCTATAAATAGTTGTAGCTGTCTCGCTTTATCAGTTTGCATAAGATTTGCCGTTTATAAGTACATAAGTACAGCTGCTTAAGATTGTCAAAAGACGATAAGTGCCAGCAGACATCAGTTATCAAAGAACACAATTGCATAATCTATGTAGAGTATAATTTATCGCATCGTGCATCATACATATTATCGACATATAACGCTTGTGCATTAGCGATTAATGAACTCTTACAGTTTGTATTATAAAATGTTGTTTACGTCATTAATAAAAGAAAAACATTAGCCATGGCGTTCTTTCGCTATATGAAGTTGACACACGCGTATCGTCGCTTATTCGCATGTATATTTACCTATGTTAATAGCCTGTCGGCTTCACGATTTGACCAAGTGCATGGTGCAGGAAGCCTTGATGAAAAAGGAAATTCGTATTCCGAAACATCAAGGTTGTTACTTTCAATTTCTTACTAAATACTGGGCTCTGAAATTTTAGTTATATACACCAGAACAAGATTAATTTATATAAATAAATAAAAGACGACTTGAACATCTTTCGCAATTACTCGCAAAGTTATGCTTCAGTCAAATCAATATTGGAACAGGACCATATCGCAGGCATACCCTTTCAAATAAGTCCACCTCCATTGAACTGGATTGAACCGTTCCCGAGATATGCGGATACAGGACATTCTGGCCTCGCCGCCTGTTTCAAGTTGGCAACAAAGAATTTGCACGAATCTATTTCCAATGGTATAATCCTGCCGATAAACATTGCGCTGCGGTCGTTTAGATTGCACAAATTCCGCATGCGTACAAAAGCGCGAGACTGGAATTTATTTTTCGCATCTATATCTTTTGTTCCAATCGCCCGTGAGTCTTTGTTGTTGTATTCGACAAGAGCCACTTTGTCCGTCGCATTCTATTTTTCTTATTATTATATTATTCGCGATCGCGGTTATCTGAACACTTGCCTTCAAAATTAGCATAAAAGCACATCATCGCCGATTCAGCCACGAGTGTAAAGACGCAAGTACGAAATTTTGATGATTCTTTATCTTTCGGCTGGAGAAAAAACGAAGCGATCGAAGAAAAACTGCGTGCGAGCGTGACTCTGCAAATAACTTTTGCGTAAATCATGCGCCTCAAACGCAAGCTCAGTGACCATACGCGCGCGTGCACTTAGGGATATCCCCGGCATAACAAATGAAGTGTCTATGCATAAGATTAAAAGTAAAAGGAAAAAAGAAGATCCGATTGAATGCAGACATTACGAGTATATAAGAGTTGCCCAGCCGGAACTTTCGTCACGAAAAAAAAAGTTGACGTGCTCTGGTATATTTTTAACGGCTCCATTAATAATCGGACGGGCGGGTATAAGATGCATTAATTCGCGTGACGCCGTTTTTGCGCGTTTCGGCTTAAGACGTAGAGACTTGTAATTGAACGATCGCGTTTTTACGCGCGTGCTAATGACGACAAGACGATAACTTAACGTTTTTTTCAGCGCCGCGATTCATTCAACGTTATCGTGGATGCACGGAAAAAACGCTCTGTTGCTGTCACGTGGTTAAGAATACACAAAGATTTCTTGACCTTTTATACGCTCTAGTTTTTGACATAGATAAAAGATACGGCATTCTGGCATTCTTATCGATCGAGAGCGCGTGCTTGACAAGTGAGTTGCGATGGATTGCAAGGCGGAAACTTTACGTACATACAACATAACACCAAACATTAAGCGCGAGATAATAACTTACGCGAAAAAGACGCAGAAAAGAAAATGCTTCTCGCTCGAGAAACTGTAAATTATGCCTGACAAGGTACTTAATCAAGCAAGAATTCGCTATCGTGAAAATCTTACGCAAGCAAAATTATCATTCCGAAGTTATTCGAACAGTATTGTTCTGGATGCCGGAATGAAATTTTCGAAAGCCGTGAGTCGGAAGAAATGGGTAAATGATAGATGAGTTCAAAGTCCGCAAGTCGCTTGATAATACATTGCATTCCAAGACAAAGGTCGATTTGCAATTGGTAGCACATTGACGAACGGCTCGGCGACGATCTATGTCACGTTCCGCGAGTAAACACTATTATCATTTAACACTCGTTTAAATTCAGTTGTGCGTTACTTAGTCGATTGAAAGAAGGAAAAAAAAATGTAAAGGAAAAAAAGGGAATGGAGTCAAGTCAGTTGTGAAAGTCTAATAAGTATTCTCATGCATGCAGAACAAGCTCCTTTTTTATTATGTTGCTGCATCGTTCTAGCCGCCACATATCATTCGAAATGGAAAAATCGATTTGGAATATTTCTCACGATCGACGCACGACTGTCCGCGCGAATTATTCAAAAGTTGGAGGAAAAAAAGAGTTGATGCTCGCCATTAGCATAAGCCACTTTTGCACACATTTTTCACGAAACACAATGTACATTTGGAATCGTCTCGGCGCGTGTATGTGAAACGATGGCGTCACTGCGGTATAAGCCAAATGCCATCCATTTATCAAACACACTTCGCGACTTCCTGCCGGTATCCTTACGACTTTGTTGTATATTGTTTAACGGGATTCCCAATAAACGTCTGTATCGTCGCGGTGTCTCGACAAACACACTTACATATTTACGACATGATAATGCAACGCTGAATCGTAAAGCATCCGCGTAATTGAGGACTCAAGAATGTTGAAACGGCCATGGTATCGTCGCTCGGCGTCGAGTGTGAATTAGGTAGGCCAATTCGTATCGCGAGCGCGCCTCTTTGGCAATTGCGTAATTGTGTTTTCTCGCTGAGGGACAGCCGCGCGCCTATATATGCATATTACGCGCCCGTCAACGAATAGCTGCCACCATCGAGCTGCTGTTCTCTTCATTCTTCTTTCGCCTGATTTTGAAAACACCGTGCGTCGCGCGGTATAATCGCGCGCTAAGTTTCGGCGCAAAAAATAAATGGATCGGGTCGAGCTGCGCAGCTTGGCATCGCGGGAAATTACGATTTTTTTTTCGCCAAGATCACAGATCGCCGATGAAGTAAGATGTATTATTTGCAGAATTACGTGATTCCTCGTATGCAGTCATGGAAAATTGCCGGTCATCCGCAAAACCACTCGATTATTGCGGACGATAAAAAATTGAAGATCCTCGTCGGCGGTCATCGCTTACGCAACACGCGAATCGCAGAAATTTATCGCTAAACATTGCGCGAAGGCAAAAATCACGCGAAATAAAAGTGCCGCGGGGGCACGGGGTTGGAGGGAAGGGATGACGCACCTGTGCGCCGCGACTTATGGCGTCTCTGGCGTGTTGCCGGTGCGGCCAATCGGCGAGCGGCATTGTGGTGCGACTACGCGCTCGTGGGTGCGTGTAAAGCTACATCCACAGTGCCGTAGGTGTAGCGACAAAGTGCCCTCAACTTGCTCACCGGTGCAGCAGGGTTGCTGAACGCTCACTCGCGCGACGACCTGCGGACACATATCTAGTCGACTAGCGATGCGTCCTTTGTCGCCAAGACAGTGGCTTTCGTATGGACTAGTAGATAGGGGATCGTCCAGGGACCTAGATTTTTTTCTCAAAATCTAACCGCTTTTTTTTCGTTATTTCTAAAGGTATGCGGCCACGCGTCTATAACAATTTACATGGCAATTCAGTTTTTCTCCTCCGATTGTTCATTCGAATATACATATTTATTGAAGAGGTTCCGTCTTCGTTGCGAATTAACTCTCTTGATTTAATGATGATTAATGTGCGTATACAAAACGCGCGGCTTTTCAATATTTCTAAATTTGAGAAAAAGAAAAAATAATTTTATAAATCATACGAAATTGGACTGCGACTTAATTAATATTTTTTCTGTGAATACATTATATGTATACACGCAACACGCAACACTCAATATTTCACTAACTATAGTACTCGGAGCATTCTAGGCATTGGTTTGAATGTAAAAGCTTAACGTGCGAATTTATTGTCACCATAAACCAATGTCAATTGTCGATCAAATCGTTACGACTTAACCGCGTTTCTATTTAGGATATACATAATTGAAGACTCCATGTATAAATGCCGTATCTCAGAGCAAGACCTAGATCACATCATTTGGCAATGCTCACTTTATAATGAACAACGAAAAAAATTAATTAAATAATTGTATGCAATTAAAATGTATCTCCCAAAGTAAATGACTATAATCCTCAGTAAGTCTAATGTATCTGCGTGTAAATGTTTACTAAAGTTTTTCAAAAAATGCAAGCTTAATGTACAATATGAGGATAACGTTAAAATTAACTTTGTACGGCTAATAAATCTAATATAAGATTTGAATGCTTGATAAAAATAATATATATCTCAAAGGCCGATCCACGAATAAAACCTTTGACTTTGGAAGCTTGCCAATACAACAAAAGATTCCACTGTTTGTTTATTTGAAAAAAAACAAAAAGTTATTTGTTTATTTGAAAAAAATCGATCAAATCCGCGTTATAAGTACTGTTTACACTGAACTGTATCACGTGTACACTTTAGGAATATCAGCTGCTTTCACGCTGACATAATAATTCGTCTCTTCATCAGACGCGATGAGATGGCGATTAAGATTTATCAAAATAGACGCTCAATTGGACGTATCTTCGGATCCGCGTGCTTTCGATCGTCGATCATCAGCAATACATCTGCAATTTTCTCCGTGCGCACGAACACGCTGTGTTGCGTAAAGGTCAATTTTATAAGTTTCACGCGTAACGAGCGCCTTGCCACTTCCTGCAACGAGAAAATAGCCCATTTAATTTCCCAGCTAATGCACGCTTAATTGTCTATTTTCGCGCTCGTCCAAATTGTTTTGTCGCTAGTAATTTGACGTCGAACGTCAAAGTACTTAGAAAACGCCACGATGCAGAAAAACAAAGACATCATAATACAAAAGCCATATTCCGCGGAAACTGAGTTTGCAAGGTATGTAAATGATGTGATTTTAAGACGGGCCGTGAATCACAATAAAGTTTCAGAAACGGTGAACTCTTGTAAAACCCTTGTTGGAGCGGTGGCGTTAAATGATGCGTTTATAAGTTACTTTGAAATTCAACGACGCAGTGCGGACATGTACGTGCAGTGAGTTTCTGCACATTGACAAAATTTACGACGACGACGCCATTCTGATCTGCCCCGAAATCTATTTGACCCGTACCGCAACGTCACTGGACGGAGCAAGTTACACTTTTCCAAATAGAAACAAACGTCGAAAATCTGGTTATTGTCTAAACGTCGATACGTGGTTTAGATGAAGGGGCGCGAAAGGCGCCTTCGCAAATATGAATGCATATCGCATGGTGTGCCAATAGGCGCCATGATTATAAGACGTCAATAATTTTTAAGATTTTTTGTTCTTTCTTCGATGTCATAATTCATTACGGCAATTGGCGTTATTAAACATTATACTATCTCATGACACTACATGCATATATATCTATCTAGCATTGACCTTCAATGCAGTAGCTTAATATTCATTGTCGCATATGGCAATGTCATTCAACAATTTCCTCGAATCGTGTACATATCGCATTTAACTGCCTATCGAAGCTATCAGCGTCGAGGCAAGTACGTTGGGCTTCGCATTTCTGCAGATGTCGCTAAACACAATGACATTTTCTATTTACAGATAATTATGCCGTAAAAGAGCTTCAGGTTTTCCACGCAATGATCGCCATACCAGCAGCGACAGCGCAGCTACGAGCGTAGGATTACTAAGCAAAATGCACCACCGCGGACTCTACGCGGATAACTCGTTAGCATTAGCGAATTAAATGTTCATGTGTGGCCAGTCATCTTTTTCTCTCTTTTTATCTGCATATGCGCACGCGCACCCACAAAAATACCTTGTAAATAGCGATATCGTTGATCAATAATACTCGTGCAGAGTGTAATATAGGTGTATGCAGCAGTATCGATAAAGCATCGCGATGAAGAAGATCGATAATGTATACGTATCGGGCGGTTCCAAGAGAAAGAGAGCGAGAGATAAAAATGGACATCTGTATCACGTGAGTTGCACGCGCTAAGCACTACAGCCACTGAAAAACGAGGCTTCGTCGGAAAATGGAGACGAATCTTCGGTCGAAAAAAAAAAAAAAAAAATCACAGCGTCTATCGGGGTCAAAGAGTTCTTGCAACGTGTCAGTCTTGTATCCACCACGCACGCTTTTTTGGCTTTCACGTGAGCATCTCAGCTCGCACTTTACAATACAAGTATGCGAGAGATCGATGACGTTCTTTGCCTCCGCGTGATCACTTATACTTCAAGCGCGGTTCATCATCTTCTATCTCTCATTTGACTAATATTCGTCTGCCTTACTTTGTTTTCATTTGCTCCCTTTGTCGCAACGAGTATTTGTATTTTTTTCTTTTTTTCTTGTGACTGTGGAAATTTTCCGGCGAGAATCGGAAATTGTGATGATGCACTTGACATTTCCTTCTGGGAAGCTTTAATATATTCGTTCATACATTTGTTGAAATACTTGGCCTGTTTACGATTGTACGATACGCGATAAGCCACTTATAACGGAATTTTTCTATAGAATGTTATGGCAATTGCAGGGATATTCTCTTAGGAAACATAAAGTTAAGTTTATTCAATTTCAAATAATTAAGCTCGAGTGTAGCTATACGTCACACGAGAAACATTTACGTACAGTTAAATTTCAAAGTATTCAATTGTTCAGAAGATTTCGCATACTGCGATTGTCATGTAAATTTTGTTATACCTGTATGTTTTTATTTACAAGCTATATATAACATTGACGTCCGCGTATATTTGGCTTGGCCTATTTATGTTTTGGAAATTCAAAAATTTAAGTAGGTATCTGAATGATATTGTTCCACAAATTTCACTGAAAGATTAATGAAAAAAATCTTAAGCGTCTCTGATTCTTCTTTTTTGTTTCAAAATTTTGTTTAAGTAAATTATTTATAGATTACGTTGCTTTTTTTTTATTCATAACAGTCAAGTGTACTCGGAATGCTAAGTTGGCTTATTTTCTTTTTCGAATATGCTTCGGCGGCTTATTAACGGTGAATGACATTACTTATAAAAATATACGAGGTCGTAATCAAAAAAGAATGAAGTGAAATAATTAAAATTTTATGTGAAAGTACTTTTGAGTTTTGAGTTTGTACTCGCAAAACAAAATTTTAATACGGTATTTCCATATGAGTTGGGTGATGAGACACACGCACACAAAACATTTGATAAAACTTTTAAAAACTTTGATCATAGATTACTTCATATCCCTCATTTAAATCCCATTTGGTCGAATAAAAAAGAAATCCAGAAAATCTAAGTATTACGCGCACGAAACGTGCGGCAGAACGTCAGAAACCGGCTTTTGAACAATCGAGAAAAACATAAATAAGCAGCCCTTCCGGTGCATACCGAAGAATTTTCCATTTATTGAACTTGCAAGCCACGTTAGCGTGTGTTAGGTTGATCAACCTCGTTCTGTATAATACGGCGACGCGTCGTCGTGTGCATGATGCGGCTTCACATGTTCTTACCCCGTGTTTCCCCTACCCTCCCCTCGAAATCGCGCGGCGTAGCGTGGCGGTGCAGAAGAGGGAGCGGCCGACTACTCAAAGTAACAGGCGCGTTTAGCTCAGTCACAGTCAGTCGTCCGTTGAGAATCGAGTGTGAATGAGCTTCATTTGTCTCTTTCTTTCTCTATCAGTCGCAAGAGTCAGTGACACATACACACACGTCGCTTCATCGTCGTCATTGTCGTAGTCCTCGCACTACTCTATTTCATCAGTGTAAAGGCAGTGTTCCTGCAGTGGACTGTGCAAATCACACTTCAAAGATGTCGATCGTGGGTTACGGCACTGAGATGAATAACGGCAACAGCACCACAGCCGAGAACAACAGGTAATGCACGCATACAAATACGTAGAACGAGATAGAGGCGTGTCTGTTCCATTTTTTGCTCTTTTTTTCTCGGACGTGCTCTCGCTCTTTCTCTCCTTTTGCCAGGCCACGACGACGTTAGCCCTTGACACGAAAGAACAGGCGATCGATTCGTTTGCCAAAGAGAGAACTCGCCGGCTGAATAGTGTCTGTCTTGAAATCATTGTCGCACGCGCTGCGCGCTACCGGTGATGCGATGCGATGGATGCTTTCCATGCGCGAAATTTTCCTCAGCTTGCAATGGTAGTATACATAAGTGTCGTCGTTTTGTGTATACACGCGTGAGATCTGACCATACCTACGTCGAGCGAAGATTTTACGAGCGACAGTCGAAAGGCGCATGCGCGTCCGGCGTGGCCTGATGCCGAGAAGATGGGACACGTAACGTACATATATATGTGTTCGTGTGCGGGTGCATTCCCGGAAAAGAATGAGAAATCAGTGACGCGTCAGCAGTTCAAATTAGATAGAAAGTTCTATGATGCTTGAGGTAGACTTTTTGAACGAAGGGAAATGTCGACGAAATTGTTCGCTAAGACGTCTGTCACTCGTAGTAAACCTACATATAAATATAGCCGAAACGAATAATTATAATAGCGAGCCGCAATTTGATACACCTAAAGAAGGAAAAGTAGCTCGTGCACTCTCGCGTTTGCCCAGGCTGCAGGTTTCGTTTCAAGTGCACATAAGTTTGTGGTTATATAAGCTGCCACGGATACATCCTTTCGAAAAGTGTTAGCGCTCGTTACACGTGTGCACTCAACTATCGCCATAGCGGTAGCGATGGAAATAGCTCCCCTACTCGTGCGCGCAGTCCCAACTTTCTCGGAGCTCGCTATACCAGCTATACACGCTTGCCAGCAGCAGCGGAAAATCCAGAGCGATAGTAAACATTGATTTCGACAGATTTTGCGCAAAAGCTCGCGAACGCGAGAGAAAGAGCTTGCTACAATTCCGTCGAGGTCGTTTGTGTTTTGGCTTCGCACTTTTATTATACTACTCACTCCGAATATTAACAACAGAAAAGACGTAAGTGCGTGTGTGTGAGGGGAAACTCAAGGATAGTCACTTTCGCCGCATACGTCTTTTGTAGTATACTTGGCAGATAGGAATTGTGCATTCACGTGTCCACTGAAAAAATGCACGAATTTCCTTGCGTCAAACAGTCGTACAATCATTTTGTTAATTGCCCGCTAATAGATAAAATGACGACAATTATTTGAATAGCTTCACCTCGAGCATTGACTAACCCGATGATAAACACGCTAAACACTTGCGTGCTGCACTTTTCTACGTGTGTAATTGATATAGATATCTTTTTTTATGTCGTGCAATGCAAGGCTTCGCCATCTGATTGTATCGACAAATAATGCGCATTCTGTAAGCGTGCTTTTGTAATAATTGCTCTCGAGTGCGAGAGGTCAAGTTTTGTTTGTCAATGGCTCGCAGCTTTTCTTTCATTGGCTGCTGAAACGCGACGATTCGCTGCATTCATGACTTCTCCGATCGCAAAACCCGCTTTGCCCCGCAGTCTACCGTCTATTACCGATGACTCCTTCGTGTGCAATTAAAGAAAAAACTTCAATTTTATACATTGCTGACATTTCTTCTTTTAATCTTGTTGCGAAAATTGTTATTTGTTTTTTCTTGCATTATCTCCGACTATCTCATTGTTTTTCTCACACACGGAGACAAAAAATAGTCATATCAATTATTTATTGACCAATCGAGTGAAACAAGATCGTAATAACTGGTCTTTACAAATTGTCATCAACGATAATTACTTTACAATTACACTTATACTTTTATGATGAACATCGTAACATAGAAGCTCCGTCGAGTTATCGATCGAAAGGTAAAAAATAAAAATTTTACAATTTTTACATAACCTCACGTGGCGGCGGCCATTACAACAAAATAAAAGAAAACACACTGCCGAACACATTCGGTTTGTCAAATTTCCACCCTAAAAAAAGGCTAGCGTCAATGATTCGCAATACGGTAGAACAGAAGAAGGCATTTCACGTGAATCCTCGTCAGGCAAGTAAACAATCATCATCGCGAAACTTTCGCTTTCTTCCGATTCCTCGGCGCAGCTGGTCGACTAGCCTCGTTAAAACTATCGCGCACTCAAGAATCTGCTGCGCCACTTTGAAAGCCGCACGTTGATCGAGGCTCATTCTCAATAATGCCAGAGAGCCGAAATAATCTCTTTCTTTCTCTATACAGTGAAATCAGAATGTACGCGCCTTTCACACAAGGATGCGCATGGCCCAGTTTACCATTCTATACGCGCAAGCAACTCAACAAAGATGCTCTGTATGTTGCTACACGCTTGCGGGTCTTCTAAAGCGATTATCCGTCTCTCTCTCTTTCTCTCGCTTACAAAAAAAGCTCGCGAGAGAAGAGAGAGCCGCTGGAATTCGAAGCAGTCTTTTACAGGTGGTTTTAGGCTGCACAGTCTCTCGCGGTCTGATTGGCCGAGCAGCTCGCGTTGTATCGCTTATGTAGATCGCGAAAGTGTGTCGCGGAGAGAGGGAAACAAGTAAACTGTCGTTAAGTTCGCGGAGTGCGATGATTGATGCGCGAGAGAGGAGAATGTTTTGCCCGTGCTTTCCTGCGGTGCGGTTAGGAGCAACGATCGTGGTGCGATCGCTGGCCTTCATTGAAAGTCGGCGAGCAGACAGGCGACCTTCGAAAGGACTTGGAATCGCTGGAAATATCCGTCGTTTTATTTGCTGACCAGCGGGGTATCTCGGCCGCGCGATCGATTCATTTTAATCGGCAGTCTTCCGCAGAGAGGCGCGCGGCTGCTGTCGCGAGGGCGCGAAGGTCAGGGGCAATGGACAAATCGCGCGCGCTTCCCGCGCGCCTTTTCTCGGCAGAACTCTTTTTTTGTTCTTCTCGCGCACGCGCGAAGAGAAAGTGCGGAGTGGTGCGGCAGGTGGGCGGCGGTAGGAGGAAAAAACGTCGTGGCGCGTGACTTGCGAATCGCCGCTTAATGATCATCGTTCGCCGGGAGGCCGAGAAAGAGAGAAGGCAGACGTCAGGTGCAGCGAAGAGCACTAAAAATAGAATCCCGGTAAATCTCGATAAATCGAGGACGTCGGGAGCCTTGATCGGTATACTTTTCATAGTCAAGGCGATGGCCAGGTCGTCGTACGCTTAAATTATGCGTGAAAACGAGTACGAGGAGAGGCGGAGAGGAGAGCTCCATTAAAAGCCTTTGAAAGAGATCGCGCGCATCCTCCGTGCGCGCGGAGAGGAAGTCGATATCTATGAACGGCGAGGTTATGCGGATACGTCAATCGCGCCAGTGCGCGGAGTCGACGTGGGGTGCACTCGCTACTTTTTTTTCTGCATAATGGGGGGGGGGGGGGGTCGCCCGTTCGTTAACCATACTCTGCGAGCCAATATAATCTTCCGAGAGTAACTTTCACTATCTCAATCATCTTTTCCATCGCGGCTTTTCGCCACCGACAGTTTTCACTTTCTCGCGCGCAGCTCCGTAAGGCCCCGAGCCCTGATGTGGAAACGTGATCGTCGGAAGGGCAGTCGTAGAAGCAAAGTGCGCACTGGAGAGGCGTCTCCTTGATCGAGAAAGCAGATGCCGATGCGCGTTACCTCATCGCCTCTCGCGCCAATAGCAGCGGCACTGGCGTTTTATTTGTCTTCCAGCCGAAGACGCGAGCATGACTTCGCGCTGCACCGCCACAGATTTCGCAATGCCAACTCGGCACAATTGCTCGCTTGAGGTTGAAAAGAAAGCGATGAATTTTTCAATGAGCGAATGAACTTGGCTTATCTGGTATTTATGAGATGCGGTTGCGCGGATCCTCCATCGTTAACGGGAAGGTGGATTTGGGCGATTACGCGCTAGATTCGTTCTTCGTTTTTTGCTCAAGTTCTGCTCGATACGGGATCCGAGCACTCATATTCGGTCCGATGGCATGTTTCGATTAACGAATTATTTGGCAATACGCAAGTACGCGGTGCTCGTAGTACTATCGCAGGCGCGGCTAACCGAAGACCCAAGTGAACGTAGAGCCGAAAGGCAATCGATAATTTGTTTGTTCGCTTCCGTGCGCGGGGATGAAGCAGTCGTCAACCTCGATCGTCGCTCCCTTTTCTCGCAAAAATCAATCAATGTATGCTGGTCGTCCGCGACGTAGATCTAGCAGATTCCGCAGGCGTTGGTAAACCAAACACCGATACGCACTTACGCGCAACCCACTGACTCGTTAGTGCATCATGAGCAGATCGAGTGATTTTCCATTTGTCGCTCGTAGTACAGGTGCACTATAAACACGTAGCGCGATTGCGCAATTGGCTTCGCGGGCAGCGAGCGGAGCGGGATTATTCAATTAGCTAAGGACGTGTCGTAATATTGCTTGCGCGCCGCGAAAAGCTCACGCGATGAGCCTGCGTATCTTCGGGCAATCTGTACGAAAAATCTTGAGAGAAATAAATGGCGAGCGTGGGATTTTTTCTTCGGTGCCCGACGCGATCGCACCATTTCGCAATGCGCGCGCAATTTTCTTCCCAGATTAATCTTTTATTGCCAAAGCTATGCAAGGCTCGTTTGAAAAAAGCGCACGGTCGGGATACGAATCCGCTGGTATGCTCCGGCGCGTGGCAGAGTAATTATACGAGAGGACAAAACAGGAATCCGTCAAAGCTGATCGATCGACCGTTAACCAGCAGCGATTCGAGTCCTGGCTAGGCTCGTAGCAGGTCGTCAGGCGACCCGCCGACAGAGTTAAAAATTGGCGTGAGCAATTGTAAATAATAAGCTCGTAAATCTCCGGGCGGACCGGAACCGACGTGCGCATTGACGCCTCTCGTCGTACGGTACAACTTTTTTCCGAGCAAGTTAGTACTATCACGATTGTCCCGCGTGGCAGCAACATGATGAAAGCTTACGTGCGCTCGTGTGCGAATCGTGATGCTCGATAATTTCTTTTTATCTCTGCCATGCTTATGCTCATGCGGATCGACTTTGCGCATTTTCAGATCGTCACGGGCGCGCGAAGAGCTTTGACCCATAACCGAGACGCGCAAGGTTTTTATTATCGGCTCTGCGATGTTGATGATGATGATTGATTTGCGCTTGACTTCGAGGTCAGATATAGAATTATACGTGTATTGTTAGAGATTATTGCGTTTGATGATCTTTTATCGGCATTTGCCCGCCTGTGGCAAGGTGACTAAGAATGGAACACGAGGATATTTTTCTTCTTCTTTCGAGTGTTTAGATATGTAAATCGAGTGTCAATATACAAGATTCGCCGTGAGAATATTATCCCGTGGAAGGAAAAAGAATGAATGAGCCGTCGATCTGCTAAATGACGAAAACTGTTAAGATCAGAAATCAGTTACTAACACACTTTCAGAAACGACGAAGTAAAATTGACGATCTTCACCTTGCGGTTTTGGATTTTAGAATATCAAAATTTTTGCATCCTTCGGCACACGCAGCCACGGTGGATTCCAGGACATTCTCGATTGTTGTTCCTTCAAAACATCTAAATCAGTGCCACGCGCGACAATAAATTTCGGAAGTGTCTATACGTATTGAATATACGAGAGGTATTGGTCTGGTCAAGGTTGTCCGTACGAGCAGCGCCGAAGTGAAAGCGCATTCTCAGATCCGGCGTGGTCTTTGATTTCATTTGCGAAATGTTCGCGCTCGCTTTCGTCAGCACCTATGTCATTGGAAAAGCCGGCGGATCTCTTTGTGACGTAAGGGAAGCATTGACTTTGATCGTAGCCCAAAGTAGAGGAGGCGCCGTTGCATCGTCCGCTGGGTTCTTTCGAGTCCAAGGCGTATTGCCGTCCGCGCGCGGCCATCGGCTCCGCGAGCTCTGGAACGTTCGTCGTCGGTGGCGGCTGCCGCCTCTACAGTCCCGTCACGGCGTTTATAATCGCGCGCGAGCGCGAGGAGCATGTTGCGCCAGACAGGACGGCAAGGTTGAACTCCCCCCGTCGTCGTTACGAGTTGTGTTGCGCGGAGTTTTCGTCAGTTGAGCTTTGACGCACGCCGAGTTCGCACGCACAGCCCGCTCGTTCTCTCTCTCGTGCCAGTCTCCGTCGCCGCACGTGGTGCAGTGTCATGAGGCAGCCCGTTGACAATCGGAGGTCTAGGTGTGTGTGTGTGTGTGTGTGTGCAACTGTGCTTCCGCTTGGTTTGACAGCTTGTGCTCCCCTCGCTGCCGTCCGAGCCAACTCGTGCGTTTTTCTCCACTTCTTTATGCTGATCCTACGACATGCCTATCTTCGACGCGACTATCCCCCCCCCCCCCCCCCTCTCGGAGCATCGGAAGGCCCGAGTTGTGGAAAGCACAGAAGAATTCCGCTTTCCTGGCCCGCGTGCCGTTATTTATTCAATAAAACGTCGAATGCGATGTACACTCGCGAAGTGAAAATGACTTTCGTTCTCCCACGCGCCAGTTTACCATACAATCGATACTTTCGTACGCTCACGTGAGACGTCAACTTTGCATGTCAAACGCCCAAGTCGCGACGGTTTAATTTCTTCGAGTTTGTAAAGAAGATTCTCTCCTTTTTGATGAGTGACTGAGTCACATAAGGAGAAAAGTCTTAACCGCCACTTCTAAAAGATCGCACGACTAGCAAAATGAACGGGCGTGCTTGCCACTTTGGAGGTCGTGGGTGTTTGGCTTATCGGCATTTTCGATACACTTTTTTTTATCTTTATTTTGTTTTGTTTTATTTTTAAATTTATTTTATTTCATTTTATTATTTTCAATCAGTCTTCTTAAATTTGAAGGACACGCGGATTTAAATTGATCGAGCAAAATCGAATCGTAGCTTCCGTATGAGAACACAAAATATGATCAAAAAAACAACATTTGTGAAGGTTCGGGTGATTTTTTCGAATTTACAGATTATTGGAGTATGAACGTATTTCAAGCCATGTATTTTGAATTGATGATTGTCAGGATGACATACCATTCCCTTTTTTGCCAAAAATCGTCACAAATTGAACCGTGAAATCAATATCAGAACAAAACCATAATTATTTCATTACTCGTATTTGTTATTTTTTCGACAATTATTAATAACATTCAAACTCTATGAAAAAATAATTTGGTTAATTAACTCTGAAAAACATAAATTGTAATTGTTACTATTACAAAGCGAACATTACTTTCGATAGCTCTAAAACACATTAACTTATACTTCAGGTAGTCTTTCCTCCTCCATTAAGCAGTAATAATAAGTCTTATTAAAAAAAAAGAACGTCGTTCCTTTCACCTATCTCAACCGAGGCTTTGTCCTCAAAACGATGTATACGGGGAAACAGTATAAAAACCATCGTAATTTTTACACCTAAAAGGCAGAGAAACAGTCGCTGACTCACTATACATCGCGGTTCTCTGTCGAGGAGCGCAAAAGTAATATATATATACTTGCCGCCAGCAAGGTGTACCTGAGCTTATACATCGAGGTCAGCTCACGAAAAATGTCTTTCTCCTCGCCGTCCACAAAGTCCGACGCGCGCGCGCGTGTGTGTGCCGCTCTCTCGGAGGAATTATTCTGCAACGTCATGTAGCCGTCAATTTGTACAAGCGGCCGTTTTCTTTTCTTCTAGCTATTGCGGATTCTAGGTCGTTTGCATTTCAGTTTCTACGATTTTCGCCCGCACGTGCACGAGCCCGATCTCGGCTCTCGCAGTTTTTCCCCAGTTTGTTCCGCAGTCGCGATCATCGCGCGCACGTCTCGTTAATACTGAATCAAGCCGCGACTCTGGAATATCATCGCGTCGCGAATACATTTCCTATTTACTCGTAGAAATGGCCAAATAAGTGTGACGCTTACGTAAATATATTTAATCGTATTACGTTCGTGTTAATATGCAAAAGAAGAGGTGTTTTCTGAATGACGATGGAGTCACCAGCGCTGGTCACGTAAATATAATATAGCTGGCGCATGGTTGGCTCGCGCATAGTGATGATCCGGTTTTTCTCTGTAGTTCACTGACATCCCAACTGAGAGACACTCGAACGAGCTTTGGCGTGCTCGCGTAAATGACGCACGGGCCAGATAATTATGACGCGAAATGTTTTGACGCGCGCTCGAATAGAAAAGTTCCCATAGAGATGGTTCTGCGTGGCTAATTCGTTCGATCGTTTTGCATTTGCAGATGCAGCCTGCGCAGGATCGCAAGGCACGAGGAGCCGGAATTCAGCAATGCCAGCATCCTCAACAGCATGGAGAGGTTCGTTCGCACAGTTAACGAGATGGAAGAGACGATATTGGTGCCGAGTCGTTTGTTGGATTTAGCCGTTGGCGATGCATCAGACACAATCTGCCAAAAAGAATGCAGAAACGGCTCGTCCACCATCAAAAGCAACCTCAACAACACCGATCTCTACCGACTTTATAATATTGTCAACCAAATGAAAATCGAACTGCTCTGGTCGCAGGAGAATCCTGCTCAGAACCTCGCTGACGAGCAACAGGTATTGCACGAGTTCAAGTTTATCACTAATTTCCTCCTTACGACTCGCCGTACATAATTTGGTATTTTTCCGTTTTCTTTGATCGTACTGATCATGTTTCTTTTTCAATAATAAATGCAGTTAATAATAGCGTAATTGATTAAGGTTTGTACATGGAATACAGCATTTTGTTATTGACTATCTTATCTACGCACTTTAAACGCGTACAATTACTTTCATTAAATTGATATGTGGCACTTGAGAGACTAATTAATATCGTTTGATTTGCAATTTAGTGAGAGGGGGTAACGATGATATCGTGGAATATTAACAATTTAATAGAGAGTTCAAAGATAACGATATGGAGTAGGAAATTGTTACAGTTAAAGATCTCACGCTTAAAAATCATATCACAAAAAAAAACACTTCTAATTAAGGATTAACGATGAATTATTTGGAAGCGATTAAATTTCTGTAAAAATTAATTGATCAATTAATTAGTTACGATCGTTTATAGCAGAAGTAATTTGTTTAAAATGAGGGAATAACTAAGGAAGAACATTTCTTTTGTAGGAGCAAGAAGCTCAGCGCAACAAGGCGCAAGTTGCCGCAATGGAGCACGCTCGTCTAGGCCACGCGAGGTGTCCATCAACCACATCGATGCAAAGTGTTCAGTCAGCATCGTCGATGGTATCGAGTAGTTCGGCAAGCGATTCGGACTCGGACACAGGCATCGAGAATGATTCTGGCTTAGAAAGCGAAGAGCCAAGTGATCGACTCGCCAATCTTGCTGCTGAGCAGTTCAGGCGTCATCTTCATGGACTCCATCGTAGCATCAACCGCATGACTGAGGCTGCGGAATACCTGACTCTCAGATATCAAGCTGACGTCGGTGGTCAAGTTTGATCTGCCGGTTCTACTACCAAAATCAGCTCTGCTGCTCTCTAGTACGCTCGCGCGTGTGTGCCTGTAAATCTCGTTTGTGTGTGCATGTGCGTATGCGTATGCGTGTGTATATGTGTATGTGCATGTGCATGTCCGTGTGCGTATGTATGTGTGTGTACGCGTGTGTGCTTGCATCTGCGTCTGATCTGCGGAGAAGAGTAGGTCACTATTTTTACAATTACCGATTGTGCTTTTTAAAATTCTCGATTGGCTAAGCTTGTCGCCGTTGTCTATTTCTTTGTTTATTTCTTATTGATGATTACTATTTATTTCTTATAGTTTGTATCGGCAATCAGATTTCCACGTATGAATTGTTATATCTTGCATTTTCAAGTTTACATCAATCAATTTCTCAGTTTTACATTGCTTTGTTTCTTCTATTCATTTGCATTTCTTTTACACTTTTTATTAGCCTTACACGACCTTTGAAGATACTAGGAGAATGCCTGATAACGTTTTGTTTGTGTCGATACTTCGCTGGTGGTAATCATTCGTAGTTCTGCAAGTGGGGGAGAGGGCAAAAATATTACGTTCACGAGAATCTTTCGCAAGCTATTCAATGATAAACACAAAACAAGCTGATTGATTTATCTTGAACGAGAATGAGAGTCTCGTGCAATGCAGCGATTAAATTGCGAAGCGATATTGCAAAAAAAGAAAATGCATGCAATGTTTTAAAACAGCTACGTTGTGTAGAGATATGGAACTCATATTTTTTCTTTTTGTTTTAGGAATGTGAAACACTTATCTGCGATAAAACTATTAAGATGCACGTATATGTATGCGTGAGTATTTTGTAAGTTGTATGTTTTAGTATGCGTGATTGGTACACACGAGCGAAAGAAATGATGAAATAAATTTTTGCGAGCAAACAGAAAAGAGAGAAGAATTGAAAATTATAATTTTTAAGCGGTGTTTTGATCTTGTTATTGCGACGCGGGTAAACGTATGTGTAAATAGTAATTAAATGAGAATTTCTTTATTTTTTCTTTCGGTAAAAAACAGTTGAAAAACTTAGAAAACATGGCAATGGATAGGTAGCGATCAACTAGACGTTAGCTTTTTATTCCGAGTATTTTTTTCGTTTTTCCTTTTCTTTGCCTTAAATTCATAGTAAGTAAGTGAGAGAGTTATACGTGAAAAATCTTTGTTTTCTTTTGGGAAAAACTTATGCATAAAAAGGGAAATCCGATCGTTGGATTTAAATCAAATTCCTCGTAGGAATAATTACTAATTCGGGAATTTAATGTTTTGTACATAAAATTAGTTTCCGATATTATTTATTTTCCTTTTTTTCCCTCCGTTATTTTCTACTATATTTACAAATGTAATTTATATATAAAGCCAAGATAGAACATTCTGCTATGCGAATTTGCGTGTGTCGTAATCTTTTGTATGAAAATAGAACATCAAATAAAGACGTTTGAAATACCCTTAAATGACATTCATGATGTCGTTAGTTACGATTGAATACTCCAAACTTTTTTGTATTGAATCTAAATTGGAAAATGAAAATCGTTCTGTAACAAATAATCTTGAATAGCCAATCGAAAAGACAAGAAAAAGATTACATCACAGGCGAAACCAAATATAATGGAAACAAAACTTGGACTTAGCATTCAAGCTTGGTATTACGAGAGCGCAAATTTTCATACATAATTTTGTCTGTATATAATTTGTAAATAAGCCAGAGGTTCACTATGGAATTGTAGCTAATTTTTGAGAACCTTTTTGCCTTTTGAGAAGCAGTAGAAGCACAAGGCACATTTCGCGCCACTGATAATTTGAAGAAAAACGTTGTTGAAAATCTTTCTTTTTTGTAAACTTCAAAATCTTTACACAAAGTACTGATTTAACTATTCAATTGTGCATTCGTGCTTGAAACATAATCTGTGCTATGAGTCCTTGTAAAACTTAACTTTTCTACGTAATTTGTAGAATTTTATATATAACATACGTTTTGATTATAAAGAGTATATTGATATAGTACGTTTTAGAATAATAAGCATTCCATAGAATGGTGACGCGACATGTGTTGGGCTACGGTTGAACGAGTTTTACACATTTTCAGCTGTTATGACGTTCTTATATTTCAAATAATGGTAGATTTTTCAACATATTTTCACGATCATTTTGATTGTAGTAAGTAAATCTAGTCCAAGTCTACTGCAGCTCAATAATTATAACGTAAGTTTCTTTCTTAACTATTACACGACGTCAAAAATTATGAGCGTCCCTAAACTAATGATTAATAAATAAAATACATCGTACATCACTTGAAATTATTTGCCTGAGCGATGGCATTTTATAAGCCGCAACATAATACAAAAAAGTGATATACACTGGTGTCACGTCAAATGTACAACCTGATAATAGTGATAAATAAATTTTCATCGGTTCTTTTCAACGAGCATTTTATTTATTATAAATTCTTCAATATAACACATTTTATAAAATTAAAAAAAATAAACATTGCCTTTCTTGAAAACATTTCTTATAGATTAACACAATCCAATATATGAGGTTTTTTATGACATTGATTTATTAAATGTTGAATAAGGTGTTGAAAATAAGCAAACCAATAGATGTTAGGGAACATTTTTAAATATGAAAACAGATATTTAAAACAATTAACGTAAGTTTTATGTTTTATATCTTGACGATATAATACATTGAATTTCGAAAACCACATAATTTGTAGACTTTTTTTTGAAGAACTTAAACCGATGTGAAATTGATATACCCATAATAAAAACAAAAATTATAACTTCAATTTAACGGCGTTATTCTTTTAAATATTTTTACATTGATTTTTCTGACATGAGTATAATTTTGTCTAATTGTATTTATATATTTCAAAATTATAATTTAGAACCTAATGAGGCCGCAAACAAGAAGTAGCGAAACATCGCTAAATTGAAGTTATTATTTTTGTTTCTACCTGGATAAATCTGTTTTACGTTAGTTTAAGTTCTTAAAATTTATCAAATTATGAAAGACGAATAGAATAACCATATTATAGGCATTTTTATATTGGACCATATTAAGTTCATTTTTGTATAGTGAAATGTCAATGGTGAATACATTTTTATCGGTTTTTTAAAAAAATGCTTTTTATTTATTATTATTTCCTCACATTAATGAAATGTCTTAAAAAAATTTTCGTGCTTTGAATGATATAGATTATCTTTTCTTACAGTTCATTATAAGATGTACACAAAAATAAAAATAATAAATTATAATATTTTATTTGAAAAACATATACTTAGACTAATACAAAATCAAAGCGTAACGTGTTTTTTTTCATCAGTTCGGTTAAAAAAATGCTATACTAAAAGTATACATAACACACGATTGCTTTTGAATCATCAGCTGATATCGACAGCTGTCACAAGTTCTCGAATGTTGGCGTATTCTGGGTCACTGCTAAAAATATCGAGTAGTTCTTGAAACGTGGGACGATCGGCTGGCTTATATGACCAACATTTCTGCATAACTTGATAGACGTGATCGGGGCATTTTTTAGGACAAGACAGTCGATCTCCTTTTTCTACTAGTTCTATTACCTGTTAAGTATATTTCAATGGTATAAACACTAAATTAAGTTGTAATGATTGATAAATGAAATGAATGATTACTCACTTCAGCTCCTCTTCTGTTCCCGTAAGGCTGTTCTCCGTATGAAAACATTTCCCACAACGTGATTCCATAGCTCCATACATCACTAGCGTTAGAGAAATTGCCAAAATTGTAAGATTCAGGAGCGTACCTATTTGAATACATTACATGAATATTTCTAAAAGAATGTTGGAACAATAATAATAACTTTTGATGAATCATACGAACCATTTGATAGGCCATTTTCCTCCTGCCGTAGCTTTGTAATAGTCGTTAGAACCAAAATTTCTTGAAAGACCAAAATCACTTATTTTTGCTTGATGTCTTGAAGCCAGCAGAATGTTTCTTGCAGCCAAATCTCGGTGAACAAGCCTTATTTCTTCTAAATACTTCATACCTGTATTGAAAGAAAACGGGTTTTACTACTATATTATATAATAGAATTTGTATTAAACTAGAAAATATTTTTACTACCTACCACAGGCAATTTGAGAAGCCCACACTTTAAGCTCATAATTAGGACTGATTCTGTCTGGAAATTCCAAAAGATAAGCCAGCATAGAGCCGAGTGAAACTAATTCTTGAACCTAAAATTTACTATAATTATTTTTATATCACGAATATATCAGAATGAGAACATTAGGCAATGCATTTCCATACCATCAAAAGTGGAGGGCCTTCTGAGAATCCTATTAATTTAACTATACAGTGATGATTGAAAGTCATCATCAAACGTGCTTCTCGTAAAAATTCCTCTCGAGTTGTAACGTTTTGCGTATCCCTTAACATTTTTATAGCGACAGGTTCTTGACGTCCACATGGTCTGTCGTAGAGACCCTCGTAAACGGCTCCGAATTCTCCTTCACCTAATACTTCTCCTAGGATTATATTTTCACCAGGGATAAAAACTTTGTTTACGGACATTTCATCGTTGTCGTTTTCAACTATTGCGGGTACAGCGCTGTGAAGATCATTGTCGTTTAATTTGTTATTGACACTTTTATTGTCTACTCTTATGGGATTACTCGGACTTAAATATGGTTTTTCAGGAAGACGAGGTGGAGGTTCGGGAATCGAGAGTTTCTTCTTTCTTATAGAATCCTAAAACGTAAATAAACAATTGCCATTGATATTTATAAAAACAATGTTTAATGTTGCGTCTTTATGGAATACTTACCCCATTGAAGATCGACGATGGCATTTCTGGAACAGGAGGTTTAGGTGCTGGTGCAATAGGATGAATCAAAGGTCCCGGAAGTCCATCTTGCATGCATTTATAATGCTCTATAACGTGCTCTAATGAAGGTAGATATGGCCCATTATCAATAAACAAAAAGTTTTTCTGCGATCATCAAATAAAATATTTAATCAGAAATGTAATAGATTTCTAAATTGTCAGTGGTTCAACTTACTTGTTTTTGTATTTGAAAGTGATAGGCTTGTTTATTATACATAACTGTGAGAACTCGAATACCATCATGCCTCTCACTAAGACGAACTAAAAATGATCCATCAAGATCGCCATGTTGATGTATGAGATTAATAGCTTCCATTCTTTCCAAGGTACCATGGTACCAATCATCTAATTTTTCTTTTGTTGGTCTACTATAATTACCTGTGAGAAATTAATGAAACTTAAGTACAATGCAAGCATTAATTGCACGTGAATTTAGTAATAGAATTAACTTACGCAATAACTGTTCACACTCTGTATGGCCGTTAAGTTTTGCAAGATCTGCTGGCACGTCGTCTTCTAACGTTCGAGGGTTTAATGGTGCATTTGCTGACAATAGCAATTGTATTACTTCTTTATGGCCTCTGCTTGCTGCTTCGTGTAATGGCACCATTCCTAAAGATCAACGCAATATGATTGTATCAAATACATCGACAATAATTTTGAAAAACATTGCTAAAAAGATTATATAATAAAGATTATAAAATTCACCTGTTTCTGTATGACGAGCCTGTATATTTGCTCCCCCAGCAATCAATATTTGTACTGTACTTGGCAAATTACTTTGGCAAGCATACTAGAAAAATAAATTAAACTGAATTCAAGTTAAAGACTAATATACATACAAATATTTGCATAAATCACAGAGAAACAATAAGATTCAATGAACCGAATTTAACCCATTATTACCCAAGCAAAATCCAGGCCGGATAGTACTAAACTAACCAGTGGATCACTGTTAAAACGGGAAAAATGTACCCGTGTTTTTTCTTTTTGCGATACCAATTGTTTATGTGAAATCATTTAAATAATTATAAAAACTTTAAATTTTGCAATTTTAAAAACTGATCATACCATCGATCCTACGCGGAAAAATAAGTAAAAAACCTTTTTAGAACTTTCTTACACATATGTAATCCGTCACTTAAACCCAACCCTAAACGATCGGTTAAAAAAAAATCATGCCTAAATGTCTTGTGTAATTGGTTAGAATAAAATCTTGATTTCTGAATAAAGTTGAATACTTTATTTTCTAAGATAATACAAAATACAAAAATCTAAGATTTACAATATAGAATCTAACAGAAAAATAGTATAGAAGTTTTCAATGTGTTTTTTCTTGTAGAATAGATTGCCATGATTAGTTTTTTTAAATCGGAAAATTTTTTTAAACTTGTTTAAATAATTTGTTTAAATAATTTAAATAAACGAAATTATTTCGTTTAAACAATAACATAAAATAAAAAACACGAGTAAAATTTTTTTGTTTTGATAGTGATCCAGTGGTTGGTTTGATGCTATCTGGCTTGGATTTGGCTTGGGTAATAATGGATTAAAAAAACATATACGCAGTGAAATAATGAAGCAAACTAATTTTTAAAGCTAAACTAATCCTTAGCCAGCATCAAAACCTGCTTACTTTTATTGTTTTACTTGTTTTATACATATATCCTATTGCTTTTTGCTTTTTAAAGAAATAATGAGTATCTGTTAAATACCTGTATTAAATTATATTCCTTTCTTTACAGTAATTTGTTCATATAAGCTTAGTAATAAACTTACATGCAAAGGTGTGTAACCAGCAGTATCTCTACAATTAACACTAGCATTGGCTTGGATTAGTTGAGTCAATATTTCATCTGTACCATCCATAGCAGCCAGGTGTACTGCTGTTTGACCAAGTTGATTTTTGGCATCCAAACTTCTATAGCCACATTTTAAAAGTTCAGATACTACTGTATAATTTCTCTGCAAGTTTTAAATAAATTATTTAACTGCTTCAATTATTATCATATGATGCAACTGAAAAGAGAAAGTTTTACTCTAAGTGTAGCTCTATGCAACAAATTTGTTCTTCCATGTCTCCTGGTATCATGCGGAGGTGGCAAACCTTTAACAGGTGTTCGTAATGTAGTCACTAGCCCATGATTCTCTTGTTGATAATATTCTATAAGTGTTTCTAAACCATGAATTGTTGTCTCATCATCTGAAATCATTCACAAATGCACACAAATGAGACAAATATAAAGGACTGCTCAGTATCAACAAAGAAATAAATTGATTAGTCAACTTTCTTGTTTCAAAAACTCACCTATTGAAAAAAAGGCGTCTTCCCCATGTTTTCTAATTTGATAATGGGCAACATCACCATTATATGTGACTGAGAGGACATAATCTCCCAAAGAAGAACCACTTTCTCTTACAAGGAAAGTTCCATTCTCTCGACCTTCTAAAAATAAATAAATCAAGTTTGTATGGTCCATTATTCCAATTAAATTTCTCAAAGTATTGTCAAACAAAAAATACATACCATCTTTCAATAATTGTTCGGCATCATCCCTTGAAAGATTGCCGTGAAACCAGCAAATGCTTTCATCGGAGCTCATAGCGTCAAATAAAAACTATTATTGACAAAAAAAATACGTAGGTGAAAGTCGAAGCTACTGATGAAATGCTTAAGATCAGACGTCACTAAAATACACTGCAATTATCGTCTTTCTCTTGACAATCATTTTGGTGCTTCTTTATATTTTTAATATTGTTTCTCGAGCATTTGTCATCGCATTATCTATATAACACACACAGTTACTCGTACTTGTCAAGTTCCAGTATGCTTAAAAGCGTAAACACGATTTCGCTTGCAACTTCTTCAAGAGATTATTGTCTTGGAATACATGAGAATATAGCTGCAGGCAGTGCTGGGACTGCTGGGCCGGTATCATATGGAAAGTGGAAACTATATAGCAAAACAATATAACATAAAAACTATACGTGCATTGTCTCTATATTATATAGTCTCCGTGGCCGGCATTAATATCTTAGATCTTACTCTTCTTCTGAGATTTATACATTTTATGACAATAAGTCAGTTCGTTTGACCAGTTGTTCGCAGCGAATAATTTAAAAAATTTAATTTTTGCGTATTAAATGATACTGCTATAATTACGAATAATCAAAAATAATAAAATGCAATGATCACAATGAACACATATTAAGTATTTATGACATTAGCTAGTTATAGAGAAATATATTGTGTTTTAAATCATGTTCCAGCTATATAATTTTCCATAAAACATTAAAGATGGTTAAGTTTTAGATATATATATATATATATATATATATATATATATATATATATAGGTATAACAATAGACTTTAATTAAAAATGGAGTCATTATGTCAACAATATAATTAATAAAACTAAATATTTAATATTTATTTGTTACAAACTATATAAGTGAAAATATCCAGTACTAAATTAGCTACTAATACTTTACTATGCTTACTTTCATAGTTTACTAAATTATAGGATAAAAATATATAACTTATAATATAAAAAAATAGCATGGAATACTGCAAATAAAACAATTATACATCAACTACAAAATTAAAAATAAGTTCTTTAACATTATTAGTTAAAAAGAATTTTATTATACGTAATTGCCTTCTAAGATTAGATCAAGTTTTTGTACACGAATTAATTTTTTATCATTATTATGAATTAAAAAATAAATATATGAAGTAAAAAAAGATTTAAAAACCTATTAACACCGAAGTTCATTTATATTGTGCTGTGAAAAGAATTAAAAATGTTAGCAATTACAAAATGAACATTAGAAAAAACTAAGAAATTTGATTAAAACAATAATTAGATTTAATTGTTTTAATGGGAATTACTTAGAGAAATAATGAAAATATACAATATAGATATTTACATTTATTAAAACCGTGATGTTTGAAACTTATATAAACTTTTTAATATTTTATTATTATGTATATATTACTAGATAAGTTTAATTTAATAAAATTTATTATATTTTATATACCAATTTTTCAAACGCGTAAATTCTGTAATTTTTTTTTGGTAAATAAATAAATAAAATAAAAAATAAATAAATACTACTATAACAATGTAGGGTTTTCATTTTCTTTTTTGTATATTAAGTTATTGCGTGAAAATATATATTTATAACTGTCCGAACGAACAGACTTCATTTCATAAAATGAAACTATATGAAGTTAGGCTAGGAGTAAGATACCAATCCCGGATTCCCGATCCCGACCCCAGCACCTGGTCAGGCGATAGATAAAATTAACCAATGATACTTTAGCTTTATAATATATTCCGATTCAGATATTTTTGTTGTTATTCAATGGCGTCGAATTCTATACGCAACATAACCTAGAATATTCGATTAATATTTGTAAACTGGATAAGTATATTGTTTTGTGGTTGCTGAATAAATTCTTACAAAAATGAAGAATTCGCCACATCAAACTTTAGTCAAAGCTGGTGATCGAGATGGGTAAGGAATTTTTGTAAATTTTATTACTCATTGGAAAAATTAATTCTTGAAATCTTTTTATTATATTTTTCAAAAGTGTAACATATTCGAGGATATTTTGATAAATTAAATTAGACAGTTTAACTGAGTGATATTGTTAAGAATTTCTAAAACATGGTATCGAGTAGGAAATAATTTAATTATTTTATAGGTTAAAAGAACTATTACGGCGCCGACTAGTTGAATGTGGCTGGAGAGACGAAGTAAAACTGATATGTAAGGAGATCATCAAGGAAAATGGCCAAGATATCACATATGATGCTCTTTTAGCAATGGTAACACAGAGAGCAAGGAGCCGGGTGCCAGATATTGTAAAAAAGGAACTCTTGCAAAAAATTAAGACACAGCTTTTGGCACAAGAAGAAAAATTGAGCAAAATGTGATATTTATTATTAGCTGATATTCAGATTTTTACAATCCTTTATTTTAAGTAAATGCATTGATTGACGAGTCATTAGTTTTATAACTTAAACATAATTATTTCATTTGTATTAGGCTTTGTCACAAAGATTAGCCAATTTTTTAATATAAAAAAAGATGCATTTATCTGTGAATTAAAAATAAGATCCATACAAAAAACTTCTCAAAAGTTAATAAAATCTTATACAAAAATAGATTCTTCTTAAACATAAGAAAAAGTCTTTACACTGCAATCAATCATCACAAAATTAAAATATTTACAAATCGTTTTGTATTATTTTCCTTTGACTACTTGAGGAAAGATCTTTTAGTCAACTCTACCAGTAGCTCTAACTGTTAAGATATTACTCCTGTAAATGTAAACTTGAGCAAGTATTGCTAAATCTATTAAAATTTGTAATGTTCCACAAATGGAAAATTGAACTGGTGCATTACGCTTGATAAAGTAACAAGTTTTAAATGTATCTCCCATTGTCCACATGGCAACCATTGCAATACTGAAATCAAAAGTTTATTAAATTATTTTATCATTTTTCTTTTAAGTAACCTTTTAATATTCATTATTATTTATATTACCTCATTCCTTCAGTAGATTTATTGTTGAAATTTCTTAAAAATTGAGGAAGCCCTAGCATTGCTTCTGTTAATAAGGCAAATAAACCAATTGATTCCACAAAAATTGGAACATTTATTAACAGGTACATCAACACAGCTCCAATGAATGCAAAGACTAGTATGAAGTCCACGTAGGACTGGAACTCTGTCCATTTCCAAAAGTATTTAATGTTGAAATCTAATTAAAATCATAGCAAGACAAAACAAACAAAAGTACAAACATAAATACTACAAAACAGGTTAAATCATAAGAAATTAATATTATCTAAAAGTAAATTAATAGTAATAACTTAATGATTAAATTAACAAAACTATTATTAATAACACAAATATGATTATATTATATATAATATATAAGGTAATATAATGCATTTTGCAACAACTCAAAAAGTATACCTGTAAAGACTCTATCCTTCTGCTTTGTAATCTGATGTTTATTTTGAATATCTATGCATACTTTAATCATGAAAAACATCATAGCTATCATCAAAATACTTTGTATTAGTAGTGGTAACTCAAAGCGCCTTCCAAACCTGTAAAATAATCAAAATATATTGTTATAAAACTATATTAGGAAAAATAAGAATAAGAATAAGAAAAATTAGAAAAATAAGAATGCTCACCAAAATAGTATTCGCAGAATATTAGCTATCAACAACGTAAGGCAGACATAAAGAGAAAACCCTTCTGTATCTTGTTTTTCTTTAATCTCTTTATACTGTGGAATAAATGGCACAATTCCTCCAATTATCATAGCACCGGATGCTGCCCAACCAACTACATGTCCAATAGTTAATTGCTCGTAAGTTTCCATTTTGAGGATTTTATTGAAACAGTGTCTTCAAATCCAATCAAAAATTTCCAGATAGTGATTTTGTACTAAACGTGTTTAATTGTAGCATGTAGTGTTTCCTAGATTATATGATTTATAAGATTGTTGAATATTTTTATTCCACAATCACGAATTTAATCATTTTACGACTTTGAAAACTATGATGACTAAATTTATCACTTTATACTCGTCGTCACGAAGACGACCAAGACAACCAATTCACACTGTTCTTGTGGACTCATCCTCAGGACGGGTGCTTAGTTATTTAGTTGCTTGAAGGCTCGTTTTCTAATCAAGAGTTTAGACGAATGATTCATTGCTCATCTTATTTTAGTCTACTGCTGATATGAAATGATGTTATACAAGACATTTGAATGTTTTTTCTTCTTGTACTTTTGAAGGTGTTTATGTAACGTCCATATCCACTAGTCTTGACAAAGATTTGAATGTTCAAATGCAATTAGCGTTGATTAGCATTGAGCGTATACTTTCATTTTTGTATGTACCTATATCTATAGGCACTAACCTAACTGACAGTTTATATCAAACAACAGATATCGCAGCAATGGTATTTTCTAAATGTCAGCTGATTCGGATCTATTTTATGGACCGGGAACTATGTCGGTATTACAGTCAGTTATAAAAACTGAACAAATCTGCCCAGATTTATCTGTATTCTATGTAATTTTAACCCCAACAGTTTGTTTATAAGCATATTATTTTAGATATTGATTTATTTTTATACAGTACTTTTAGTTAGTTTTTATTAAGTCAATGTTTTAAATAACTGAGTGAAAGTAAGTATTTTAATGGAAAGTTCTATAATATTTTGATAAACAAAAATGAAAAAGCTGTTGTTTTTACAGCAATGGCAACCACAAAAGCATTACTTTATTTTGTCCGACGGAGCAGTCTATTACCTAGTGTAGTACAAATAACTCCAATAAAATCTAATTTTTATTTACCATTACATGTTAGAAAAATAAATTATTCTGATCAAAAATCTGTAACAAAATCTGAACGGAGTGATCTTGGTGGTCAAGTGCAAATTGGTTTTGGCGAAGCAGGTAATCAATTAATGTCTTTATTATTATAACATTGTTTCTACATAAATATTAATTTAGTTTAAAAATGTTTTCAGTCAAGGAAAATACAAAGTCTGCTTGGTATATGAGTGTAATTATTGCTGGGGTTGGAGTGACAGCTGTTATATTTTATGCTATTTTTCGAGAACTATTCTCTAAAAAAAGTCCTAATGGTGTATACAGCACAGCTCTTGACAGAATAATGCAAGATAAAAAAGTAATTGATGCTGTTGGTGCCCCAATAAAAGCTTATGGAGAAGAAACTCGAAGAGGTAGAAGAGGTCATGTCAGGTACAAATTAAATTTAATCTAATTTTACATATCGTTTTACAACTCTTGATAATATATTTGTATTTTAATACTACAAAAGTAATACAAGAGATTATTTTTTGTAGCCATCAGCTGTATGAGAAAAATGGAGTTTCACACATGAGGATGAAATTTTATATCCAAGGTATTCGTAAACAGGGCACTGTCAACTTAGAAGTACGAGAAGTCAGTCAACATGCATTTGATTATAATTTTCAAACTTTAAATTATTAAAAAAAATATACTGAACCTAAATTTGCCATTATTTTTGCAGGATTTGAATGGAAATTGGGTTTATAGATATTTATTTGTGCAATTGAAAGATTTGGCTAATACAGTTATAATTTTAGAAGATAACAGAAATCTTGAGAACAATGTTTATAAAACTCCTAATGAACTGAGTGAAATGGTATCATCTGAATTCAAGTTGTGATTATGTTTTTTTTACTATTCATTTGTTATTTATTATAGAGTAGCACTTGTGAAGTGTTAGTCCAACACTGAATCAATTTGATTAAAAATTAGTAATTATATATTTCTCAAAGAAATGTTATGTGAAACTAAGTCATCTTTTTGAATAAACTATTAATTATAAATAGATCAGTAATATTATTATTCAAATATTGATATTGCTAGCTAAATATTTGTTATTTCAAGATTTATTTTTGACATGATTTGTTTCATAAATTAGTTTATCTTAAAAATTGTATTTAATTATCTTGTAATTTTATTGTGTAACAAATTTGGTGCATCGTATCAGTATAAATTTATTAATTTGTTATCAGCATTTTGAAATGAAAGCAACGTTTCTGGATTTAATGCATTTCGCTGCTTTTATGTTCATCGTCGACGGGATACGAAAGTTGACATCTTCACACACCGGCGGCTTGTAGGCGATAAGAGAAACGTCATCAAGGGCTGTAGCTAGCCAATGCGGTAGTCAGCCATCATCGGACTCTATCAGATAGCATACTTAATTTTATAGTCGAGCATTTAAACGATATGTAGCACAGAATCGAGCGATATTATGTTATTTAACAACTCAAGCTTTCATTCATTTCCACCTAGTATCATAGCTTAAGAAAAATTGTAAGCTAACTGAAGACGTACAATATTTAGTTTAAAGCTTCATTGGCAAAAAAAAAATCAAAATGGTTCGATATAGAAGTTTCCTGCGTATAGAAATTATAATACCATGTCGTTGTTTAGTGGCAGTTAGAAAAAGATCCAATGAATTTTCAATCGAATGCAAGTGAGTCTATGAAAAGTGTATCAAACAAAGGCCGCCGGCAAATCCAAAGTCAATAAATCAAAAAGACCAGCGCATTCGTAGCAAAAAACGCAAAAACAAGATATCACATACTCTGTCATCGCTATATAAAAGTCACAAGGCGGCTTAAGCTGCGCAACGTAGTAAGCAGCAGAACGTCAGCGAATGCGCCAAATAAGATGCTGGGCGGGATAGACTGATCGTATACTCGGTCGGCGGGAGTCTCTCTCTCTCTCTCTCTCTTGCAGCTCTTTCACAGCTACGTATGCCGATAGTTTGTCAGTAGTCTACTACCGGCAGGCCTATACTCGCGACATAGGGTCACACCACACCTTTCAATTGTCTAAGCGCATGTGATAAGCGCGTACAAATTATGAACTTATCGTTCAATAACGAGTGTGTTTGGAAACTCGTGACTTCGAAGTGAATTAGACCGTTTGGAAAGATGGGTAATTGCTGTTCGTCCGTGTGTCCGAAATTGATAAAGAGGGTTCAACGTCCACACGAACATAACATTGTACCCGAGTGCACAGGACTAGAGTGCAACTTGCCAAAACCACCAGAACTTACTATAAATGGTAAGTTGCCTGATTTCATCTGTTGAGATCGCGCGCGCGCTCGTGATGTCATTGTAAACACCGTGCTGCGTGAAAATGGTTTCAAGCTTTTAACTTGACTATAAACTGTTTTAAATGCGAGCGATCGAACGCCCCGATCGAGAATTTCAAGTGGGTTTCAACATTCCGCCTTAGTTTGCTTATTTTACCGTTCTACGCAACAAGCGTTCTAAAAAAATAACACAGTTGCAATTTAACAATGACTGATGATCGTTATAGTAACATTATGAGATATATGGAAATCAATAAACTTGACGTAAGCTTGTGTGATCTAATAAGAATCAGCATAATGAATATTAACTCGGCGAAATATTACTATAACGTGTAATTGTAAATGTCGGTTTGTTACTCAGACGTCAATCTTTCATCATTCAAGCATTCAAAGCATTGTATGCGAAGTTGCAGACATCGGTAAAAAGTCAAAAAGATTACCGCCGGGAATATTTGCTTCTAACTTTGCGTGGAAAAAAGACGTAATTAAATGAAGCAGCCGATCAAGTCATCTATCATGTCACATAATCGGCCAAAGTTTCGAATTGATATGCCATCCTGTTATCTTTCGCGATCGATCCACGTAGCATTTAACGGCGAAACCTCGTCACTCCCTCGACAGAGAATAATAGGCGCCGATTACCGGCGCTCAAGGCTCAAACGAGACGCGGAGGAAAGAGTGGTCGCCGAGCTTTCATCGCGGTGCGCGCGCGCGTCGTCCCTTCCAGTGTAGTTTCGCCTCTCCTTCATTCGCGCAATAATTGCTTGTGGTTGTAAATAATTGCTCGCGGTTGTAGTCCGATGCGCGTCATTAAGCGCGATTTCGAAGCGAGGAAAGTATGCATTACGTGGATTCGTTTGCGAGGCCTTCGCGTGGGAGACGACTACTTTTCAGCATTTTATTCGCCTCTTCGATTTTGCAATCGCTTAGCTATAGATTGTGCTTCGATACAAATCGTCGCCCGCGACTTTTAACTGATAATATCTAATTCCGTTAAGAAGTACGAAATTTATTTTGCTGTACATCTGGTTAAACTCGAGGCTGGGTCGTTGTCGCACGACGTCTTATCTTACAGCGACTGATGATCAAATGAATGTGTCTCCGTCTACGTTAACGTCTAACCGAAGGTGCGTAGCACGTCGGTCGTCGTACTTGATCCTTCAGAATTGGTTTTTTCAGTAAGTGCGATATTATATAAACACACGTGCACCAGGCACAAAAGTGCATAAGGCACATATATATCGGTTGGCTAAACATAGGTGCCGCGGCATTATTATTAGCTGTTCTCTCGTGCTCGCCTTCGCGAAAAATCAACTCGCACTGAGCGAAGTTATTAAATTCCTTGCTTTACGAGATTCCCCGACGAAAGTTTGTAAACTATTATGCTTCGCGTGAAAATAGAATAAGAGGCTTGCCCTGCCCTGATACGGAAACGTATTCTGGAAATAGCGTTAGCGGACCGAGCGTAGAGCTCGCGAAACAAGACTTTCCGCTAAAATAAACTGACCCGCGACAATCTCATTACGATTTTTGAGCGATCGCCGCGATATAGAGAAGCGGAACGGATATTAATAAATTAGCAGTGGCTCCGCGAAATGAGCGCAGCTTTGTTATTTGCCAAAAAGGTACGTCCTGCGTGCTTGACTTTTCGCGCGGGCACTAATTAATTTTTGATTTAAGAGTGCGCTTGGCAGCGAACTAATCGAATTTGGCATGGGTGTAATAACTTATAAGTCAACTCTTGCTGTGAGTGATTTATCGATGGGCTTTTGGCGATGTTTACAAAGCAATCGGCGTACTTGAGTGTCTGGTTAGTCATGGTGATCATTGATTGTCTCGCTGGAGGAGCTTTAATCGAAAGTCGGAGTAAGACTTTTTCTTAGGTGTTTTTAATTCATCAGCGATATCACGTTCGGAAAATAAAATATCAAGCAACGAGCAAACGAGAGGACACAGTTGGCGAAATGTAAGACAAGGGGATCGTACATTACGAAGCGCAACGAGGCGCGTGTCATGTTTCCGATGTGCAAAGGTATCCGGCTCTCTCTCTTTCTCTTTCTCTCTCGCTCCAAAGAGCTACACTGTCAAGTTGCTTTGTGGACCTTGACTCGGTTGAGAAGGCGCAGCGTCAGCGATGCACGACCATACTCTTACACCGATTTCTTTTGACTCCTTCCTCTCTCGTATTATATATTTAGACATGCGTGTACAGGAGCGTCCCAGTGAAAGTTCAATTGCGCAATTCGAATACGCGCACGCGGAGGCGGCCGCCCAAAGTCGAATTAGATCAATGCGAGAAAAATATCATAGCTGACATTTAGCAAATTGATGAGGCTATAAATTAACGGCCGTTCTTTTTTCTTCGATTGTGTGTGCGCGCGTGATTAATTGCGCTTTCAGAGACGAGCGCAAACGCACACGCGCGTTCGATCAAACAGAGCAATAGAGCAATTGGCCCATTAGAACGTTGGGTTTTGAGGAAAGCTCGATCACGTTACATGTACTCGCAGAAAGAAAAAAGAACCCTGACCCATTCTCAAATATATCATCTTTTCTTTAATATTTCTGAGCTCGCGCGCGCACCTTTTTTCACGGGAATGCCACTCAAAGGAAGACATTGAAAACGACGTCCGACGTACTTTAATCAACTTAATTGGCGCGCGTTTGCTTTGCACCTTTTTATAGCGCGCGCAAGTGCGAGTCCGTTATGCTTTGACGGGTTGCCGCGAAAAAGATATAACTCGACGGTAATCGTCGTCGGATACATACTCTCGCGAGAGCTCATGCCAGTTAAATACTCGTTTTATCGGGTGCGCGATTGTGTTCGTACGCGTCGCAAAGTTTGCTTAGAACTCTCGTAGCCGATTCATTGCGGAGCAAGTATGGGAGGTAATAACAATCTATCGCCTACTTTTAATCGAGCGCCGAGACGACACACCGTCGCGCGTCACTCCCGCCGATAAATATTAATTTCTCGTTCGAACGACCCATCATCGTTGACCGAGCGTCGCTACACTTTTGCTTCTCGTCTCGATCGCTCGATGCTCGCATATCTTAACGCGCCAATTGCACCACCGCTCCGTTCCGCAACAAACGCTCGGTTGTGTTTCTTCGCTCCGATTCGATTTCGCAACAAAACACACACCGCAGTCGCAATGATATGCACTGTCGAATCAATCGACCGTACACCTATACTGCATCCATTTTAAGTATTTGATAGATGGATAATTAAAGTTTAACGCATGCTAAGCGTTCAACCATCAAATGTTAGGCACGACAAGCAATCTATTTTTCGCGATCGGCGGCTGTGTGCGCAGGTAATGTGCTGCTGCTCTCCCACTCGTACAGGCGACCTATTACGAGGCCTGAAACCATGTACGGAGTACCTTGACGACGGCGACGTCGCGATCTTTTACATCCTCTGCCTCCCACCATACAGACACCGGCATTCAATAGTGCAGGCAGTAGTTCAAACAAACGTGAGCGCGTGCCTCTCGGCTTTTTCCGCGGGTACTGGTCACGTTCGAATAGTCGTCGCGCGCGCCCAGAGGGAACCAACCAACTGTGAACACTGCGAAAGGTAGTCTCCTCGATTCCGCGCACTTTCATCACGGCCTTACGAAGGATGTTCTACCGATTTTACGATCGCTATCGGGTCTTCAACGACCGCCGAAGGAAACCTTTTCCATTTAGATTCTATTGTGAGTGGCCGCTTGTCAGTGTCCGTGCGAATTTGAATCTTACGCTGATTGCGATTAGTTTGGCACGTGAGTTGCGGCAGACGCGCCAAAGGTTTTTCGTTTCTTTTTGCGCACACTGCGAAAAGTGGAAGGTTTCCTGCGCCGTTCACTTTTCTTCTAATCATCCGTGCACGCTGAAAATAAATCCATGAAAATCCCAATGTGTAGAGATGACGACGAAAATAGCGTTGCCCGTAGCGGCGCAGTCGTCGAGTGCATCGGTGCAATATATTTTCTTAGTCAGCCTGGCATTTCCTGAATAATTCATTTAGCCGCCGTCGCTCTTGAATATCTATAATCTGTACTGGACAGTTAGTCGCCCCGTTATAAATATTCGAAAAATCCACGCGAGCACGCTCATTCGATCTCGCTCGCCAGTGGCAGAGATGTACCCAACGTGGAGGATCTACCGGTTTCGACCTTGTAAATCTTTCAGCGATTTTTCATCTTTGACCATCATTCATAAATTCTATCTGCGACTGTGCGGCACATGAGTTGGAGACAGCTTGCGAGTTAATCGTTTGAAAAGTGTTGCCGAAAAGCGTGTCGATAAAATTTGTTGCGTGATGAGTCGAGAGTGCGAATGCGAGTGACGAATTAACGAGGCGAACTTTTTGCTCTTCTTCAAAGGGGACAACCACAGCCGCTCGGTGCTGACGATCGTGCACGTGGATTACTGCATCGAAGACAATGGGGAGGCCCACTATACATCGCGCTACGAATTGATGAACAGAAGTGGCAATCAGTCTCGTCTGGTCGTACGTCGCGGTCATCCCTTTCATTTGGACATCAGCTTGTCGCGTAATTATGACCCAGCGATCGATGGTATGTCTATCGTGTTCACGGTGGACGGTATTAAGAGACCGCAGTACGGCCATCATACGCTCGTCGCGTCAGCGGTTCTACATCCTGGGGAAGTTTCCGAGGGTACATGGCAAACTGTCGTTGAAGCTTATGCTGAGAATTCGTTGAGAATCAAGGTATGTCATTCCTTTTTTCTGGTATTTCAATAAAAAACTGCGTCGTTTGTGCTCTTTCATCAGAAAGTGGCAAATAACAGTTATCTGTGAATTTATAGCTTTTGAAAGTTATGATTTTCTTGATTGATGATGACTTATAGAATAACGTAGTCATACTACAGTACAGAAAAACTGAGTATAGATATCATTCTGTGATTAATGCGGTAAATCACCACTACCATCAGCATTTACATAACGAATCCAATCCAAAAGTTTTGAGGGCATAAATTTTTTTGCAGAAGACTAGCAATAGGTCGAGTAAAGCTGTAATACGGCAAATTATCATTTAGAGTAGCTTAGAAGCAATTAGTAAAGTATGCCACTATACAGTTTCGTAAATTTCATGAAAGTTGATCGCTCCTTTACAACATTGTTTCATACAACTTTGAAATGAATGACGAAATATACGTGACAGTCGAGCAGACTGCATCATAATTCAGCGTAAACAAATTTTCCGTACGCACGTGAAGCATTGCCGATAAAGAATTCTCGAATGAATCAGAGAGTGTCGCGCGCGTGATTCACGCCCAACCTACACTTCAATTAATTCCCCCATGCGCGCAATGTAATTGAAAAGTACTTCAGGCGTGAAATATGCTTGCACGTTAAGCTCACGTTATGGTATGTTGGTTTTTATGCAGGTTACGCCGTCGGCAGACGCTATTGTTGGCAAGTGGCGCATGGAAATCGACACGAAGAGACGGGACTCCGAGGGTGCTGTGAGCTTCACGGTCGACTATCCGTTTTACTTGATATGCAATCCCTGGTGTCGAGGTGAGTCCGTTTTTCAAAATAGATTAGCTTTATTAATAACCGCGCGTGCATTCAAATACACGAGCAGCTGATTAAAACTGAAGAAGGTGCAGTGTGATTTCTCTCTCTCTCTCTCTCTCTCTCTCTCTCTCTCTCTCTCTCTCTCTCTCTCTCTCTATTGCATTCAAATGCGAACAAAGCTTTGCTGTCGCAACAGGGCAATTTTCCAACAAATTATCTCTGCATTTGCCTTATGTGCCTGTAAGAATGTAGATCAATGGCTCGGGTTATTTGCATACGAATAACCATTTCATTCCTTTCGCAGAGGACGTGGTGTTTTTAGGAAACGAAGCCGAGAGGCAAGAGTATGTGCTAGCTGATACAGGACTCATATGGCGTGGTACAAAAGATCAGATGAGACCGACGGTTTGGAAATACGCACAATTCGAGAAGGATATCTTGGATTGTGCTCTATACACGATGATCGAAGTTGGCAAGGTGCGGGTATCCGGTCGGAACGATCCTGTTGTCATTACTCGATGCCTCTCTGCTGCCGTAAGTCTTTTCAATGTCACAACTATTTTTGTTTCGCGACGCGTTCTTCATTGGAAATACGAAAATTTTTATCGACGTTCTGCGTTCGGAATGCAAACGGTATGCGTTTATTAAGAGTGCAACTTGCTGTTACGCCATATACTTGGCACGCGCCTCACATTTTAGGGTGGTCTGTCAGACTTTGAGCTTGAAATGTTCGACAGATGACTCTTCAAGAACAGATTTGGACAGCTTGTAATATGAAAGAAATTTGACGGACTTGTTGGCTCTTAAAACTGTTTTGACGTTTTATTTTTTACGTTGTGTACTTAACATTACTCGAATTGACGTAGTCTTTAAATACCATTTTACTTGGAATATTATTAAGTGACTGAGGAAACAATGAAAAACAAACATTGTTAAACAGGTGAATTCACAAGACGATTACGGGGTTGTACTGGGTAACTGGTCAGAAGACTTCGGTGGTGGCACCCCACCGACGCAGTGGCTAGGCTCACAGAAGATCTTACAGCAGTATTACAAGACGAAGAAGCCCGTGAAGTACGGCCAATGTTGGGTGTTCGCGGGTGTGTTAACGACGGTTTGCCGGACGCTTGGTATTCCCTGCCGTACCATCACTAATTACTTAAGTGCTCACGACACGCAGAGCAGCTTGACTATAGATTACTTTGTGGATGAGGAAGGCAAAACCATGCCTGAGTTGGCTAGCGATTCGATATGGTAATCGATTCAGATTGCTAATCCCATTTGTCAATTTGTCTTGCTTTTTTCTTTTTGTTTGAAACTCATTGGAATTTCAATTTGCCTTTGCTGCAAAAAAAAAAAAAAAAAAACAGAATCAACGCTTCCAAACTAAAATCTTATGTCGAATTACTTACGTTGAATAAAAAGATTAGCAAATTTAACCAATTTCAAAACAATAGTACGCTATTGGAATCATGTCACATTGAAAAAGTTCGCAAAGCGGACGAACAAAAATCCACGAATTGAGTAAAAGTAAAAGTTGGCGCGACTCTGTGCAGGAACTTCCACGTGTGGAACGAGGTGTGGATGAAACGATTGGACTTGACGGCAGACCAGCACGGTTGGCAGGTGATAGACGCGACGCCCCAAGAGCTCAGCGAAAATGCCTTCCGCTGTGGTCCAGCCTCCGTCGCGGCGATCAAGCGTGGTGAGGTACATCGACCCTACGATATTAGCTTCGTCTTCGCTGAGGTCAACGCCGACAAAGTTTTCTGGCGATACAATGGACCAACGCAGCCCCTTAAACTTGTTGGCAAGGATATTTATGGGTAAGCGCAAAGCTTTATGATTTTGAAAAAAAACATCTTTTCTTTGTTGCGAAATTAATATTTGCGAATTCAGTACGAGATATTTTAATAATTTATGCGCAAATGATTTTTGCACGCTTATTTGCTAAAACTGAATATTCTCAGCTTTTGAAAGATCTTTCGCGTCGAACCGAAATGTATAACCTGAGAATTGAGTCAATTATACTCACAGGTACATTTAAATCTACGTTCATTAACAAATATAACCATCAAAGTTCTAAGTCATAATAGCCATTCTGTTTGCCAATTTAGCATTCTTTAATTTTCATGTTTTAGAGTATTAATGTTCTGACAAGAATATAAACTAATTTTTTTTAATTTGCATAACACTAAATGGTCTTAGGATTTCATTGCTAAATTATTCAATACAGAATGATTTTAAGTATCTCTTTTCAAAAATATTACATTTCGAAAATACATAAAAGATGGATGTTTTCATTATTGTTTCATACATGTCAGAGTTGGACGAAATATCAGTACAAAAGCTGTTGGGAGGTGGGAACGCGAAGACATAACACACCATTACAAATACCCGGAAAGTAAGTTTTTCAATAAATGTATCAATTGAAGCTGAAGCTTTGATATTTCCAACGCCTAACAAATACAACTTTGTCCATTCGTAGAATCGGAAGAAGAGCGGGCCGCCATGTTAAAGGCGCTGCGCCAAAGCGAATCGTTGTTTAGCCGTTATTACCTCAACGAAGAATTCAATGACATTATGTTCAACTTTGAACTCAAAGACGATATTATCATCGGTCAGCCATTCAAGTAGGCTTATTTCATGTTATCGCAATCGAATACATTATTTTTAGTATATAATAATGATGGAATATTAAATCGCATGTTTCAGCGTTGTACTGACGGTGAAAAATCACAGCTATGTGGAAACTTATCAGGTTTCTGTAATTCTGCGTGTGGAAGCTGTCACGTATACAGGTCGAATTGGTGATCCCATAAAACGCTCGGACACTGAACGTTTTATCAAACCCAGTGCAACCGATGAAGTGATTCTCGAGGTATCCTGGGAGGAATACAGTTCGAGACTTCTAGATCAGAGTGCTTTTAACATATCTTGTCTTGCCACTGTTAAGGATACCAACTTTGAGTATTTCGCGCAGGATGATTTTCGTGTTCGGAAACCTGATATTGTTATTGAGGTAAAATTATTTGCATTCTATTCTCAAAAAGTTTTAAAGTTTTAGCGCAAACTCGATCGTTAAGTTTACGGTTGTACGCTAAAAATGTTATATATCACTTGTCTCTAATCTCGTGTAATGGACATTTGCGTTTATCAATAGACAAATTAAATTTTTAATTTTAGCTGGAATCAAGCCCAGTCGTTGGCGAACTGCTAGAAGCAACGGCACATTTTAAAAATCCATTGCCAATTCCTCTGAAACGTGGCAAATTCTTAATAGATGGACCAGGCCTTGAAGAACAATTGAAACTACGACTCTCTGAAAACGTAGAAGTTGGTGGTAAAGCAGCTTGTCGATTCTCCATGACACCAGGATTTTCGGGCAGAGCAACGATTGCCGCTAAATTCTACTCGCGAGAGCTCGACGACGTCGACGGTTTTCTCAACTTCATGGTTAAGCATAAGCCTTATGAGCCTTACTCATCTCGCAACAATTAACGCTAGTCCAATGATTCTCATTCGATCTTCTACACTTACACGCTGTCAAAATTTCGTAGACTTTTTTTTCTTTTGTTTTTACGAACTAGAGTCCAAGTTGATGTATTTATTAGCAAGTATTTCTTTTTGTACGTTATTATTTATGAGTAATCTTTAAGTAGGCATTTTTGAAAAGTTTTAGTCTATCTGAACAGCAACGTTTCAGTGTATATAAATCTTTTAGATAGAACATGAACTTAGAATATTAACTTATGTTTCCCAAAAATAAGCACAAGACCATTTTATTTTTGTCATAAAACATTATTTTTAATATCTTATTTTGAGCTATCCTTTTATAGATAGTAGACTTTTGTATTTATTACGTATATCCGATCGCTTATTGTCTGTAGTATTACTACCGTTTCAAGTTTTATATTTAATATACATTCTATTTCACAGTACTTTTCTATTTAATCCTCTTGTAATATTATATTCACATCGTTTATGGTATTTTTGTCGTATTCTTTATATACTTTGTTAATGTACTTACTGAACAATACTAAAAATCTGAATTACAACAAACGTCAATTTAACAATTTGAGGCAAGAATCGTAAATTAGAAGGACTGTCTAAAATTAAATTAAAGTTAAATATCAATTATCTGAGTGTTATTAATAACTTTTGTTCAACTATCAATTGCACATTTTTTAATGCTATTGCCAATTTTTGTTCAATTATCAATTAAAAACTTTTGCTACTTCAAAATTCAACTCCACATAAAATAATAATTATTTTATCGATTATCATAACAAATCTTGTTACATTCCATAACATATTATAAGTAAAAAAATCAGAGAAGAATTCATTAACGTAACTACTTCAATTCTACTTTGAATTTCTGCTGATGCGGCAGGAAAGCTTGTACAAGTGTAATGCAGATATGAAAAGAGAGGGGAAAACAACATTGGAATACCGACCTGCCTTCTTGATTACACATTTTTGTGAGTTTTCGTAGTTCATAGAAAAGTTTACTTAAAGACGAATTGGGTGAAATAAGAGTAACATGAAATGAGGTCGAAATGTCACAATGAAAAATCACAAAACTTATCTTCTTACGCTATCGGCTTGTGTAAACAAAATATTCTTCATTCTTGAGCTTATTCTATCCATGAATCGTTGAAAAAAATGTGAAAATCCATTCATTCAAAAATATTAACAATATATATATATAAAACACGTTGATGTTTTCGTTCACTGTCTATTAGCTCGATCTTGTCTTCTATTTTATCATCATATCCTCCTATCTTGAAAAAATTATGAGTCGCCGGCATCTATCATGATTTTGTTCATGCGAAAAAAAGAGAGCAAACTTTTAAATTTTCATATATACTGTTAAACGGCTGTATTATATATCTATCAGCATGAAAATTTATATTTCAGTAGTAAATTCCATTTATGAATAATTAAAATGAATAATAATCTACGAAAATGGAAATATGCCGTTAATATATCGTTATAAGAAAATAAGAAGTTATCTTTTTAAATTACAGTGTAATAATTTCTGATTATGCTCGCAAAAGTAACATGTGAATTACAAAATACGAATTAATAATTTGATATAGCATCTGTGAAGATAATAGTATCGTCTTAAAGTGTGATTGGAAAAGAGAAAAAGTGAATAGAATATAATGGATCATATAATATTTTCAATTCTTACATTGTAAAGTCAGAGGTTGCGGGAAACGAAAACTAATGATTAGAATATGAAATTGGAAAAGTTTTCATGGGTGTTTTATATATAACTAATACTAACATAACACTAGGGTCATAGAGAACATCTACTATTGAGTAAATTTATTATATGATATTATTGAAATAACGCTATTACAAATGATTGATGTGATAATTTGGACTACATACGGGTTTCTTTTCTTGTTTTTTTTTTTACATCGTTGATGTCGTTATTTTTATCAGCAGTTATATGTTTTCAGACATAAATATTTTTTATTCATCCAAGCCATCTTGTCTTAGCTAACAGAAGAATTCAACAATTAATACGTAAATATGTAGCGTTAATAAATAATCATCTGTGAATATTTATTGGAAGGGCATTATTTATTCAATATAGTGTTCATTTGTATCGTCAATGCACGTGTAACGTCAGGGTACTGATTTATGCTTGAAACTATGAGATATGCAATTGATCGCAGTATATGAGCGCTTATTAAAAAGAATCGTATGAATAAAGAAATGATGTTAACCTACAATTTGTGATTCTCGCAAAAGTAAGATACGAAGTTAAGAAAGGGAGAAAAAGGAGTAGAGCAAGAAACAAAAGCGCGCAGGCATAACGAAAAGAAAGCAAGTATATGTCCGCCTGCAAGGACGAATTAATTGGCTCATGAATAAGCTCGGTTACAATCAAACTAATTACTCGGCGTAAATCAGTAATTTGCCTGCACACACCGCATCAATTTCGAATCTTTATTGCGCGAATAAAAAATGTGTAATACGTGCATAGGCGCTCTCTCGCGGGGCTATCGGGTATCACGCAGGACGCATATATAGCTGCCGCCACCGCACGCGTACGTGTGCGCGCGCGGGTATATTGACCTATAGAGTTGCGCCAAATAAAAGCGAATGAAGAAACGAAATGCCGGTATTATTCATGCGCGGAGGAACAAAGCAAAAAATAAATAAAAATGCGCTCGCCGACTGATTAATAGCCGGCTCGATGGAGACGAACGCGCATCGCTCGACCGTTCGTCCGTCCGTCCGTCCGTCCGTCCGTCCGTCTGTCTGGCTGCTGCGTCCCGTGTGCGTCGATTACTCAAAGGCCTCGTATACTACGTGCGCGCCACCGCGGCATTATGACTGGCAGCCCGACGATGATGGGACCGCACGCTGATACGTGCCATGTATCATCATCATCAATGTCGTACGGACACGCGACTGTTTGTCTTTCGACTGCCAGCTGATTTCTTAGGGGTTTTTTTTTTCGGGGAGCCGCCGCTGCTCTTACTTGTTGCTGGCGCTGCTGCTTTCGTTGGTGGGCGTGGACAATCATACCGAGAAGGCTTGCGCTGCGGTCGCTGATTTGTGACCTGAATATTTCATTGAAAAATGCAAAACTACGCCCGAGTGGATCTTTGAAATATCTTAGGTGAGCTTTCGCTCGTCTAAGATACATAGGAGGATAGTTTGCTATCTGGCGAAAATTATTGCATGTTGCGAGTATCATCAATTGTAGCTCTAGTTAAATAGCTAAATATTACATTTAATTGTTTGCACGTAGACGCGTCGTTCGTTTGGTAAGACAGCAGTGAGATTATAAAAACATTGTTTTAAGCTTTTCAATCCATCCTCAAGAAATACATCACGGTCGAACGTCGCCGAAGCAGTCGCTAGCGTAGTCAGTTTTTATAGAAATTGAAAAATCACCCGTCAAGTGGCAAAGTAAATATTTGATTGCGCATGTCGGCAGCATCCTAATTTCAAAATCATAGACGTAATTAATGTAGATAAACGATCCTACGATTGAAATCCATCAATATGACTTGAACAAATGGATTGATGACTGCTCACGGGCGTCTATTATCTGTCTCTCATACGCACACACAGACGCGATAAAAGCTTAATTGACGCCCCATTCACATTCCGTCCGCCTCCTCGGAAAAAAAATCCGATCAACTGGCTCGTCGGCGATAACATCTCTTTGGCGCATAAATCTTCAAATTAAAAATCATCGTCATCGTTCTGCTCGTCAAAGCGAAAAAAAGTAAAGAGGGAGGAGAGTCGAGAAATAAAAGAAATCATAAAGCCCAGATTGAAATATGCCTTTCGTCTAGAGATAAACTAGGCGAGGATAAATAAGAAAAGAGCGAGTGTGCGTTACAACACTACTATAGCGGCTGGTACGCGCGGCATGTGTGTGCGTGTGTGCACACTCCGGGCAGCAGCAATGAGGAAGAGAGATGAGGATACAAGCGGGCTACGTCTAAATACATAAAACCGTGGCAAGGCCCCCCGCTACGCGCCATGCATCAACACCACGTAGCCGGAGCGAGCCTCCGCCGACCCATTATATTGCCTCGTCGAAAAACCAGCGGACACACATGCAGCATTCTTTTTGTCGAGTGTGGCCTATCGTCGGGATGAGCGTTTATGACCCCGTATCGCGATTCTTGGAACAGCAGCGCACCTATATACGCGACAATGCTCGTCATGTTTGGGGCTCATTTTTAACGAATTTTCGCCGTCTTGGTGCACGCGCGTGGCCCCCGAGATCGTTAGCGGGACAATGGATTCCATTTAGGTTTTGCGCGCCGAGTCGCCGAGTTTTTCCCCGCTGCGCTCGAGCTTTGTGCGCCGTGTCTGACTTTTCCGCTGCACACGGATGTCATTGTCGAGTGGCAGCTGTGTTTGCATCTGCGAGCGCATCATTCTCTCTTTTTTATTGCAACTTTGTAGGCATTGGTGCGACGGTGCGACAGTGCGACCGTCAAGCCGAATGCTCCTTAGCGACTCACTAACCTTTTTTACTCTCTGATTTCAATTTGAAATACCGTGTCCGCCAAGTCCTCCGCGTATACGCGTACAGCCTATGTATCGGTATTTTTGGCACTCAGGTAGGTTTCGATGCCAGTGCAAACTGCGACCATCAGAATTGTATTCGCACCTGAGTCTTCGTTCTCGGTTGTTTGTTATCCGAGGAGCAGGCGCGCCAAGGTCGTAAGGAGTAGCGCCTTTCAACAGATGGCGCGCGCAGAACTCGTTCGGTAAGCTGTTCGCTTCATTTATATCGAGACGGCTAATCAGTTCACATCCAAATACCTATTTTCAGGCAAATCTCAATCATGTATTTTGCTTTTTTTTTAATTCACGCTTCTTACGTCGACAAATTCATTTTTAACGCGCTCCATTTCAAAGACTATGCGCTACACGACTGTTCGAATTCGAATTTCAATGGCAGCTTTTGTCAGCACGGTGACGCTGCTCGGAGATTATCGACTGCAACAAGTACCTAGCATCGCAAAGTCTTATAATACAAATCTGATTACGCGCGAAACAGCAGTAGGAAAGTTGTGCGCGACAAGTGAAATTGGCAATACGGCGTATCGATCGGTTCACGAGCTTTCGCGCATCGAGCGCTGTGTCGAAAAGCTCGCAGGCGCGAAAGAATGGAGCGGGCGGGAGAGAGAGAGAGAGAGAAGCCAGCAGCGGTAGCGGAGCCCGGCCCCGGCGGTAGCCAAAGAGACAGCAGCTTGCCCGGGCCCTCGGCGCCGGCAATGCATTATTCCTCTCGCGTTATAGCCCCTACTCCCAGCCAGCCCCTTGCTCGAGGGAGAGAGAGAGAGAGAGAGAGAGAGGGAGGCCGCCCACCTCGTTCGCACAGCAACGTCTGCGCAGATCCGCAAGCTCGATATAGCCCCGCTCGCGCGCTCTCTCTCTCTCCCTCTCCTCCCCCGTACTTTCGCCCTTTCGCAGAAGCTTCCTTCTCGTCTCGCTTGTATATAGCATCGAACACGACAATTCATAAGCCATTAGCATATACAGGAGATGTTTAAAGGCGTCGCGCGCGCGCAGCAGCCTGCGACGTAGCCCAAGACAAATAGATTAATAAGCGGAGCGCAGCCTGCACCCCCGCGCCCAGCGCCAGCTATAATCCAATTGCCGGCACTTTTCCTCGCTCGCGACGTGCCAGCTGCGGTTATGCTAATCAGCTCCGCCGCGAGTGTGTAAACTATCGGTGCCGCCGTCGACGACCCCCGTGTTTGCGCGAGGATTAGCCGAGTTATTTGCTTTGGGTTAGCGGGCCCAATCCACGCGACGCCTCCCGACAGTCGTTTGTCCAAACAGCTTTACAAAGTCGAGAGCTCCGCGTGCGCCGCTCCTGCGCCGTTTGTACGTTTGTCCACGCGGGCCCGAATGCAGATTGTCGGGGAGCCGCCGTCGGATTTTCTCGCATCGGCGCGATTCGACAGGTTGACAGGCAGACTAATGCCCAGGGCAATTCCAGTTTCGGCTCTCTCGATATCCCTTGTCCGCTGCGATGCTGTTACGATGTTTCGTCCGCGTTCATCGCCGATCCGACAAAGTCGTACTTCTTCATTCGCCAAATTCCTTGCCGAATCTATTTTGATTTTGTCCTACGTTAGCGAATTACGTTATGTTACTCAATGGTCCTGCCAGGTGCCAAGATAACAGCTATGTTAATCGCTTCGAATCCTCCATTCAAGCGCGAGGTTCACGGTCGACGAGCAATCGCGACGACAAATGCATCACACCTAACACGTGCGGAGCCTACGAGTTTTCTTCATTTCTCAAGTCGCTCGGGAAAAGCCAATGCGAACCGTTACTGCGGTGTGTACTATAATGCTCCCCTAGTCTCTTGCTGCCGTGTCATCTCGAGTTTACATAAAAAAGGCATCGAGACAAATAGGACCGCGCGCAACGGCAACGCACTCGAGAGGGATGACATTCGCGGAAAGGAGGAGTCACTCATTATCCATGCAGCAGCGCCCCTCTGCCGTTCAGCGAACTCAGCGACTAACTGGAAATTCACTCGCGCCTCCATTCGCGAGTATGTATATTACGAGCCCATTGTGATGCGACGCATCGCATGTATCCACGCCTTCTTCCTGTCTGCTCTGCAGATCTCGAAGCGACAGTTATTTTTTTCCCTTTCTGTCTTTCTTTCTTTCTTTCTTTCTTTATTCTTTTCGGGCGAGCAAACATTGTTAACGTGCCGCTACCCCCGCGCTCTCTCCCGTAACAGCCGAATCAACCCGATATAATCTGTCTTTATTACGGCGCTTATAATAAAATTGTCCGACGAAGAACAGCCGAGAGAGACACAACCATTTTTCGTGCGCTCCCCCATATTTCGAGAACGGTAGACGCCCCTCCTCGCTCAAAGCGTAAACCCACCCTAATTGCGAGGCAAACTCGAGCGCCCCCTCCTACCCTCTTTGGCGCGTAATCTCTCAGAGTAATGGCCTCGACTTTCGCAGATTTTCACGCTCCAGGCGAGAGCTAATCTAGCGCGTGCAAGCTCT